TGACTCCTCTGAGCACCAACAACCTGTGTCCCCAGGTGCCGACTTTGTGATGAAATACGTCAAAGAGCCCAACACCAGCAAATGTTTTCTGTCCCTCACGAGGGAAGGCCAGCCAATCAAAAGCCAGCGAACCATTTTCTCCGAGAGTTTTTACGTCATGGCCATGGCCGAGATGTACCGAGTCACGAAGGATGACGTCTACAAGGTACTGGATGGGAACTGCTTGTATTTTTATTACAAGCTTTTATTTAACTCACTTCCTCGTCAGTCGTCAGTCTAGACGGAAACGCAGGAGTGAAAATTCGGACAGTTCTACTTGACCGATACGATTCACAGTTGGCACGTGGGTCAAGACATGAAGACAATGCAATCTGAATCTAAATTTGACTTAATTGGATGCCTAATTAATTTTTTATGAATTAATTAAAATTTGGACCGAATTAGTAGGCATGTCTAGCCAACTACACCACACGCGTCATCACCTTCAATAGCTGCGCCATCACGTAATGGCTGCGTTCAAAAACAATTGCGCGCCTACTGAACGTGATGTTCAGTAGGCGCGCAATGGTGTTTAGTCATGGAACTCTATTGTAAATAAAACAGTAAAGTACTGAAAAAAAATTCATAAAAAACGTTTTAATAACAAGCTTTTATGTAATGATGCACTAAAAAGTAGAAAATAAATTATATACCACTATTTAAATAACTATAAAGAAAAGCGTGGGTGTCTTCCTTAACATTAGTAAAGGTATCCAATAGATACTAAAGTGACCCACGCTTTTCTTTATAGTTATTTAAATAGTGGTATATAATTTATTTTCTACTTTTTAGTGCATCATTACATAAAAGCTTGTTATTAAAACGTTTTTTTACAAGCTTTTATTTAACTCACTTCCTCTGTCGTCAGTCGTCAGTCTGTCTAGACGGAAACGCAGGAGTGAAAATTCGGACAGTTCTACTTGACCGACACGATTCACAGTTGGCACGTGGGTCAAGACATGAAGACAATGCAATCTGAAACTAAATTTGACTTAATTGGATGCCTAATTAATTTTTTATGAATTAATTAAAATTTGGACCGAATTAGTAGGCATGTCTAGCCAACTACACCACACGCGTCATCACCTTCAATAGCTGCGCCATCACGTAATGGCTGCGTTCAAAAACAATTGCGCGCCTACTGAACGTGATGTTCAGTAGGCGCGCAATGGTGTTTAGTCATGGAACTCTATTGTAAATAAAACAGTAAAGTACTGAAAAAAAATTCATAAAAAACGTTTTAATAACAAGCTTTTATGTAATGATGCACTAAAAAGTAGAAAATAAATTATATACCACTATTTAAATAACTATAAAGAAAAGCGTGGGTGTCTTCCTTAACATTAGTAAAGGTATCCAATAGATACTAAAGTGACCCACGCTTTTCTTTATAGTTATTTAAATAGTGGTATATAATTTATTTTCTACTTTTTAGTGCATCATTACATAAAAGCTTGTTATTAAAACGTTTTTTTACAAGCTTTTATTTAACTCACTTCCTCTGTCGTCAGTCGTCAGTCTGTCTAGACGGAAACGCAGGAGTGAAAATTCGGACAGTTCTACTTGACCGACACGATTCACAGTTGGCACGTGGGTCAAGACATGAAGACAATGCAATCTGAAACTAAATTTGACTTAATTGGATGCCTAATTGATTTTTTATGAATTAATTAAAATTTGGACCGAATTAGTAGGCATGTCTAGCCAACCACACCACACGCGTCATCAATAGCTGCGCCATCACGACCACGTAATGGCTGCGTTCAAAAACCATTGCGCGCCTACTGAACGTGATATTCAGTAGGCGCGCAATGGTTTTTAGTCATGTAACTCTATTGTAGATAAAACATGTAAAGTACTGAAAAAAAAATTCATAAAAAACGTTTTAATAACAAGCTTTTATGTAATGATGCACTAAAAAGTAGAAAATAAATTATAGACTACTATTTAAATAACTATAAAGAAAAGCGTGGGTGTCTTCCTTAACATTAGTAAAGGTATCCAATAGATACTAAAGTGACCCACGCTTTTCTTTATAGTTATTTAAATAGTAGTCTATAATTTATTTTCTACTTTTTAGTGCATCATTACATAAAAGCTTGTTATTAAAACGTTTTTTATGAATTTTTTTATGAATTTTTACAAGCTTTTTTTTAACTCACTTCCTCTGTCTGTCTGTCTAGACGGAAACGCAGGAGTGAAAATTCGGACAGTTCTACTTGACCGATACGATTCACATTTGACACGTGGGTCAAGACATGAAGACAATGCAATCTGAAACTAAATTTGACTTAATTGGATGCCTAATTAATTTTTTATGAATTAATAAAAATTTGGACCGAATTAGTAGGCATGTCTAGCCAACCACACCACACGCGTCATCACCTTCAATAGCTGCGCCATCACGTAATGGCTGCGTTCAAAAACCATTGCGCGCCTACTGAACGTGATGTTCAGTAGGCGCGCAATGGTTTTTATTCATGTAACTCTATTGTAAATAAAACATGTAAAGTACTGAAAAAAAAATTCATAAAAAACGTTTTAATAACAAGCTTTTATGTAATGATGCACTAAAAAGTAGAAAATAAATTATAGACTACTATTTAAATAACTATAAAGAAAAGCGTGGGTGTCTTCCTTAACATTAGTAAAGGTATCCAATAGATACTAAAGTGACCCACGCTTTTCTTTATAGTTATTTAAATAGTAGTCTATAATTTATTTTCTACTTTTTAGTGCATCATTACATAAAAGCTTGTTATTAAAACGTTTTTTATGAATTTTTTTTACAAGCTTTTATTTAACTCACTTCCTCGTCAGTCTGTCTAGACGGAAACGCAGGAGTGAAAATTAGGACAGTTCTACTTGACCGATACGATTCACAGTTGGCACGTGGGTCAAGACATGAAGACAATGCAATCTGAAACTAAATTTGACTTAATTGGATGCCTAATTGATTTTTTATGAATTAATTAAAATTTGGACCGAATTAGTAGGCATGTCTAGCCAACCACACCACACGCGTCATCAATAGCTGCGCCATCACGACCACGTAATGGCTGCGTTCAAAAACCATTGCGCGCCTACTGAACGTGATATTCAGTAGGCGCGCAATGGTTTTTAGTCATGTAACTCTATTGTAGATAAAACATGTAAAGTACTGAAAAAAAATTCATAAAAAACGTTTTAATAACAAGCTTTTATGTAATGATGCACTAAAAAGTAGAAAATAAATTATAGACTACTATTTAAATAACTATAAAGAAAAGCGTGGGTGTCTTCCTTAACATTAGTAAAGGTATCCAATAGATACTAAAGTGACCCACGCTTTTCTTTATAGTTATTTAAATAGTAGTCTATAATTTATTTTCTACTTTTTAGTGCATCATTACATAAAAGCTTGTTATTAAAACGTTTTTTATGAATTTTTTTTTATTCTAGGATGAGAGCCGGACAGTTTCTCCCAGGCATATCTTCGAGGGGGGGGGGGGGGCAGAACCCGAAGAAAGTCTACCGCCCTCCCCCCGAACGAAATGGAATTTATATAGAAAATATATACTTTTAACAATGTCCGCCCCCCCCCTCCCGGAAGACACTAATTCATTGTCTGTGGGAGAGACAAGGGGGGTGGACCTAGATTTCTGAAAGGGGATGGGGGTTACAATAGTTTAACTATACATTTTTAAATATGAATTATGAATTCTTCTTATCCCCCCTCCCCCCCCCCCCCCCCCCAAAAAAAAAACCTATGATTAACACTTCTTTTTGCTATTAAATAGAGGCGCGTATGTTTCTTAGTGCACATGGTAATCGTTGTTCGGCAAAGATAGGTTTTTCATTGGGCAAGTTTTTAGTATCTGACGGTGTGGTCAGAGAGTAAAGTCCGTGGAATGTCTCTGATTCCACCCTGCTCTGATGGGTACCTGACTCGAGTTGAGTTTCTTCCAGGCTTCTCTTCTCGAAGAAAGTCTTCCACCCCCCCCCCCCCCTTCCGAACGAAATGGAATTTATATAGAAAACATAATTTTTCCTGTGTCCGCGCCCCCCCCCCAAATATCAAGTCAAGTACCCCCCCCCCCCCGGAGAAAAAAGTCTGGAAGAAACAACACTGCTCTAGTTACAGCAGCTGTATTGGGCTTGTTTTACATCCATTCGCGTCGGGGGCTATAATAAATGTAGTGATGGCGAAGATTCAACCAGCACACAGAAGCAGTAACGTTTGCCGACTTGGTTCCCAGAAAGAGGCGATGGCTATGATGAAGCAGATCGTGCAGTGGGTCAAGGTCGATGGCTCCGGGCTTGGTCCCAGACTGCCCCCGCCAGTGCCGACGTCATCACTGGCCGTGCCGATGATCCTGCTGATGCTGATTGACGAGCTGACCATCATGGACCCTCAGCACTCGGCAGGATACAACGATCTGGCAGAGTGGTGTTTGCAGGATGTCTTGAAGCACGTGCAGCGAGGGGGCGTGGTGCTGGAGAACGTCTCCGAGGACGGCGAGGAACTTCCGGGAAGTGTTGGGAGGTTAATGAATCCAGGTCAGAGGTCAAAATGCTTCATAAAATAAAATGTACTTTATAATTAATTCACAATTATTTTAGTTACATATTTCAGTGCCCACATTTTTAGGAAATGAAAATTCAAAAAAAAAAAAATATATTGTTTATTTATTTATTTTTTAAAAACTTTCCAATACTTTTTAAAATCCCACCACTAAGGCCACGCCATAGAAACTGGGTGGGTTCTGCTCGAGCAGGCTGTGAACAAAAATAAACCAGAGCTAAAGCAAGTGGCCTTGGAGACGTTCATCATGGAGTCGTTCAACAGGGGGTGGGACGACGATTACGGCGGCCTCTTCTACTTCATTGATGCAGACGACCGCCCTCCTGTCCAGCTCGAATGGGATATGAAAGTAGGTCACGTGGGTATTAATTAACAGAACACGTGATTGCAATTAGGGGTTGAATAGAAGTTTTAAAAACCATTTGCAAAACATAATTTAATTTTGTAAGTAAGAAGTTTTTAAAATAATATTAGTAAATCGTCATGTTATAGTGTTTATTTTGGGCACCATTACAGGGGGGGGGGAGTCGGAGTACGTACACTGTCGAACTCCCCCCCCCCCCCCCCCCCCGGGACAAATAGAAAGAAACATTAATTTAAAATGGAAAATATATGATTTAACCACTGTGCGACCACACCCACCCCGCTCAAACAAAAATATCTGATCGAAACTTAGTGCAGTGGCGTAGCGAGGTCGGGTGTCACCCGGTGCGGCACTTAATGGTGTCATCCCCCCCCCAGAGGCGTGCCGACTCTTCCCGGGGACAAACTTTCAATTTCCGATTTGCACCCCCCCCCCTCAAACTTTCGATTGCACCCCCCCCCCCCTAAAATTTTTCTCTATATATTTTTCTATTTTTTTATGCCTTGGTGTTACCCCCCCCCCCCCCCTAAATGGTGTCACCCGGTGCGATCCGCACCCCCTCGCTACGCCTCTGGCTCAGTGAATTACAGTCCAAATGTGTGCATATTTTTTCCTAGCTTTGGTGGCCCCACTGTGAGTCTATGGTCGCCTTCCTGATGGCCTACAAACACACGGGTGAACACAAGTACCTCAAACAGTTTGCCAAAGTTTTCGACTACTCCTACAGTCATGTAAGTGCCTTGAACCTTGATTGGTGCCAATAATTGTACAGGGGTGGCTCCCACGTTGGTATATTTAAAGAAAACTTACTAGCAGTAGGTCGTACCAATATTTTTTTAATGTTGCTACCCTCGGTTAAAAATTAGCTGAGATGTAACGCATACCAAAGGAAAAAAGCGGACATGTTTTTACAAGCGGGTGTTAGGGTGTAGTAATTTTCTCAAAGACCGTATTTCTCAAAAAATTTTCTTCTCCTAAAACATTTCAATTACGTTTTATTACTATTTCAACCTACGTATTAAAAAAAAAAAACAGGACTGATCTTCCTTTAAATTCTAGTGTCTTCATATGTAACAGTAATTTTTTTTTAACCCCTGATGCGTTAAAATTTTATTTCTCTCTGTCAGACTGCCTCCCATATATACATATATACATTGTTTTAAAATTTGATGTTTCAGTTTGTGGACTTTAAGCAGGGTGAGTGGTTTGGCTATCTCAGCCGTGAAGGAAACGTTAAAATCAATGCCAAAGGGGGAGAATGGAAAGGTAATACAAGATTAAAAAAGAGTTGTCTCCCTTCTCATTGAATATTTTTTAAAAAAAAGTTGAATACGAGCAGTAAAATAACCCTCTTTTCCTCCCATAGGGTGTTTCCATGTGCCCCGTACCCTCATGCTCTGTGAACAAATGCTCAAAGAACTTTTACAAAAACAAGGTCAGACTTAAAGAGTTTGGCTGTACACACCACACCAGCTGTGCACAACAGCCAGTGATTCAAGTCATCAACTCAGGATGTTTACATCCAGAAACATTCAACAAAGTCCATGACCACAGCGTATTTCTGATATGTATATCACCATGTATTATATAAGATTGCAGGAATAATTTACAGATCAACACAACTGTGTACGTGTTTGTACATTTATGTAACTATAACATACTTGTTTTAAGTAATAAAATGATTGTCCACAATTACACGTTTGTTTTTAGATATGTGAAATTAAAAAATTACGCATCAAATAGAGGAAAAATCAAGTCCGAACTTTTTACTAAGTAACTTAACTAAAATGTTAGTCTCAATTTAATAAAAATGTAATACTTTTTTTTGAATCTCATCCTTAATAAAACATATAGTTAGATCTCAATTCCTCCACAGTGTGAACCCATTTAACAAGACTATAGGAAACTATAAAAACTTAACAAGCTTAAAACAACAGTATACTATAAATTCAGCTTGACTTTGTTTAGAGATAAAATAATCCAACTATGAATCCAACAGTGCTCTGCACTACTGTGAAACAAGCTACAAAACTGTCAACTATTCAACATCTTTCCTTAACTATCACAAACATCAAGTATTTAATAAATTAAGTCACCAGTGTTTGTGTATAACTGCAGACAAGCATTCAAGTATTTAGAATTAAACCACCAGATTAAAAAAAAACAAGAAACAATTATGTTGGGTTAGTCAAGAAAACTTTATTACTTTATACAGAACTGATACAACATTACACTTGTCATATCATCGTGACTCCCACCCAATCAACATTCAACAACAGCGGAATCTCACAGTCAAACATTGTATGATTGGCAAAATCTAAAATAACTCAAAATTAACTAGTCTAATATAAGTTTAGTAGTTTAATGTAGCAAAATTTGCTTTACTGGTACTATAATTGTACTGCTAACAAAACAGAAATTTTTAAACACATGTTAAGTGGTATCAAATTGATTACTAATCTTTACAAATATATAATTTAAACATAAGCCACCCAAGTATTGTTGTTCAGTGTGAACATGAAATTCAATAATCTCTGCTTGGTTTAAAATTTGAACACTATGTATTTTTTATTTTCATTGAAAACATTAGATAGCATAAAAAAATATTTAAGTTTAAAAAAAAAGAGCGTTGGTGTTATAAATAAAAGTCTTTAAGCAGCTTCTCCTTTTTCCATATAAATGCTGACTAGACTTCCACTTTGTTTGTTATGGTGGGGATCTGGTTTACAGCGGTGGGTTCCATGTTGGAGTAGATGAGAAATATCAGGATGAGAATGACAACAGCACCCACAATCTTCACCCATGTTGGAATTCCACCACTTGTTCTTTCTTTAGACCTACAGTAATAAGCACAAAGTTGGATAGTTTAAATACTTGAATACTAAAAAAAAAAAATGGTCAAGAATACATTAGAGATAAGGACCTTTTTAAAGTGGAAATTCTTTTTAAATTATTAAAAAAGAAAACCTTCTTACCTATTCAACTTTTACCCTTTATTTAATGAACTTCAGTTTTAATAATAAAAATCCAGTTCAAAATAAGATTGTGAAGCATAAAGTAAATTAAAAAAAAATTATTAAAGAAAGACAACTGGAATAAAAAATGATGTACCTTTCAGTGCGTTCTGTCTGCACATCTGTGGCTGGGGTGTAGGAGACTGTTGTCCTGCGTGAGCTGGAGAGTGTTGGTCTACTTTCTATCCTGGGGGAGTAGGTTTCTGGGGTTGGTCTACTTTCCATTCTGGGGGTGTAGGCTTCTGGGATGTCTCTTCTCATGCGTGTTGTTTCTGATGTCTCAGATCTGGACCTGATTTGTTACAAAATGACAAGGTTATTTTTTTCCTGTTATGTCAATGTAAATACTGAGATAATAATTATGTAGATCACAAAATAATAAACAAACACAGATCCTTTCACTTACACTTGATATTAGACAAATAGTAATTAAAAAGGCAGTGTTGCTATACACATTGATATAAGTATTATAAGGCACCACACTACTTCAAGTGTTAAAATTGAACAAAATATACACACATGGGAAAAATACCAGTCAACTCTACAAAAAATGTAATATGTAAATCTTACATGACTGGAGTTCTCTCAAGAACAGGTTGCCTGATTTGAACCACTGAAAAAAAAAACAGATCTTATTAGTTTGCTGTATCTAAATTTTTAAAAACAAACTTCTCTAAAGTTTGTGCATTTTATATTTTTTATATACAATTTAAAATTGTAAAATTAAACTGATACTGGAAACTTAAACACTAAAGTCAATTTCATGAGACAGTAACATTTAACTAGTTTCTTTCATTAGTTTAGACTAGTTTTTAAAATTTAATTGGTGAAGACTAATTGCTTAATAAGAATAAGAAAGACCAAACTTAATCTTTATCTTCACAAAATTCAATTAAAATGCCTGGTGAAGATTCAAAGTAAAAAATCTAATGACACAACCGAGCTAACACTTACACTTAAATGCATCATATTAAAGACAAAGAAAATATATCATGCACATTAAAATTAAAAGAAAAAAGAATTAAAAAATAATTTTTATCAAATTTACCTTCATCTTCGTCATCATCATCTTCATCTACTGGATCATACTGATGAGAGGGTGGTGAGTCCAGACCAGTTTTTAGCTTTATTAACTTGCGTTCATATGTTTTTCTTGTAGCCCCTATTGAATGCAAAACAAACATATATTGGATAACAAGTAAATTATAAGTCAGCTGTATTGTGAAAAATGATTTATGAGCAGTTAGTATTAGTACTAATGTTAGAAATAGGTGTACTTTTGTTAAAATATGTGCTATTATAATTAATGATGACTAAACTATTTTTGTATGTTAAATATTTTTAAACTGATTGTCAATAGTGGCAGGTACAAACCATTGATTGGGCCAACATCAACTCCATAATCTTTCAACATCTGGGATAATTCTTGGTCACTGAGAGAGCTGAAGTCAAGGTTTTGTCCGACTGGTGGCATTTTCTTTAGTTAGTTTCTGAAAGTTAAAACTACAATTAATGAAAATTTATTGAAAAAATAGAAGCAGTGAAGCAGTCTCTTGCTTAACTCGAATTTATTGCATTATTTTAAATGAACTGATTTTAAAAGTCATGCCTATGTGTAAAGGATATTAAAAACAATTCTGTATTGTCTCAGACTAAAATAACAATGAAGATTAATCCAACTCTGTGAAGCGTTTAAGGGCTAAGCTGAATCCATAAAGCAGATTCCTCCATTGTGGAGATGAGAAAAAATTTGTAACCTGCTGTTAGCAGATATGACGTGTAACACAAAACAGAATGGTGAGGTGGTAAAAATTCAAGAACAGCCAAAATATTCACATGACAGGCCACCATTTGTAAGGTACGGAAAAAACTCAAATTTTTGTTTGGTTAGCATACATGTGAAGTTTGGTTAACATACGTGTAAAGTTTGGTCATGAGAAGAACAGAGAGGAGACCTCTATAGTTGGGAATGTAGCCATTGCTAACTTTTGGCTACATCATCATCTTTTCCCAGTGATCTGCAAGTAGCAGTAGCTACTTTCCAACATTTACTGCCATACAGTTGGACCCTAAAGACATTACTTTTGTAAAGTGTGCATTAGGTCTTGGCAGATTTTTTGGTATGCATGCATAAAATTGCTCTGCTTTAGAGATGTATGTTTTCATTTCAGTGCTTAAATCTTTTACATCCTCTATTTATGTGTTGTTTGCTTTAATGGACTCTTGGCTAGTTTAACTTTGTTTTATAATTTTGGTTTTATGTTGAGTTTGAGTCCAACTCCGTTGGCAAAATAGTATGTTTAGCTTTTCTTGCTTGTCTTTTTGAATACTAGCTAGTAGTTATGTTTGCAAAATCTAGGTCCTCTAGGCTCGTTGTTAGTGCCTATCTTGCTATGTCTGCAGTTTGCATCAGATAGTCAATTACTAGGTTAAAAAGCAGTGGGGATAGAACACATTTTGTGCCCTGACAACCCCAGAGCTATACAAGCGAGAGTCTCAACTCCTGGCAGGTTCAACCAAGCTGGGGAATCTGAGTGGACAGGTGTCAGATGACAGTTAACAATCTGGTGCTCCAGGTTGGGAGTTGTACATAAAGTCGGCAACCTTATGCCTTATTTTGTAACAAAAAAAAAGAGAACTCGCTTCAGAAACCAAAGCAGAAATTTATAAAACTTGCTACACATAAATAGACAGTTAATTTAAACAAGGCTCGACCTTCAACTATTCACTTAAATGGTTCACACACATTAAGAAAGTGCACACACAACCGTGTATCACCAGCCAGTGGTGTCATCATTCAAGAAAAAAATTTACACAGACCAGTGCTGCCATAAGATCTACCAACTCAAATGGCAGAGTCATCAATGTCTGACATGAGCATGGTGACAATGGTTCATGTCATCAATGACGTCGCCAACTAAGTAGAGCCCACTATGTTGGAAGATGATGTACTTTATAATTATGTCATTGTCTAGATTAAAAAAAAAACAACTTGCAACTTCAAAACTCAAATTTCTGCCTTTGGACACCCGTCCCTGCTTGTGTATAGAGTATAGTTTATTCATTTACTTTCTATTTTAATAAGTGAAACAAACATATAAATAATGTTGTTCATTGTTTTATTAATTAAAAGACAGCAAAAACAAATAAATTAAAAAAAAACTGAAGGGACTTGTGTGTTAGTTTTAATTAAATTTATTAGCAACTAGATCTAGATTTTTTCTAGATCAAAAATAGAACATAAATTTACAGTAATTAATTAAACTGAAGATAATAAGAGAATAGAAAGTGAATTTTCATTATAGAAACAAATGTACACAAAAATATTATTTACACATACAAATGTACACGGGAACATAAATTTATATAATACTATCTAACCCATCATGTGCGCTGCTGCTCTCTCAGGAGGAAGGCAGAGACATATATATATAAATTTTATATAACAAAATTTACAAAACTGTTGCCGCTGCTCTGCATTAACATTTTTTGAAGTGTGTGTGTGCAACATGCATGCCACAAATATCTCACTGTACCTACAGATTTCTATTGAAAGCAGATCTCAGGAGAGAGCCAGAACAAAATTTATGTTAGATCATCCTCTAATAACATGACATCATTTCAGCAGATGTTATTATCACTGCCACCATTTTCCTGAATCTCCATACTATCTTCATCTTTTTTGTGTTTCTTTGCTTTTGGGCCACATGCTTTTTTTTCTTTCTTCTGTAGACCTTCTGTTTTTCTCTTTTCTTTGATCAACTTCTGAAATTGCTTTTTTTCTTTTTTCTTCTTGGATTCTTCCCGCAGTAATTTCTTCCCCACTTTTTTTCTTCCTGCTTCTTCTTTCTCACACAATTTTCTTTTCAATGCCTCTCGGAATTCATGTTCACTTACAAGATTTGGCGGAGTTGGAAATAATTTTTTTGTTGCTTTGCCTTTTCTATTTGGGGATATAAACAAAGGGATTTTTAAAATATCATCCACTGTTAGGGTAGCTTTCATTTGTTCAGGTACATTTACTTCACCAGATTTAATAAGCTTTAATGAGAGCTTTTTAAATTTATTAAAATCCTTCTCTTCATGGCGACACGAAAAATCAGAAACTTGGGTACCCGCAAGCTTGGAAAAAAAAGATACAAGTTGTTTTCTAGATATGTCTTCTTTTAAGAAAAAAGCCAAGTCTTTTAAAGCTCTCAACTGCTGGGCAGTGAACTCAGATTCAAATACATTATTAGTTGATGTTGAGGCAGAGCAGTCATCAAAAATATGAGCAGAGTTTGAAGGTTCAGTACTGATTTGCGTGCTGTCCAAAATAAGATCAGAGGTTGAGGGTTCAGTGCTGATTTCGGTATTGTCGAAACTTAGGTCAAACATAGCGGGTTCAGTGGTAATTTCTGTGTCATTGTCAAAATCAAGTGAAGGCAGAATGATAACATGTTGGTCTAATTGGTTTTCAGATTTTACAGGACAGGAGAAATGAGACATAGTTTGGGTTTGTTCAGAGGTGGATGGTTGTTGATTGCTTGTTGCAGTGGTTGCATCACCAGTTGGTGCAGCACGGTAGACCTTGCTTGGTTCCAACTTCCCAGACTTAAGAACCTTGTCTGGGTTATATGGATATATTCCGGCAGCCTCAAAACTCTTGGCGGCTATTTCTGCTGTTGCTGCTTTATACCAAACTGGTCTCAGCACCATTGCAAATGATTCCAAATTTACCCCGTCGCCTGTTTGATTTATGTGCTGACGTAAAGCTTCAGCCCAAGCAGTCTTGATAACCCCAAAGAAGGCTTGATCTAAGGGTTGCATCAAATGACTGGCATTGGCTAGGAGACAGTACAGAATTATGTCATTTTCTGAGCACAATTCTGAGGTCTCCAAAAGCGAAGTGTGGCTAGTGTGGCCATCCACTAGAAGAAGGACTGGCTTCTTGAGATGTTTTACAGCTGGGATGAAACTATCCCTGAGCCAAGAGTGGAAAATGGCAGCATTGATCCATCCATTGTTGGAGAGCTGTAAGTTGGCCTCAGGGAATGCCGCTAGCAAATTTTTTTGGGGAATGCGTTTGTGAGGATAAATCAACATGGGCGGGGTGTACTGCCCAGTAACGCTAGTGCAGGCCAATACTGTCACCTGATGTTTTGTGAAAGGTGTGACCCTGTAGACATGTTTGGAGCCTTTACAGGCTTTTACTTTTCTGTTTTTCATGTCGAAACTGAAACCTGTTTCATCAGCATTGAAAATCCTTTCAGGGGATTCCAAAATCGTAGGGTCGATTCCATCCACACATGTCTTGAATCTAGAAAACCATTTTTCTACCGCTGCTGGGGTTATAATAGCTCTTTCTTTTCCAAGTGACATGGGAGTTCTCATTGACAGCTGAGGATGGCGCTTCAAAAAGCCGTACAACCACCTGGTTGATGGGACTTCAGATTTGCTTTTGGAAGCAGCATTTCTTAGTGCCATAATGGCTTTGGCTGTTGCTTTGACATCTTCATGTGTCTTTCCAAAGCCACGTTGCGCCAAATCAATCAGCCACTTTGAGAGCAGGTTTTCTTCCTCTGCTGTGAGAAGAGTGTGTTTCGTGACCACGACTGGTCGTCTTCCTACCAATTTATCACGCAACGTAGAGAAAGGGATTCCAAATTTGGAGGCTGTTTCTCTAATCGACGACTCTTTAGATCTGATACTGGCTATGGCAGCATTAACAACGTCAGGGCTATGAATAACTCGCTTGAGACGTTTTTTTACTGATTGCTCAGACATGTTTGTAGAGATTCAAACTAGAAGTAGGTCATCTAAAATATTTTTTTAAAATACAGAAATTTAGAAAATCTATAGACTTAGATTTAAAGTATCTAGACTAGCTTAAGTCTCTATTTAAAATAAGATAGAACTACTAAGATTTTTACTGGTGTACGCAGCAAGGGTAATGCTAAAAAATGTATGCAGACATGCCAAGTCATCGCGACCAAATGAAGCAACAGTCATCCATAAAAATAAAAAGAGGTTTTTGAAGTAAAAAAAGAGGAACATAAGATAAATAAGCCTTACATAATGAATTGTCCACATCAGGTACGAGTTATTAATTTTAATAGTGATATATTGCTAATATCTAGCAGGATGGTAGGCACATGTGCGCATGCCATATCTGCAGACACCCATTTTTTCCCCCCTAAGATTGCGTAAATAACTGTTACTATATAATTTATAGTGTAATATATATATATATATATGTATTTATATATAAGACCCAGATCAGAGGGGAAAATTGAACCAATCAAGTCCAGGTTTGTGAGTAATACTATAAAAAAGACAGCATCTCTCATTTAAATCAATTTCTGGACCAGTTCTACTTCTACTAGAAGTTTTAGCTATATATTTACCTAGACTATTTAAATTAGATCTTTGACAGGTCGTAACTTCAAAATTAACAGTGAAAATAGTCTATATATATATATAAAATTCTCTACGTAGGGACCATACAAGACACCACCAAGTAAGGGCTTAGCTGTTCCTTCCCCGCTCTCTAGGCTTATCGCTACCACCCATACCCCACCAGTCTGGTGAGCTGTGGTTCACCCCGAAAATGTTTACAATGTGATGGCTGTTAGGGGCAGATAATTCAGCTTTTAAACAATTTGAAACCAAGTTCTCCTTGATCTTTTCATTGTCGTCTGTAAACTGGCGACACAGACGACCGCTTTCATGGGGGGGGGGGGGGGGGGGGGGGGGGGGGTGGAGGGGAAGAGGAGGAGGGGGAGAAGAGAGGGTAGTGTCGAATTCACAAATTATGAATTACTAAAAAGTAGCAAATAAAACATCTAAATAGCGGCATGGGTCATCTCCTATAATATAATGGCAAAACATTTTTTAATTCTAATGATAAATTATGAAATGGGTAATTCTGCAGGCTTGTTTCAGTTTGATGGTATGATTTTTTTTAAAAAGTTGATTTTACTATGAGTAGCTTGGCTTATGCAAAACCATGGTAAACTCTTCATTTATGAACACTTCAGTTTCAAGTGCTTTCGTTTTCCCCTTTAAATAACTTTTTTAAATGTTGCATGGTACGCAATTTTCTATTTTTCAACACCCGGATTAAAGTGACGTAAGGTTGGACTTAGTGGCAAAACTTGAATTAGTCAACAATTAGCTAAAAGGTTACACTAAAAATAGCTTCTATATAACTATGGAACATCAAAATGTCAAAGCTAATGGGTTTTTTTAAATTAAGCAATAAAAAATGGGTATTCGCAGACAAGTTAGGCCTTTTAATTTGGGCTCTTCACCAAGTGAACGCCAAACAATATGTGTATAATTGTGCAGAATATTATTAGTATTATATAAATCACATGCGTTTTCTGAGAAATCAGAAAGCAATCGGGGGCCTACTTAAAAAACAAGAATATCTAATTGTAGGAATTCAAAATCACACATATTATTAAAGTAAAATTGTTGGGGAGTGTTAAGGTACCATTTGTTTTTTTCTATGTTCAGTAGTTTAGTTAGGTCTAGTGGTTACTGAGTGACCACTTGGTAATTGGAAGTTACTCTATGAACTCTAAGTCCTATCTAGAACTATTAGGCCTATAGTAATTAATTATTAATTAAAGTAGTCCGCCTGAAACGTCACGCTCCAGATTTTTTCGTTTGTTACATTTATTTTAGGGGTCTTATACAAGACAAATGAAAAACCTGCTAATCTCGCAAAATCTCATCAGTATTATAATGCGAGACGCAAAGGAAATAATACTATGCCTTAAAATTTGCGAGATTTGTAGTTCTAATTAATACAAGCATTTCTTTTGGAGCACTCTCCGAAAAAACTGAACTGCCACAAAAAAGTCTGACACGCGCGCAAAAGCGCCCGACAGTTCCTAGTGTGTATTTGAGATAATTGATATTAACATAATTAGTTACATTAATGTTGTTTTATTTTTAGACTTTGTCAACCTCGTCTATGCCAATTGTGTGTAAAATAAAATGTAAGCAGTTGGGACATAATTAGTTACATTAATGTTGTTTTATTTTTAGACTTTGTCAACCTCGTCTATGCCAATTGTGTGTAAAATAAAATGTAAGCAGTTAGGACTACTACTAAAACTAGTACTACGTAGAACGCGTGGGTGTTCCTAGTATTTTCTAATTCTGTAGGCCTACTCTATTCATAATACTCCAAACATAATAAATTAATAAACTGATAAACTCTAATATTTTATACAACTAGACTAGATCTAGATATCTAGTTCTAGTGTATAATCTACGGTTGTGTTTATAATAAAATACTAAAAAAAATAGCTCGACGAGGGGGTGCTGTAGATGATCTAGTGAAGCGGCGAATAAAATGGGAGTAATAATAAAAAGGCCGATGCTAACCAGAAAAAGATACGCATGCGCAATGGCGATAAACTACAACTTGTCTGTCTTCGCTGCGATGTTTTCGATGGTACTGCGCGTTACAACAGTAGAACCCTATAGCCCTAACCCCTACCCTAATCCTAGCCCTATCCTAATTTAGCCCTAACCCTATCCATAGGTCACTGCGCATGCGCAGAACTATCTTTTGCCGGCTAGGTGGAGACTGGAGACGTTGGGGCGAAAAATCTTTTTCCGAGTCACTTCGTAATAAAAATGGGAGTTTTACCATAAAATTGTCTAAGTCTAGTAAATAAATAGATCGGGTAAAATCACGATATAGCGTCGGAAATTATTGGGTAATGTTCGTTGAGTTTCGGTAACATTCGTTACTGTAAACCATAGTTTATTTGACCGTTGAAAGAAAAATAAAGTCAAGTGCATTAAATTAATGGGTAATCTATCGTTTTGGGTACGTAAAATCGCCCGCGGCTAGTAATGTACGAAAAAGTTACCTCATTGTCAAGGCTTTAATTGAGGTATATTTTGATATATTTGTGTCAAATATTATAGATAAATGAATAAATAACTTAAATCAATAGCTAAATATATCAATATAGGCAAGAAATTAACTTTTAACCGCAGTGTTTGCGAGCAGGATTTCCTATATAAACAGCAGCCATTTGTAAAATAGAGTTGCCTTCCCCTGATCTCGCGCTATAAATTAACAAAGAAAGAACTTAAACAAGATGGCTGCTAGAGTAAATGAGCATGGTTGCATCTGTTGGAAACATCGCTAGTATTCATTTATTATTGAAAAGTTTTAATTCAATTGTTTGAAAACAGGTACATAAATGAAACAAGGAAACATTTTTGTATTTTTCAAAACACAAATCCTCCTCAAAATGTGAAATAATTATTAAAATTTAAGGAGTCACCTGTTTTTCACATTACTAGTCGCGGGCGATTTTACGTACCCAAAACGATAGATTACCAATTAATGTTTTAACTTAATTTAATGTTTAACTGACAAAAAATTAGCAACAATTAGTAAATCTAAATATTATTATTAAAGTCGAGTGTAGTAATTAATGTTTTTTTTAAGAAACAGAAAAAACTTGCAGAAGATTTGCGACAACCAGCTCTAGTTAGTTATGTTAGTAAAATAAGACGATTAGATTTTCTAAAGTTAAAAGTAGTAAGAATAACCAGAATAATGTTTAGTAGCAGCAATAATTAGCACATACACTTAAAATAATTAGAAATACAAAATAATTAGCAAAACAGTATTTAAATTGCAACTAAAATCAATCCTTGCCCATTTTTCAACATTATGTATTAAAAATAATATGGCGGCAAATAAATGATGGTTTACAGTATTTCCGGTGGTTTCCGGAACGGCTCGACAGACTACGCCATGGTTTTACTGTTTTTTACTGCTGTACAGTTCCGGAATAATAACCGACGCTATATCGTGATTTTACCATAGATCGGCCCTACAAATTTTGTCTTAAATAGTCTCTAGATCTAGAAATATCAAAACAGTATTTGGTAGACCTCCTAGAAATGAAAACCAAAACCCACCAAAACCGAAACAACAGTTACAATCCAAGACAAGATAGGCCAGTCGAAAAAAATTGTTATATTTAAATTTCTATTTCCGGTTTATATTGAGCCAAAGGAAATCAATCTACTAACCATAACATTAAAAAGTTAACAGTGAATCACGTTTGAATGATCAAATAAATATTAAATGGTAAAATAACTAAAATGGTTAGGGGTCATCCATAAATGACGTCACACTCGTAGGGGGGAGGGGGGTCCGAAATTTTGTGACGGTGTGTGATGAGGGGGAGGGGGGTGGTCAGATGGTGCAACGTCACACTTTTGCATTATTTAAAAGCAATGTTAGAAAACGAATTTTAGACGTTATTTCGCGTTTTTGAAAACTGTTTTAATAAATAGCAATAGGAGTTTATTAAAATACTCTATTTTGACAGAGTTCAGACAAGATTTTGGAAAAATATCGATGTTTTAAGAAAAATTCAACTGCGATTTTGAGGGGGGGGGGGGGGGGGTGAGGTTGACGTCATTTTAGGGGGGGGTCTGGCTTTTCGTGACGATGAGTGACGGAGAGGAGGGGGGCAGTTAAAAATCGTCCAAAAAGCGTGACGTCATTTATGGATGACCCCTTAGCAACAAATATTGTGTGTGACAACTCATTCTTAAATCCATTAACGTCACAGGTCGCAAAATGATGCCAAGAATCAATCTACCCCCGAATTGTGCTATTTTGATTTATTTAAACTAAATAGATATGAACTATGACTATGTATGTTATGTTTTAGTTTATACAATAAACAACACAATTTGTATAATATGAGCATTGCCTCTCCCCCTTCCCAGAAGCACGTCTGCCCCCCCCCCACACACACACATACGAAATAGAATTCATATAGAAAATATATATTTTGCCGTCTCAGTTTTTATGCATTTTTACTTTCTCATATACAGAGTAGGCCTATAGCGGAAGTATTGTAATCGTGCACAAAAATAACATGAAATTCGGACCGTTTTCACAGTTCTACTTCTCAGCACTTTATCATATACGCAGTATAGGGTTAAATTTTCATCGTGCAAAAATTCTAAATCCAGTTTTATAAAAATTTAGGCGTTTTACGCGTAATCGAGTCGGAAAAACTGTGCTTTGCAATTCAGTCCGCGTGTATGTGTGTGTGAATACGATAACTTGAGTACCGTTAAAGTTAAGTTGATGAAATTTCATGCATAAATATATCAAATTTGTAGTTCTGTATCAACTTTTCAGCGATTTCCGATAACCAGACGGGGAACTTGTTCTACTTTTAGTTTTTCAAAAACCTATAATTTCACATATAAATAAGAGATCTAATACTCTGCCTTCTGTCAATTTTGAGTAATTTCCGTTGACCGGAAATAGTAATTTACGCGATTTCCGATTTCTCAAAAAACGAATATGAATTTATAAAGTACTATTATTCCACACTAAATTATATAAAGATATTGTTTGCCGTTCACTTAGTGCGCAATTCTTATTTTCTACGAGATTCTATTCTATTTTAAAAAGTTTAAGTAATTAAAAATGGATTGAAAATCATGTCTATATGCCGAGTTGCCATCCCCTGTAGTGTTATATAAGAATATTCGAGAAAGTTTACTGGAGATCGCTAGGCCTATCGCTTTATTTTAAAATTAAATTACAGAAAAGTGTGTTTGTTACGGCTGTTATATTCGGCAATTAGTATTACCACGCAATGGTGGATTTAGATCTCCAAACAAGTTAAGAAGTAGCTCTGATCATAGACTTAGAACTAGATCTAGATCTAGATCCTCTAGATCTAAATTATAAATAGATAAAGTAGATTCTAATAGAATCTAGATCTAGAGTTGGATTTAAACTAACACTAACTTATCAGTAAACGATAAACATGGACAGTAGCGAAAGTGATACTCCCTGTGAACAAGCACTTGCGGTTGATGAAAACTGTGATGATGATTACGACCTCAGTATTCCACCAACATCTGGAAATGAATACTTACGCCGTGTTCGGTAAACACTGAGTAAACAGAAATAAAATATATTAGATCTCTAGTAGGCCTAAATAGTAATAGGCAAATTATCTGGTAATGTTTGTTTAGTTTAGGTAGCATTCGTAACTTGTAGGGAGGCTCACTAACTTAAAAGCGTCCTTGGTTGCTAACCAGAACATGGCGTAAGGATCGGACCATGACTTCCGTCGAGTTTTTCGACTTAGTTCCAGAGACCTTCTTAGAATTACTTTTAAAAATGTTTATCACGAGTAAAATGGCGGGTTTTTACGTTATAAAAACATGCTATAGGTGGCAAGGTTAAATATGCCAGAAAAGCATTTTCAGAAATTGCTTTGGGGAATGTAGGCAAAATTTAAAGTCGGTGTCATTCAAAATAATTGAACTTTTTAAATATAGATCTCCCTCTCACAAAATTGATTTCCATAGTAAAGCATTATTAGTTTTATCATTCTATGAAAAAATAAATCAAATATCTTCAACCGTTTTTTTATAAGATCGGCCGAGAAATGACAACCACATTTTTTTATTTTTTTTTTGACCACGTGACCGCTATTTGAATGGATACGTTTACCTGGCATGGTTTTTTATTTTGCTCTTTTGTACAATAAAAAGTGTCATAAAATTAAAGAAATAAAAGAATTCAAAAATCACTTCTGTCTTGTCTTTTTTTAAATTCTTTTCTGATGACATTCTCTTAAATTTTTTTCCTCTAAAAATATTTCCCGACGATAGACGGGCCAATTCTACTTTTAGGAACTCTCTTGTGAAAAAAAATTAGATCTATTTCACGGTCACTTAAAAAGTTAAACCTTTCAACTTTTAACCAGGTTGTCATGGATGATCCGTCATATCATAGCTGTGAGTGACAAATAAATTTAAAATTCAATAATTTAGTCTAAACTCGCTACAACCCCCAAATTTAGTGCCTAGAGGATAAAGTATGGACGTTTTTTATTCAGTTGTCATGTTTAAATTGAGAATTAAGTAGATTTCACAAATAGTAAGAAAAACTAGTAACTTGTTAACCATAGCCAGTTTATTTGAAATTAAAATAAAGTCAAGTGCATTAGGCCTGAATTAAATTAATGATGTTTAATTAAACTTAATTTAAAGTTTAATTGACAGAGAATCAGCAACAATTAGGCTAGTAAATCTAAAAATTATTAGGCATTAGGCTTAATAAAGTCGATTGTAGTAGGCCTAATTAATGTTTTTTTAAAATTAGGAATAGGCCCTACAGAAAAAAAACTTGCAGAAGATTTGCAACAACTAGATCTAGATATTTAGAATCGACCCTTTGAATCCCGGACAGATCGTCCCCCGTTGTGGTCTGCTAAATCTTTTCTCTAGGTCGAACACAATCTTAAAAATTGATACCAGGACTGCCCGATTTTTTTCATCTTAGCAATTCAAGATTTTTACCACAGGTCGAAATATAATTCCAAACATAATAGAGCCATTAAGTTATAAGTAGTAGATTATCTGGACCTGAATTTGTATATTAGAGTTTATTAGTTATATATGTAGTCCCTTATAAGGTATTTAATAATTTTCCCGATACCTAATTTTAGAATGCATCCTACGGAATCTCGCAACACTCGGCGATCTGCATAGTCACTTTGTTAAATTAAATGAGGTGTTTATCCTTTTATAAACTACTCATAACATAAGTAAGCTAAAATAAATTTGAAATGATTCCATTTGAAAAAAACTGAGTAGGCCTAACTCATTTCATGGCTGCTAAAACTTAGGAAAAAGCGTCACCTTTACGAATTTGGCTTGGGAGGGTCTGTTGGTACTTACTACAAATACAATAGCCCTATTGGTACTTTGCTTATTTTAGCTGACCAATCAGATTTATTTTAAATTTATTGTCCTGAGCACGTGTGCATAATTATTTTTCATCATCTTACGAATGACACTCAAGTTTTGAACATTATTGGAACTGTTCAGTTGGTCGAAATGGTTACGCATCGGCTGGATTGTTTTCATGGCATGTGTTCCATTTCTTTCGGCTCGGAGTTTTTTTTTTGCTTTTTTAAAATTTTACTTTAGGGATAAGGGTTAAGTTAGGTATTAGGGTAGGTTTAGACAGTTTAGGATTAGGCATTAAGGTTAGGGTTAGGCATCATGGATGGGGATTAGGGTAGAGTTAGGGTTCAGGGTTAGTGATAAGGTTAGGTCTATAAAAACTTAGTTCTACATTTCATGTATAAGGGAATTTAAGAATCACAGAAAAATGCCTCACGCTGATTGGTCAGAGTCCAAATAACCTTCATAGGGCTATTTGCAGTGAAGTACGAATAGCCACAGCCTTTGGCTTGTTTGTTTATAGCAGGCCAAGTGGTTGCCTGTTTTTGTTTTATCATAATGTTTTTGCCCTTCTTTTATTTAATCTTAACTTAGTTAATATTTCAGAAAGGAATTCCTGTTTTAAAAACTAAAATATGAAGAGTGGGTTGCTGACATTTTGTGGTGATAGGGTGTTAGAAATATTACTAATACATTCTTATGTGTGAATGTGATTTATTTCTAGGCAGGAAGCCATGGGATGTCCCAAAGTTGTTGTGGCAGATTTAGATACCAGTGCATTCCTTTCTCAACAAACTGTTAAGGTTTCCGAGGTAAAAGTTGAATTTATATTATTATTAAAGAAATATATGCTGATTTATATCTAATAAATAGTAATACGATTGAGTTTCACATTTGACTCAGTTTTTTGCATGTTTCAGCCTGGGGGCCTATTACCTGTGCCACAGAACTACAAAGCTTCTCAATGTTGGCAGAAGTTGCAAGTTGCAGAGTTTGCTTCTCTCAGACAGGTCTTTAAAAATTTACACTTTCCATTCACATGTTGGTGAGGTTTTCATAAGTGAAACATATTTCTTTCTTGTAGGGTATAGCACTTTTTAATTTTAAAAATATTTAAAACTTTTCAAATAATTACAAGTCATTTAATGTTAGGTGTGTTTTGATGATAAATTTAATATTCTTGTTCATGTATTTCAGAAATTAGTACAGTATAGATCTCTGGTCAAACAGAAAAAGATAGCTTTATCAGCACCAAATCTGGTAGGTTCATAAAAACCACAAGGAAGATTATTGCCATTTATCACAATTTACTAATTGAGTATGCTATATCCTATCTAGATTGTGGGCAGCTTTTTTTCTTAAATAAAGCATAGTGAAGTATTTGCAAAAGACCTTTGTCCACGTACTACACTGGATGCATTGTAGGCTGTTGTTCTTATTTGTTAGATTTTCATTGCACATGCTTGACTAAGTGGAATACAGCACACTCGAGAGGGAGGGATTAGCTCGTCTCAAACACATTTTAACTTTGGCAAATTGAGAAAATGAAAATAGTATTGGTTGCATTAGTTTGATATTTTTTTATTGTAGTACAAGTTAAGTGCACTATTAAGCATGGGATAACATAAATCAAAGGGTATCTATATTTTATATATATGTATATCTGTGTGTGTGTGCATAATATTGATGTTCTTAAACTTAAATATTTAAAATTTAACCCCAGAAAATGTCAAGATTTTTTTTTTGCTAGAGTTTTCAGTTATTTTAAGGTACTGTAATAAATTAGATGGCAATTTAACTAAGGGAAGTAGACCTATTTATATTTATTGCTTTATTATTTTCCCTCAGCCTCATGCAAACAATGCAGAAAACTGGTGCAGGTTATGTTTTGGTCGTCTCAAACTCAAGACTCTAAAACCAATGATAGACAACTCTCGTATGGACGATCAGAGCACAGACAATGTTGAAACAGAGTTTGGTGAAGAAGGCACGCCTCCATTGTTGCAGATAATTGTACACATGACACAGGTGAGATAATTACTGTAACACAGCAGGACATTATGGGTGTGTTGTATTCAAAATCACCTGAACTATGAGGGTGGCCTGAGAAGTTTCTGACCTAACACGGAATTGTGTAGTTTTTCTTCATATTACTTTATTTCTGTACATAGATCTCTGCACTGGTCCCAGCAATGCTCCCTCCTCATTTAACTGTCTAACTATTCAGTACAAATGTTCAGTTGAACAGGTTTTTGATCTGGAGTGAGCTAACAAGGCTGCTAGTGTTAATCTTATTTTTTAATATATAACAAAAAGTACCAAGGATATGTTCAGTGCTATCTCCCAGGATCATTGGGTGATGTTATCAACAGTGGTTGAAGATGTTGGTAGACTCACAGGTTTATAAATATATAAGCTGTTCAGTCTCAAATGACAATCAAATAATTACTGCGCATACAAAATGTCAGTTGTCAACGCATGTGCAAACACATGCATCAAGTTTTGTTGACATATGCTGCCATGTTCATGTTGAGGTCGGAAACATTTCAAACCACAATTGTATATTATTGTTATGAGCTTGTTTATTTGTAGCATTTTAGTCTATTTAAAACACTTTTTTAACTTGTTTCATTATGTTTATTTTTTTAGCATCAAGTTACAAGTGTTCTGGAATATCATGTCAACTGGTTGGAAGCGACTGGGTTTTCATCAAGACAAGTAAGTTTCTGTTCACCAACTGATTAGATCATTAGATTTTTCCTACCTATACTTGTGTAAGGTTATTTTATAGTGGTAGTTATTTGGTGCCTTTTGTATTGCTACATCTCCATACTCTGAAGATGGAGATGTAGATGCATAACCAGCATTCAAATAAGTATTTTTAGTCTGGTGGTTTGAACATTCCACTCGGAGATGTGGCTGGGGTAGACTCTGTCATATGGTTTCAGATTTAGATCTTAACTTTTTACAGTCTGCATGACAGTGATTTTATTTCCCATAAGGCCAGTCAAAAATACAATGCATTTTACAACCACTGCATTTTTAAAGTAACCACTTGTTAAAAACATTAAACAAAAAGCACTGTATAGCAAAATGATCTAAGTTGAATAGCAATATTAACAGAAAGTGATATTTCAACGCCAAGGGTTTCAGTACCCTTGGCGTTGAAATATCACTTTCTGTTAATATTGCTATTTCAGTTACAACGCCTGCTTCCACCCCCCTACACGTCTAAGTTGAATATAAGTATAAGGTTAAACTGATTAAAAAGCTAACTAATACAGCAATAATATTAATCCCAGAAAAACAAAACAAAATGCAACTACTAATATTATATCAATGAACAGGTTCTTTTAAATGTTACAAAAAATTCACTGGAACTACATTCTTTTTCAATATTGCTATATTAGTTACATTATAAATAAAGCCTGATTCAACAGCAGAGGCATTTTAATGAAGTTTAACTTATTGCCCGTAACTTTAAAAAATAATTCTAACCTTAAAAATGAATAGAAAAATAAACAGCGAGTAATAGAAATAGAAAGCAAATGTAAACAATAATTCTAACCTTAAAAATGAATAGAAAAAAAAACAGCGAGTAATAGAAATAGAAAGCAAATGTAAACAAAACCTATTATTTCCCGCTTCCTTTGGTATCTACTGACTTGTTATCAACGAGGCTTACATTCTACTCATAAATAATTTTACAACACATAGTTCATTTGAATATTGACGCATTAGACGGTATCCCAAAAAGGAATTCTTGGGTATAAGACTGTAAAAGGTTAAGATGCTATTTATGTAGTATTCTAGCCAGTTTTACTGATACATGCATGTTTTTTTTGCAGGGTCGTTGGTTCTTTGCTTTATTAGCTAGTCTTCAAAAACCTCTAACTCCTGAAGTCTGCTCATGGATTAGACGATTAGCTCGTCTTTGTTCTAACATCAGAGCATCACTGGTAAGTGTCTAATGATAAGTAACACATCATTGTATCTCTATCCCTGCACAACACATCACTTCATCTCTAATCCCTGCACAACACATCACTTTATCTCTTAATCCATGCACAACACAACACATCACTTTATCTCTAATCCATGCACAACACATCACTATCTCTAATCCCTGCACTATACAAGTGAGGATTGAATTACCTTTATCACAACAGCCCTCATTCCCTTCCTGGTATTCACCTTATTCATTTTTAACATTGAGCTTACTTAATGAGGTTTATAATTGGTAAGCTTGTTCTAATACAAATATATATCTCTTACAGGACAGCCCTGATGATCCCAGGCTTAACGAACTGAATTTAATTATCTGTTTGGTGTCCCGCTACTTTGAACAGAGTGATCTAGCTGATTCATGACAGGACAAATCTTGCAGCAAAAGTTTCCAGTTGTAGAATGTCATTGTGAGGAGTAAAAAATTTTATGTTGGACGACTCACTGAATGTTCCTAGAAGTTTTTTTATTTTCTGATGCTAGGATTTTTATGTGTGAAAAGATTTGAGAATTATTCAGCATTAAATTGTATATATAACCATGTTGTTAACTGAGTAATTTGTTTTTGAATATGTTACTAATTCATTAGTATGGGCGTTAAAATGAAATTGATTATCAGAATGGTCATTAAATTAATAAAAACAAAAATAGTATTAGTTGATTATGGTTAATTTAAAAATTGAACTAAGAAAATATCTACTCTTGCTGCTCATTCATTTATGATAAAATAGTTTCACAGATAAAAAACAATTCAAAATAGTTTCACATTGCTTTAATAGTCTTGAATGTATTCAAAATATGTCCGGAACAATACATCTCCATAGGTAAACAATGTTAAAATGGATTTCATTTTTAAAAAAAAATATTTTAATGTATCATCATATCACCCAGTTTTAATGAACAAAAACATTCAGCAACGATTGTATGTAAAATAAAGTTCTAACGATCAGAAACAGGCTAAATTTCTGCTACAATAAAACAGAAGCTATAAATAATGATTACACAAACCCACTAAATAAATAAAAATGGATACATATATATTAAAATACTATTTCACTGTAACCATGGTGGGGCTTTTGTTGGAAAAGTTAGCCTCTAGTTTATCATGCAACATCAGAGATAAAATTAAGAGGTTCAGTTGATACAAATATTTCCTTTTTCTCAGCATATTACAATCTGCACAATATTTAGTCTTGTGGTGAAGTTCAATTAACACTTCCTACTTAAATGCCTTTTATAACAAAATATCTTAATCTCTTCCTTCGTATGATCGATTTCATTAGAACTTTGGCACAACAATTTAACCATCAAAACCTATACTTGTAGTAAATAGGGTTATTTCAAGTTGTCTACAGAAAAAAAAAGTTACCACCTTTCACCATTAAATTAAAAAAAAAAGTTCTCAGATCATACCCTCTTTTACTGAAAATGAATCCATTTGAATAGAACTTTAGCAACAAGTACCTCTAACTAAACCTTGTATAGCATTCTCTCACACTACTAGATGTAGGTATCAAAAACCTCTCAACCACTATTGCCCCTGCTAGATAAAAATATCACATAGATTCTATTGCAGCAGCTCATGAGAGCTGGATCATCAACAAACCAACAACTTTTTTTTCTTCAAACATGCAACAAAAATACTACTTGTAATACAACTAACCCTTGTGTCACGAATTCTTCGTTGATTCCTGATATCAGCAAGAAAAACATGTTTATAACAGAGATAATTTACGAGGGCCCCATCATGTTGTTGTGCTGGACTTGCGTCTGCTGAGCTGCTCCAAAGTTGAGGCTGTGTACAGGCCAAGTTTCAGCCCAGTTTTAGCCCGGTTGGCGTTGAAGTGTTTCACAGGAAACGGGTTGAAAGGGATGCTGGCTTTCCTGAAGGCCATGGGGTTGGTCTGCGTCCTGGCCGGGGAGGAATGTCTGCGAGAGTGCGTGGTGTTTTGCTTGACGTGCAGGATTTGCTTCTCAACTGGCTTCCCCTGGCTGGAATGTACATCTTGCTTCTCCAGTGATCTTCCCTCACTGATCCTCCTACTTCTAGTGCCGTCAAATGTTAAATTCAAACTTCTTGGTACAGCCACAATGGACACAGGCTCCGCAGGATTAGTTCCCACTGGTGGCTCCGCAGGATTAGTTCCCACTGAGTCAGGCACCAGGTCTTCACAATGTTTAACTTCACTGTGACACGTGGGCTTACAGTTTCTTACAGGACTCCGAGCACCTGTTACAAGGTTTTCCGTTGGGTCTATTGGCACAACTTTTGTGGAGATAGTCTCACTTTCTGATACAATAGTCTCACTTTCTGATACAATAGTCTCACTTTCTGATTCAAAGGCCTCTGTGGTCAATAGTTCTTTACTCTCATTTATACTGGATGGATGCAGGCTACCAGAGTAAATTTTGTCGCTGGACTGATTCAAGTCCGGCATGGCGGATGGATCAGCATCTTGAGCTGATGGAAGACTTGAAGGAATGTCAACATCATTTCCTTGGTTGTCAGTCACAATTTGCATAGGGTGGCACTGAGGTATGGGGGGACTGACAGTGCATGGAGCTTGCTGCTGGTGAGTGCAATCCGTTGTCAGATGAGATACCATGTCATCTTTTGTTAGATGAGATACCATGTCATCTTTTGTTAGATGAGATACCATGTCATCTTTTGTTAGATGAGATATCGCTGCTGCGTTATGGGAATTATGAGGGCTACAATTTTGGGCAGCCAGTTGTAGTTGGTTGAGAAAATGCCGGAGTTGTGGGTTGTCTGCTGGTGAGTCCTCTGGGACTGGGTTGTCTGGAAGTGATGTAATACTTGATGATGGCTGGGGTGCTGGGTCATGTGTGACAACCTGAGGTGACACTGGGGTATCCATCAGTGGTTGAGCTGGGGTACGCTTGATTGGTGGTGACATAGGAATATCTGTGGTTGGTGGTGGTGACATTGGGATATCTGTGGTTGGTGGTGGTGACATAGGAATATCTTTGGTTGGTGGTGGTGACATTGGGATATCTTTGGTTGGTGGTGGTGACATTGGGATATCTGTGGTTGGTGGTGGTGACATTGGGATATCTGTGGTTGGTGGTGGTGACATTGGAATATCTGTGGTTGGTGGTGGTGACATTGGGATATCTGTGGTTGGTGGTGGTGACATTGGGATATCTGTGGTTGGTGGTGGTGACATAGGAATATCTGTGGTTAGTGGTGGTGACATTGGGATATCCGTGGATGGTGGTGGTGACATTGTGTTATCCGTGGCAGGTTGATGTGATGTCGCGGTGGGTGTAACAAGTGTTGCAGGGCTGTTGGTGACTGGCTGTGATGATGCACGTGTATCTGTAGCTATTTGCAGTAATGTTGGGACTTTAATGACAGGTGGGGATGTCGGGGTGTCATCAACTGGCTGAGGTGATGTCGGCATGTCTGTGGCAGGTTGTGCTGGCACTGACGAATGCACTGCCGATATCCCTGTTCTCATTCTCTGGCTCTTGGAGACGGCCTTCGCGTTGGCCACGGCCTGCAGCTGTTTGGCCAGAAGGCCACTGTTTCTGGTGTAGTTCGGGGCCGAGATTCTGGGTCCGTCTGTCAGCAGCCTGTTCTTGGTGCTGGTCAAGCCTTTCCCCACAAACAGGTGATTCATGGCTGTGGGAGACTCAATGTTGGGCACCAGGGCAGCGACCTGGACCTCCATTGGACCAAGCTTATGGGAGGAGGCTGGTTTTATTTTCTTTGCTGAAGCAGCTGGAAATTAGAAAATTGATTTACACTTAGGTTTATTTTTTAAACTTACTGTGCATTTGGTCAATATAGTAAGTAGAAATGTGAAAACATTTTTTAACTTTTCAAATATAAATCACCCAAGATAATATTATTATAATACTAAATTTAAAATTAACGAGGACTAAGTTATGCAAGCAAAAATGGTCATCCATTCATAATTTTTATGATCCATTTACTATTACTATAAGATCACGTAGAAGAAAAAGACTCTTGGTTATAAAAATGTACAAATTAATAAATAACATTGAGTTTCTCGACAATTTTTTGTCAATGATTTAAAGCATATTTAAAATAATTTTTTTTATTATAAATTAGTTTCATTTAACTATCGTCTATCAGCCTTAAAACATAATTTTTGCTTCTGAACCAATGTATACCTACAAACTCCATAGTATTTTAAGTTCATATGGAAAACGAGTCACCCATTCTCTTTGTTGTATTCATATACAATAAAGAGATAATTATTATTATATAAACTTTAGCAAATTATTTAAATGTAACATAAACAGGTCAGTAGAAGATCAAGGTAAATGATTGTTAAAGCTCTAGAAAGTGGACTCAAGAAAAGTATTTTTAACTAAAATTTGATAATGAAAAAAAGGTGGTTTAAAAGTGTATAACTTCAAAGATAAAGTAAAACAAATTGTGTGGTAATAAAGTGCATACATTGTGAATTATAGAAAAGTATGAATACATTATTAAAACAAATAGTTTAAAAAATTACCTCTCCGAAGAAAGCTATGTAAATATCTGAGTAAACAAAATTTGCAATATAGTACACAACTTGATTATGTGAGTGCATCATGAAACATTATCTGTTTAATTACTTTGGTGAAAGTACATGACCTGATTACAATAACATTAAACTCTAATTACACTCATGTCCAGGGAAGAATGATATAGGGACAGGTTTTACATAAACTAAATCTTGTCTATCACATTGTTTTAATTAAACATTTTTCTTGTCTCTGACCTTTAATAGAAAATAAAAAACTGAGCAATGGAGGGACTTTACATCCCTACATTTAAAAATGTAATATTTTCAAGAGTTGGTGATTTTTTGGGGAAAGTTTACAATGTGGCTGCATAAATTGGTAAAAATCTAAAGTAAGTTAGTATGGATTAAGGTCTAATGAAGTTTGTATCTAATTCTTCAAACCCTAGTTTGTGCCTATAGTAATTAAAACTTTTTTAAAGTGCTGGATCTACTAAACAAGAGGTCAGCTAACAATCTGGCTATATCTTTTAACAATCTGGTGATATCTTTTAACAATCTGGCTATATCTTTTAACAATCTGGTGATATCTTTTAACAATCTGGTGATATCTTTTAACAATCTGGCTATATCTTTTAACAATCTGGCTATATCTTTTAACAATCTGGCTATATCTTTTAACAATCTGGCTATATCTTTTAACAATCTGGCTATATCTTTTAACAATCTGGCTATATCTTTTAACAATCTGGCTATATCTTTTAACAATCTGGCGATATCTTTTAACAATCTGGCTATATCTTTTAACAATCTGGCCATATCTTTGAACAATCTGGCCATATCTTTTAAAAATCTGGCTATATTTTTGTGACAAACAGGAAACCTGACAATGAGTGTAAATAGATTTTAACATGACTCTGTACATTGCACCCCAACCAAGAAAGAAAGATACCTTGCAGTGAAAGGAGGAGTAGATGCAATCTGGGTCTAGTCCAGCTAGATGAGACACGGAACACAGCTAGAGTAATTTTTAGGTCATTTATGGGGCAGTTAGTTGGTCATTCTTGGGGCAACTAGTAAGACTTTCTTAGGGCAGATAGTAGGTCATTTATGTGGTAGTGAGCAGGTCATTTATTGGTTGGCCAGAAAATCAATAATAGGTCAACTGTGACCTACACTCTGAAAACAAATTTAACAAACCTTCCCCCACATATATGTTTTGTAAACCTGTCAATTTGGTTAGTTTTTAAACAATAAGGATAGCACATGTTCACTGGCAAAAAAACAACATTTTAAAACTAATAACATCTAATAAAATAAATTAAGAAAAAATTGTTACAAGCTGGAGAACACTTTAATTTGTTATAAAAGCAGGGAAACATCTAAATTTGTTACAAGCAGGGAAACATCTAAATTTGTTACAAGCAGGGAAACATCTACATTTGTTACAAGCAGGGAAACATCTACATTTGTTACAAGCAGGGAAACATCTACATTTGTAACAAGCAGGGAAACATCTAAATTTGTAACAAGCAGGGAAACATCTAAATTTGCTATAAGCAGGGAAACATCTAAATTTGTAACAAGCAGGGAAACATCTAAATTTGTTACAAGCAGGGAAACATCTACATTTGTTACATTTAAGGAAACAGGTAAATCTGTAACAAGAACTACATTACAATCACAAAACGAAGCCTTACCAGCAATGATGATATGAGCCTGGCGCTGTCGTTCCTTCAGCCTCTCGTACTGAAGCTTCAAGCTGTGAATGTCTGTGCTCATACGTTCCATTTGTGGCGCGCCTTTGCTTGCACCTTCCTCCAGCATGGGGCCATACACGCCTGGCCCCAACACGGATATATCTGATGAGCTCACATCACCTGCATACACAACAACAACAACTGCATGAGATTGTGATTTAACTTACGTTGTAGAACACGCCTTACCCCAACACTGAACACAAACAACAACAGACTGATTAAACTAAAGTATTGCTGGAGATTATTGCTGTATTGATTCATGCAACAGGCAGGCATAAATCTGCCATGCTGGTCCCCTGCATCTAATTATATTTGCTAATGAGCACAAATCAATATGTGAGTTTATTTGTTTAGGTTGTAACAACAACAAATCCTACCAGGCATGCAAGCCATGGCCGCGATGTCTTCTTCATCCAGCTCGTCATCGTCGCTATTGATCAGAGATTTAATGACACCCTTGCCTCCAGTCTTCTTGTTGCTACCTGTAGCCTGGGAGAAGGGGCGGATGTTGTAGGTGTATTTCTCACGCAGCTCGTTCAGGTGAGGGAAGGGGAAGTCACCCAGGGAATAGATTGACTGGAATGGTAAAAATATTTTCCTTTTATTTAGAAATTTATAAATAATCTCATTAGAATATATTTTCTATGATTTTACAAACAAAAAAGAATATTGGGTACAATAATTCTGAGAAATAAATAGCAAAAAATTTAAACATTGTAATAATAGTCAATATTATAAACATTTGAATAAGCATGCAATACAAATGCTTACAGTATATTCACAACACATTTTCATTTGTTTGGCCTGCCCTCTTAATATGCTCTAGTACATCAATACAGGTTTAAAGTACCCTGATTTTAAACAATCAAACAATGGTTATTGAATATTATAAATCTATTCCAAGATGTCTCTACTGAAAAAACCAGGATAAAACTTTACTGCATACAGATGAATTAATGTGATTTTTTGTTTATTTATATCTTATAAAACATGGGCATAGGACAGTAACCCCTTCCCCCCACTTCCCTTCAGCCAATAATTCCCCAGGTCAGTCAACCCCCTTCCCTCAGTCAAACTCCCCCCCCCCCCCCCCCATGAGAGACTATGAAATAAATAAAAAACTTTATCTAGAAATTCTATAGATAATAGATCCATACCATTTCCCGGGAACCCAAAAACTGCAGACTTTACTTATCCCTTACAGAAAATTTCCCCACACTGACAAAATAGAGCTAGGGCTAGGGTTAGTGTTAGGGCTTAGGGTAAATTATTAACCAACAGGGGGTAATGCACTACTATATATATATATATATATATATATATATATATATATATATATATATATATATATATATATATATATATATATACAAATATATGTATGTATATAATATAATATAAAGTATTGTATTTTAAAGAAGTATTATTCAACAATACAATATTTCAATATGAGAACCAATGAAGGAGCCAGGATAAACATTGATTTTGTAGCTCTAAGAAAGAAACAAATCCAGCAACAGCTGTATGCTGATTAGGAGAGCAACCTGAGGCAGTACAGTAAGTTCACACCTGTATTGCTGTGGTTGGAACATTTTAATTTGACTCAGTAAAGAACCCATTCTAATCTGTTCACACCTGTATTGCTGTGGGTGGAACATTTTACTTTGATTCAGTAAAGAACCCATTCTAATCTGTTCACACCTGTATTGCTGTGGTTGGAACATTTTAATTTGACTCAGTAAAGTACCTACACAGGCGGTCCGTGGGGCAAGTGAAGTAGAGTTCACCTTGTTTTTGTGACCTTAATTAGGATTAATTTCAATGAGGTGAAAGATGACCTAGGTCAACGAACCTCTTATTAAAATAAATTAGGTTTAAGTTATTTTGAACACGAGGTTCATTGACCCTTTACATGTCAATTAGCTTTCCATTAAAACTAGGGTTCATAATGACATTTGTGTCTACTTGGACTACCCAACTTATTTCTTTTAATCTGGAATCATTTAATCAGAAGACCTTTAAGGTGAACATTAAATGATGCCACACACATAGGAAGAGAGGGGGTTCAGATTTTGGTAATGAGACTTGAGGTATTCGATGTAAAATAAGGTTTGTATTTCTTCAGGATAAATATTAAGAAGATGTTAATTAGGGTTGGTTATGGCTTTTAAATGGGGAGAGAGGAGCAACATTATTTTAAAGTGTTTTGCTTTGTGTAATGACATCAGGGGTGGGGGTCACTTATAGACAACCTCTTGTGTTATAAGAATAAGACAGGTAGATTAAATCATTGTTTGGTTTACTGTAAAACACATTCTTGAGTTATGCACAATTTGTATATAGTATTCACTGTAATACCAAAAGTTATTTATTTTATTGAAACACAATAGACCCTAAAGTTTAAGAGCTGTGCAGTCTAAATGCTAGTTTTAAATCTCCTGTACAACAAGATTTAATTTTATTTGTTTCATGAGTACTGACAACTGACATAACTGGGCTAAATTCATGTTTTTAAAACCATTTGTACCACACACCATGTAGTTGACCAGTGACAATTAAATTATGTTAGCAGTGGTGTATCTCACATAGAAGTAGGGGTGTCTTAAGTCACATGGCAGTAAACATCAAGGTACAGACATTTGAAACGGGAGATTTAAAAAAAGTTACCTTTATCATAGTGTCCCCATCAAAAATATATCCCTGCATGATACTCGAGGATAAATCTCCCATTAGACAGTAGAACTCGTCAGCACTGGACACACCCATAATACGCCTGGAAAAAAAAATAGAAACAAATATTTATAAAAAATATTTTTTTAACAACAACAGCATCAGAACTATAACCAACAACAACATCAGCTCCATAAACTACATCTATAATGGTGTCACATAGATCACCAAGACGAACAACAAAACCATGAAAAACAAGACCATTACCACCCACAAAAACTTAACAACCATAACCAACAAAAAATAAAACACAAATCACAAAAACCCCACCACCACCACCAACAATTAGAAGATTTAACACCACCACCATCAATTACAGCACTTAATGCCACCACAAACACTTAGCAGCAACATCATCAACACTCAATAATAACATCCCTAACACCACCAACACAAGATCAACATCACCAATTACAACATTTAACAACACCACCACCACCACCAATTACAACACGTAACAACAACACCACCACCAATTACAACATGTAACAACACCACCACCACCACCAATTACAACATGTAACAACACCACCACCACCACCAATTACAACATGTAACAACACCACCACCACCACCAATTACAACACGTAACAACACCACCACCACCAATTACAACACGTAACAACACCACCACCACCAATTACAACATGTAACAACACCACCACCACCACCAATTACAACATTTAACAACACTATCACCACCACCAATTACAACACATAACAACACCACCACCACCAATTACAACATGTAACACCACCACCACCACCAATTACAACATTTAACAACACTATCACCACCACCAATTACAACACATAACAACACCACCACCACCAATTACAACATGTAACACCACCACCACCACCAATTACAACACGCAACAACAACAACATAAACAACAATCACAACACTTAAAAATCAGCAACATCACCAGCAACTACCAGCAAACCACTTCCTTACTTGGCCAGCTTCCCCCAGATGGTCAGGGCCGTCCTGAGTAAAATCTCTGACCCCTCCAGTAGGATGGAGTCCCAGACTCGCAGGACAACATTGACAGGCAGGCAGGTGGCAAACAGCGTCAGGAACCACTGCATGGTGAACACATTGGTCAGTGGCGGCTCATAGCAGGCGCCTGCAAGAGATGGTCAGTGGCCAGGGATTAGTAATAGGATATTATATAAATGTGACGGCGTGGTGGATTGGCAGAGTGTTCTACTGCTAACCAGAAAGTCTAGGATTCGGGTCCCTGGCTAAGAATTGTAGCACATCCTAAGCCCACCCAACTCGGATGGGTACCTGACTTATGTTAGAGAAAGTAAAGATGGCTGGGCATAGTACTGATAACACTTTCCCTTCCCCTGTCCCATGGACAGTAAGGTTCAAATAGGTACTTTATTAATATTTGTTTCAATAATTTTTTGTATTCCACTTTTTACAAAATCCTGCCACTATATTTTTTTACCTGTACGGACGTCTTGCGCTGCCATCTGTAATTTGTCCAGGTGTTTTGCCAGTTTTGGGTAGGTCAACTTGAGGAGGTCGCGGAAGACTGCCATGTCCACTGATAAGGCCCTCAGGTTGTTGGCAAAGTAACTCTCAGGTAAGACATTGTCCACTAGGTAGATCATTACCTGCAGGTGGGAGAAAGTTTTTTTAAACAGCTTTAATTAACACCTGGTCATACCAAGATTACAACATGCAGATACACACACACACACGCTCAAAAGGTAATAAAAAAGTTGGTCTTATAAAATGTATGCTTTATATGTCAGGTAATGCTGAGTGCACCAAAATCAATCAAAATTGCCAAAGAAAGTATTGCATGGCAGTTGAGTTAGATACATATGAAAGCTGAATTCACTAAAGAGCTCAGTACCTACATGTTATGAACTGGGTATACAAAAAAACCTGAGTACACATTAGAGCAGGGTACACATTAGAGCTGGGTATGCATTAGTGCTAAGCACACATTAGAGCTGGGTACACATTAGAGCTGGGTACACATTAGAGATGGGTACACATCAGAGCTGGGTATGCATTAGAGCTGGGTACACACTAGAGCTGGGTACACACCAGAGCTGGGTACACACTAGAGCTGAGTACACATTAGAGCTGGGTACACATTAGACCTGAGTACACATTAGAGCTGGGCTGGGTACACATTAGAGCTGGGCTGGGTACACATTAGAGCTAGGTACACTTTAGAGCTAGGTACACATTAGAGCTGGATATAATCTCAGTTCAACATGAAGCTCCTCAGTTCCTTATATCTGGAGACAGGTGTGAAACTTACCTTGAGGGCATCGTCTTCCTTTCTGTCCATGACATTGAGCAGCAGGGCAGCAAGCACGTTGAAACCCTGACAGTAGCCAACTCGCTTGTTCCAGCGGGCATATGCCAGCAGCAGGCGTTTGAGGACTGCCCGGTCCTCGTCGTTGTCGTCACCACTGAAGTTACTGCAGCCTGTCCTGTGGAGGTCCTGGAGGGGGAGGACATAGTCGTTAGATGGGGGACATAGTGGTTATATGAATATGGAGGACATAGTGGTTATATGGGGGACATGGTGGTTAGATGGAGGACACATTGGTTATCGTAACATCAGTTGGTACAGTACCATTTTAAAATTCTTTAATGTATTTAAATTCACTTTTCACGATAAGGCAAGATTGCAATCAAAGGGACATAATTCAATTTTTAAAAAGGGGCCAAGAGTTACCTTGACTATTTGCATCCCCAGCTGTTCGTCGTCGGGATTACTGCGTTCATTGAAGACAAACCTCACTGTCTTCTCCCAGTTCATCTTGAGCTGGAGTAGATAGTGGTCAGCCAGGCTAAGCCAGACCTAAGGAATAAAGGAAGTGGTCAGTTGGTCAGCCAGACCTAAGGAATAATGGAAGTGGTCAGTTGGTCAGACAAGTTAAGTCAGACCTAGGAATAAAGGAAGTGGTCAGTTGGTCAGACAAGCTGTCAGACCTAGGAATAAAGGAAGTGGTCAGTTGGTCAGCCAGACCTAGGAATAAAGGAAGTGGTCAGTTGGTCAGACAAGCTGTCAGACCTAGGAATAAAGGAAGTGGTCAGTTGGTCAGGCAGACCTAGGAATAAAGGAAGTGGTCAGTTGGTCAGCCAGACCTAGGGATAAAGGAAGTCATCAGTTGGTCAGGCAGACCTAGGAATAAAGGAAGTGGTCAGTTGGTCAGACAAGCTGTCAGACCTAGGAATAAAGGAAGTGGTCAGTTGGTCAGCCAGACCTAGGAATAAAGGAAGTGGTCAGTTCGTCAGCCAGGCTAAGCCAGACCTAGGAATAAAGGAAGTGGTCAGTTGGTCAGCCAGACCTAGGAATAAAGGAAGTGGTCAGTTGGTCAGACAAGTTAAGCCAGACCTAGGGATAAAGGAAGTGGTCAGTTGGTCAGCTAGAGCTAAGAATAAAGGAAGTGGTCAGTTGGTCAGCCAGACCTTGGGAATAAAGGAAGTGGTCAGTTGGTCAGACAAGTTAAGCCAGACCTAGGAATAAAGGAAGTGGTCAGTTGGTCAGACAAGCTGTCAGACCTAGGAATAAAGGAAGTGGTCAGTTGGTCAGCCAGACCTAGGAATAAAGGAAGTGGTCAGTTGGTCAGACAAGCTGTCAGACCTAGGAATAAAGGAAGTGGTCAGTTGGTCAGCCAGACCTAGGAATAAAGGAAGTGGTCAGTTGGTCAGACAAGCTGTCAGACCTAGGGAATAAAGGAAGTGGTCAGTTGGTCAGACAAGCTGTCAGACCTAGGGAATAAAGGAAGTGGTCAGTTGGTCAGACAAGCTGTCAGACCTAGGGAATAAAGGAAGTGGTCAGTTGGTCAGCTAGAGCTAAGAATAAAGGAAGTGGTCAGTTGGTCAGCCAGACTTAGGAATAAAGGAAGTGGTCAGTTGGTCAGACAAGCTAAGCCAGACCTAGGAATAAAAGAAGTGGTCAGTTGGTCAGCCAGACTTAGGAATAAAGGAAGTGGTCAGTTGGTCAGACAAGCTAAGCCAGACCTAGGGATAAAGGAAGTGGTCAGTTGGTCAGCTAGAGCTAAGAATAAAGGAAGTGGTCAGTTGGTCAGCCAGACCTAGGAATAAAGGAAGTGGTCAGTTGGTCAGCCAGACTTAGGAATAAAGGAAGTGGTCAGTTGGTCAGCCAGACCTAGGAATAAAGGAAGTGGTCAGTTGGTCAGCCAGACCTAGGAATAAAGGAAGTGGTCAGTTGGTCAGACAAGCTGTCAGACCTAGGAATAAAGGAAGTGGTCAGTTGGTCAGTCAGACCTAGGGAATAAAGGAAGTGGTCAGTTGGTCAGCCAGACCTAGGAATAATGGAAGTGGTCAGTTGGTCAGCCAGACCTAGGAATAAAGGAAGTGGTCAGTTGGTCAGCCAGACCTAGGGATAAAGGAAGTGGTCAGTTGGTCAGACAAGCTGTCAGACCTAGGAATAAAGGAAGTGGTCAGTTGGTCAGTCAGACCTAGGGAATAAAGGAAGTGGTCAGTTGGTCAGCCAGACCTAGGAATAAAGGAAGTGGTCAGTTGGTCAGCCAGACCTAGGGATAAAGGAAGTGGTCAGTTGGTCAGACAAGCTAAGTTAAATCTAGGGAGAACGGTCTGTTAAGTTCAGCTAGAGGTAACAACTTCCCAGCTTAACAATGTAACACAAATGACCAACATTTGCAAGCCAAGAACTGTACCTTTTTCCTGAACTCTGGCGGCATCCCCATAGGCAGTCTACACACGGCCTTCATGGCGTCACGCCACTGCTCGAAGGCACTCTGGCCCGGGGGTGGCTGGATGCTGAACTTCATCCTGGTGTCGATCTCTGAGGAAACATTGATGGACCAATGACCACAGGCCCCATTTGATCACACGGTACATACTGTTAAACATGATTACCATACGCTTAGAACTTCAGAACTAAGCTTACAGCAGGGGTGGGTAAAGTGCGGCCCGGGGGCCACATGCGGCCCGCCTCAGAGTTTTTTGTGGCCCGCCACACATTCAGAAAACCCCGCTTTGAACTGAGATTGCTTCATGCCCTCGACCGAAAGTTCGTCTCGTATTAAATACAACGAGCTGACCCGCAGCGTATCATACGCCGCTATTTAGTTGTTTTATTTTCTACTTTTCAGTAATTCATAATTTGTGAATTCGACAGTACCAATGCTTCCACTGAAAATATCTATATATATAATTCTCTTCTTCGAGCCGTTAGAAAACAAGCTGCAAACGCTCTCCCTACCTCCCCACCCCTACATGGTTTTAGTGAGCTGTGTTCACTCTAAATGTTTACAAGCAGAGCCAACGATTTTAAACGTAGGGGGGGGGGGGGGGAGGAGGGGGGGAGGGAAGGAAGGGGGGTGGGGTTATGGTCCTTAACGAGCTACTTATAGTTTTTTAAAGAAATATTTTCAGTGTCAGCGTTGGTACTGTCGAATTCACAAATTATGAATTATTGAAAATTAGAAACAACTAAATAGCGGCGTATGTTATGCCGCGGGCCGGCTCGTTTGCTTTAAAACACTAACCCCCCCCCCCCCTTTCCCCTAACCCCGACCCTACACCCCCCCTCCCTTGAAAGCAGCCTCCTCTTAGTTATTTCTTAGTTACCTCCTGTAAGTTTAAAATCGAACTAAATTATCTGCCCCTAATAGAAACCCGGCTCTACGGCTCTACGATTTGTAAACATTTAGAGTGAACACCGCTCACCAGACAATGTGGGGGTGGGGGTGGTAGTGATAGTGATGGAGAGAAAGAGAGGGGACTGCAAGGAGGCGCTTGCAGCTTGTTTTCTAACGGCTCCCAGAAGAGAATTATATATATAGATCATTGTAAACGGTGAGGCCCTCCGCCCTAATCTGCTACCGCAAAGTGGGCCTCGAGCCAAAACAATCGCCCGCCCCTGTCCTAGAGGATACATCACGATAGACGACCCAATGATGTATTACGGTGTCAACTATAGTGTGAGAAAGTTGACAAACTAGGGACAAAACATTTCATTTTTATTTTAGAAGTCGTAGAACTTCTGTCTTAGTGGGTTTTTCATTTTATCTCACCCAACGGAAGGTTGTGATTTTATTTAATTAACAGATTTTAATTATACAATGCTAACATGCTTAAAGCCTTAAGGCTAGGAAAATATTCACGTTTTGGCAAAATATCTTTAAATGTATCTGGCTACTTGAAAAATTGTTCGATCTAGATCTAGGTCTAATGCTCTGGCTTAGGAAATGTTCGGGCGAGAATAAGCTTTGCCCGTTTCCCCGTTTTGAATTGTATACCGTGTCAAGAGTAAGTACAACATACGAACTATTTCTTACTCTGTCAGCCCAGTTTTTGTCCCACTCTATTTATTGTCGGTTTCTCACTTTGCCGTGAACACGTATAACACTACTCTCGATGGGGGGGGGGGGGGGGGATGAATGGATTGACAAGGGTAATGGCTAGAGTGGTATATGCCCTATAACCCACTGATACATATAATTGATACACCATAACAGTTCAATGCAACTGATCGAATACAATCACTCAATTACTGTAATATAAGCAACAAGTATCGAGATACCAATCAACCGTAAAACTAACTGGTCTAGGATAAAGACAAGCGCGCAGCATTAAACAATGTGTGGTCCGTCTATCGACCAGCACATCGCCGTTTATTACCCGAACATCAAAGCAGTTTAATCAGGCATCCCACCACTGAGTAGCGTTGTAACGATTTCAGATAGCCTCCCACCAGCCACCATAAAAAACAATCACCCGACAGAAACGAACACGGAATTACAATTTCAGCTGGGCGATGTTGATCGATACATGTATTAATAAAACTTGAATTACCCACTGGCTTTATTTACAGTTCTAGCGTCTGGTCTAACGCTTCTCATGTCCGGTCAGATTTTAGTATCAGACAGTTCCACACGGCCAGCTTCTGATCACTCCCCTTTTGCTTCCAACGTAAACACACGTACGAAGTATACATGTACTTGCTGTGATAAACACACTCTTAACAAGTACAGATCCCCAACGTTAAGACACTCTTAAGTACAAGTTCCCAATGTTTGAGACAATATTAACAAGTACTAATCCCAAACGTTAAGACACTCTTAAGTACAAGTCCCCAATGTTTGAGACAATATTAACAAGTACAAATCCCAAACAAAGACAATTACAAACTCCCAAAGTTGGTACCACGACTATATGGGCACCTCACATGAACACACAGCGTTTGAGATAACTTACAAAGAAAAACGAGACCAATAGGAGATTCCATTGTTTCAAATAATTGTATAGATAAAGTTCAAGAGAGTCTAAGTAGTGGAGCGAAAATGGATTCTTCAATCACGGACTAGCAGATGGATATTTACTCATCGCATGAGGCGATCCTGCTGGAGATGGACATTTCATTAACTGGATATGGAAGGGCGGATGGACATTTCATTAACTGGATATGGAAGGGCGGATGGACATTTCATTAACTGGATATGGAAGGGCGGATGGACATTTCAATCATTAATTAGACAAGGGCGCGCTGATGGGAAATCAATTAGATGCACATGTGAGAGGAGATGGAATTTAATTAGCTAGATAAGGGACACTGCATGAAGTGAATACGTTCTGGAAGAACTGAACACACTTTTAGTTAAATTTGTATTGTGTTAAAGGCACAGACTACAACGAACTCACACCCCACTATACTTACACTGCTGAGGTGTCTTAACTTCTGTATCAAGTAGGCAGGTGGTAAATATCTCCAAAAATCCTATCTGTTTTCGTGTATCAATGGACAATTCTTTTACATGTGTAATCCATGGCTAGAAAGGAAGGGGCTCTCAATATCTCTGAACACGATGCTGTATCGAAATTGTCACTTTCTTTCTCAAATTTATGTGGCAAATTTTAACTTTTCTTGATGGTATATACGATGGCACTTTAATAAATTAATATCTACTGACAGTCACTGATGCTCTGTAACATTGGTATACACTAATGATTTCTCAACTGTATATTTCTATGGTCCTTTTAAACTCGACTATAAAGAAAACAGAGACGGACACATCAAAACAAATTAGTTCAAATCACAAGATCTGCGTAGCTTACACAATTTATTTCAAGTGTAAGAACAACTAATGTAATCATCTCATCACACATCAATGATCCTTTTGTAAACTTCAATAATCTCTCTACCCCCTCTCTATCTAGTATATCACAAACACCTCTCCCGTTATATCACGATGGTTTAACTCCCCCCTCCCCCCATAGCAGTGTATCACAAACACATCACTCATTATATCAAGGCGGCTTTAACTTGACCAATCCCATTCCTCGGCTACAAAACAGCTCTAAAATTTTTACCCCCCACCCCCTGTCCCATAATTAAAAAAAAAACTTCAACAAACTATCGCAATCTTATATATATATCACATCCGTGTATCCCGGGACCAAAGCTTTTGGCGGACGGAGCGAGTAACACTAACCCTTCTTTACTGGCCTACACTTAACCTATCTACAAGAACAACCGCCCCAGTCAGCAAATGAGAACAGGATCGTCCGCAGACAAGGCGGTGTCATACCTACATCCATTCCCCAGCCCCAACAATCTAAACCTACACCACCGACCTAAACACACGGAACAAGTGGGTGTCACTGATGCTGAAACAACACAGTACACAGGACCTTGAGCGTTGATCCACACACGAACACAATGAAACGGTAGTAAAACCTTACAAGTCTCCACATCAGCTTGTCTTCACCCACCACAATGACATCACACGGGACCGAGTTCCAGAGCTCAATGAATCCGCATCTGGCCAATAAAAACGCTGGAAACGGGAGAGTATCGATCACGTGACGTCAATGCACGTGGGCCGACGTCATGGCATAAAGAGCTTTTCCGTGGTAAAATGGGGCAATCGATTTTGTAGAGTCGGTACTTGCAGGCCGATTCCAATGGTTATGGATTCCTGTCGTTATCGCGCTGTGTGGGTGTCGACATCCGAACGTCGACAGGAAGCTGTTCCGTCCAGTTTGGTTCGTGTTAGGAGATGGCGGATAGGACTAGGGGTCAGTTGGGGTGGTTTGGATTGGAGGCTAGGACTGGAGGATACTTAATTAGATATTTTGATAGAATTAGAAGGTAACTTGTTAGATAGACTATGGAGATACTCTTCATTAGGTTCTTGATTACTTTAAATTAAATGATAGAATCGGTAGTCACTTTGCTGGCTATATTGTGGACTACCTGTTGATTGATTGTTGACTAAACTGACAATGCTGGCTAAATTTAAACTAAACTGTTAGATAGTGTGTTCCTGTGTTAGCTAGAATCCAGGGGATGCGGCGGGCTGAAATTTCCGAGTGGGCGGACACTGGTCGATGTATTTATTTTCTACATAAATTCTATTTCAGTCGGAATAAGGGGGAGGGAGCAGCTAATTATGGCATGAGTAGTGAATACGATTCAAACAGTGTGTAAGAGTCAGACGAAAGATGTGTACTGCTCCATCAACTGGAAGTGTGTCATGCCACAGAGAAGGTGAATTAACTTAGACGCAATGTCTTAGACTACGTTGTAAGGCAAGAAGATGAGCTGTCAAAGCTGAACTAGCAGTGTTACGAGCTTTTACAAAGGTGCCATGCTGTGGTATAAAGAGTTCGAATATGTTGCGGTTGGTTCATGCAGAACCACAATCCTTGCCGGAGACTAGTTTTAACGGGACAATAAGAACCGTAACTCGTAACCTACCAGCACCACTGCGAGATCACCCCCCCCCAATGCAAGAGCACCTACACATAACACAACGCCCACAATTTTAGCATCATCCCGACCCCACAATTTAGCCCCACCCCCACCACGCACCACCAGAGGTGTAGTCTAGCTTCAGAAATGTAGTGGTCACACCCCTCACCACAACCTAGCTTCACAGAGGCATTCCCATCCCCGCGCCACCCTTCACAAATTAGCGTCACGCCACCCCCACATATTAAACTCACAAAATCCGCAGTGTAGTCTAGCTTTAGCAGTTAGTGGCCACCCCCGCATTTATGCCTTACCCCACCCACTCTACATTGCTCAACTGTTTGAACTATAACCCCCAAATTATCATCTCACGCCCAGAGTTCGCCCAAAATATATCCTTTGAAGTAATCCAAACCACAGACGTCCAGATAACCACTACCTGCTCTACCTTAGTGTATTACAGACAAACGTACCTGTCGAATCGACTGTACCTCATATCTACATCACCCACTGGAAACCTCCAACATCGACTGTACCTACAACCCCACAGGTAACCTGCCACCTCTACTGTACCTACAACCCCACAGGTAACCTGCCACCTCTACTGTACCTACAACCCCACAGGTAACCTGCCACCTCTACTGTACCTACAACCCCACAGGTAACCTGCCACCTCTACTGTACCTACAACCCCACAGGTAACCTGCCACCTCTACTGTACCTACAACCCCACAGGTAACCTGCCACCTCTACTGTACCTACAACCCCACAGGTAACCTGCCACCTCTACTGTACCTACAACCCCACAGGTAACCTGCCACCTCTACTGTACCTACAACCCCACAGGTAACCTGCCACCTCTACTGTACCTACAACCCCACAGGTAACCTGCCACCTCTACTGTACCTACAACCCCACAGGTAACCTGCCACCTCTACTGTACCTACAACCCCACAGGTAACCTGCCACCTCTACTGTACCTACAACCCCACAGGTAACCTGCCACCTCTACTGTACCTACAACCCCACAGGTAACCTGTCACCTCAGCTATACCTCATACCTACAACAGCCACACAGGTAACCTGCCGCCTTTTCTGTAACTCATACCTAAAACCCCACAGGTAACCCACCACCTCAACTGAACCTCATACCTACAACAACCCCACAGGTAAGCCACCACCTCGACTGTACCTCATACTTCCAACGCCACAGGTAAGCCACCACCTCGACTGTACCTCATACTTCCAACGCCACAGGTAAGCCACCACCTCGACTGTACCTCATACTTGCAACAACCCCACAGGTAACCCACCACCTCAACTGTACCTCATACTTGCAACAACTCCACAGGTAACCCACCACCTCAACTGTACCTCATACTTCCAACGCCACAGGTAACCCACCACCTCAACTGTACCTCATACTTGCAACGCCACAGGTAACCCACCACCTCGACTGTACCTCATACTTCCAACGCCACAGGTAACCCACCACCTCGACTGTACCTCATACTTGCAACAACCCCACAGGTAAGCCACCACCTCGACTGTACCTCATACTTGCAACAACTCCACAGGTAAGCCACCACCTCGACTGTACCTCATACTTACAACCCCACAGGTAAGCCACCACCTCGACTGTACCTCATACTTCCAACGCCACAGGTAACCACTACCTGAGACCACCTGCCGTCATCACCATTAAACACAGGTGAATGTGGCTGTTATTGATCTCAAGACAAGCCGGTCACCTTGCGCTGGTTTAAGATTGATTCATATTACCATGTCGACGTTACAGAATAAAAATCAGAATAACAAGGGAGGTAAAAACGAATAACTTAAAAGGGTTTCAGTAAAAGAAATTACTTCCCTTAGAATCGTGTACTTACATACGAGTAGAGTTAGTCCCAGTTTATTAACAAGGCCTAAAGTTAAGGTATCTGATGTTAGCAACGTGAAATGAAGAACGACAAGAGCTCACATACACATGGGATGTAACATTATAAACGTCACATATAGATAACGAACACACACACACAAAAGAAAGAAAAATAAGTAAAAAAATCAAATGAAAACACCAAAAACAACACACACCTCTGAAAATAAGCATTCCATCCGAAATTAACCCCCCTTCCCCCCCCCCCCCCCCCCCCCCCCCCCCCCCCACCGGCAAACAACCTTGCCGTTACACCGCGACAACAACTGACTCACGTCTTTTCAGTGAGGCGGCCTGCAGGACAGCCGTGATGACGTCAAAGTTCCGCTGGAGTTTGGCCAATCGTCTGTCCCGTCTCTTGAGCTGCTTGACCAGCCGGACGTTCATGATGGCGATACTGTGCTGCAGGTCTGACAGGAGGCGCTTCAGCTGGGTCTTGCCTGGACAGAGATGATTAGATTATGTTTAAGCTAGTATTTACTTAATCGGCGTTAGATTAACAAAAAAAAAATAATCCTTTTTAAAGATTGAGAGACGAAATGCTATGTTTAACATAAAGATGTGCAAGTAGAAAAATGGTTCTTATGTGCGCAGGTTGCCAGTATGTTTGAACTGGTACCTTTAAGTTTATTAAATGATAGATCTAGATATTTTCACACTTTTTTAAAGAGCTAGATTGAATCTCTGTTTAAACTTCATAATGGTGGGTTATAAGCAGTTCATGATAGAGGATATCTTCAACCACAGAATTATTTTAAATGGTGGGGGTGATTTGGTGGACTTATAGGTGGAATGGTGGGGTGGATTTATAAAAGTGGATTGAAAGACTAAAATCAGTTGAAAACAATAACAAGGCACCAAAGTATATATTATGTTACATAAGGTCAAGCATGCTTGAGTGCCACAGCCAGTGTACGTGTGATACACCGATCACGTATGTATGTACAACAAGCAATATCATTTGTCCTTTACACCGGCATGTATATGTAAGTATTAAAGTGACATGTATGTGTTTTACAGTGACATGTATGTGTGTTACAGTGACATGTATGTGTTACAGTGGCATGTATGTGTTACGGTGGCATGTATGTGTTACAGTGACATGTACGTGTGTTACAGTGACATGTACGTGTTACGGTGACATGTACGTGTTACGGTGACATGTATGTGTTACAGTGACATGTATGTGTTACAGTGACATGTATGTGTTACAGTGACATGTATGTGTTGCAGATATATGTATGTGTTAGAGTGACATGTACGTGTGTTACAGTGACATGTATGTGTTACGGTGACATGTATGTGTTACAGTGACATGTATGTGTTACAGTGACATGCATGTGTTACAGTGACATGTATGTGTTACAGTGACATGTATGTGTTTTACAGTGACATGTACGTGTGTTACAGTGACATGTATGTGTTACGGTGACATGTATGTGTTACAGTGATATGTATGTGTTACAGTGACATGTATGTGTTACGGTGACATGTATGTGCTACAGTGACATGTATGTGTTACAGTGACATGTATGTGTTACAGTGACATGTATGTGTTACAGTGACATGTATGTGTTACAGTGGCATGTATGTGTTACAGTGACATGCATGTGTTACAGTGACATGTATGTGTTACAGTGACATGCATGTGTGTTACAGTGACATGTATGTGTGTTACAGTGACATGTATGTGTTGCAGATATATGTATGTGTTAGAGTGACATGTACGTGTGTTACAGTGACATGCATGTGTGTTACAGTGACATGTATGTGTTACAGTGGCATGTATGTGTGTTACAGTGACATGTACGTGTGTTACAGTGGCATGTATGTGTTACAGTGACATGTATGTGTGTTACAATGACATGTATGTGTTACAGTGACATGTATGTGTGTTACAATGACATATATGTGTTACAATGACATGTATGTGTTACAATGACATGTATGTGTTACAGTGACATGTATGTGTGTTACAATGACAGGTATGTGTTACAATGACATGTATGTGTGTTACAATGACATGTATGTGTTACAGTGGCATGTATGTGTTACAGATACATGTATATGTGTTACAAGGACATGTGTTACAGTGAAATGTAAGTGTGTTACAGCCGGTTGTTTGTTACAGTGACATATTTGTGTGTAAAGTGACATTTACGTGTGTTACTGTGACATGTTTGTGCACTTCAGCGGGTTGTATGTTATAGTGACATATATGTGCGTGCTCCCCGACCCACGAGCGAGTGAGTCACCCCGCCCCTACACCATCACTTATCAACTCCATTTTCAGTATCGACCAGCGCAACACGTGCCGTAGTCGGTGATACGGGACCTACAACATACGACATTTAGTTCAAGGGGAGAACACTGCTCATTTAACGTTGATCAATCTACAGCACAAAACATCGTTAGTCCGTCGATTCAGGGGGAGGGGGGGGGGGGGCAGTAACAGAAAGAGGGGGAGATCACAATACAGAAAGTAATTAAAGATGTTTATTAAAGCGTAGAAGGCCACTTCCTTATCATTCATGTTAAGTGTAAATTCATACAGAGAAAAATGTTTTCCACACTTTAATCTCTAACCCTTTCATCATTTTTTTTGGCGATCTTACTTATCTAAAACTAGTTTTTACCATTATTTTTGTCACTATAATTACAATTTAATTATTACCATTATTTCGGTCAAACTAACTTATATCAAATTAATTTTTACCAAATTTTTTGTTCATCTAACTTATTTTAACCTAGCTTTCATCATTCTTTTTGTCCATCTAACTTAATTTAACCTCGACTTTCACCACTTTCTTCACATAATTTTGACCTTAACTTTTGTCGATGAATGTGACTAATGTCAACATGACTCCGCCATTGATTCCTATCTGTTCTTATCTCTATAAGAAGCCACTTGAAAGGTCAAGGACACTTGTCAGCAGACTCGCTTTGTTGATAAGCCAAAAGGACAACAGCGACCAAATGTACATCATAACAATTTTTGAACTGTTTACGCGTCCACTCTTGTAGTAGCAGTAAAAACACATTTTTATTCTTATCGATTAACCGCACTCATATACTCTAACTGTGGTACTTTGAAGCTGATGGGGAAACTGTTTATTTAGTGGTTGAGTGTTAAGCATATGTTAGGAGATGAAGTACTGGTGTTGTCGAAACATATGTAAGGCGTGTCTAGCTGATCAACAACAGCTCACTATTGTAACAGGGCAACAAACTAACCAAGCCAATTAGGGCACAATCTGATAAATAGTCGAGGTCAAAGGTGACAGCGTTCGGCCACCTGTTTCACGGGATCGATTGTTTACATCAGGTGACGTTTGAATCACGCCATGCAAATACGTTCACGTAGATCACGCCATAAGACGACGTGCACGTAGGTCACGTCATACACAAGACGTTCACATTGATCACACCATGCGACCACGTGCACTACAAGATCACGCCATGCGACCACGTTCACGTATATCACGACAAGATCACGCCATGCGACCACGTTCACGTTGATCACACCTTGCGACCACGTGCACTACAAGATCACGCCATGCGACCACGTTCACGTAGATCACACCAGAAGACGACGTTCAAGTAGATCACGACAAAATCAAGCCATAAGCCGAAGTTTGAGTAAATCATGGCAACATCACGCTCTCGTCGATATCAAAACGTCATCAAAGACAAAGTTCATCGTGACAAGATCACGCCATCAGTCGAGGTAAAATAAAACGTAGCTAGATCACATCGTCACAGGAGAAATAAAATCGTGACAAGATCACGCCATCAGTTGACAGTAGAAGTAATACGCCCCTTATTGCATTTAGCTAACCCTGTATGCCAGCATTACTTGTACTTGCGCACACAATTTTCACTACAGCTCCAGTTAATCTTTGGGACAGTGTTTGCAAACTAACCCATTATGATACCTTGGGAGCGCATCTTCCTGGACTAGAGCCATTGGAGGCACAAAATTGTTGAACAAAAAATTATAATTGGAAAGTACAATTTAAAAAAATAATTGATAATCTTCATATTATTATTTAGCGTGTGACCCGGGCCGGGCCCAACATTTAAACGGTCCATAGTCCAAACTCTACACATCGTTCCAGTAACTGCAATAAATTCTGATACCTTCTTCGGTTTTTTATGAAAGCGTAACCGGCAGAGTAGATTCACGACACGAAACACGGTTATACATCAGGTGGTGTCTGCCTAGCTACAAAAAAACGTGAAATACCACCCCCCCCCCCTCCCACACAAATAACATCACTCCTCCAACACTTTACACGCTTAAAATCAACCAAGAAACCCATTCAACCCGACAAACTCACCCAAACCATCATATTTTGTTTGGTGTCATCCACATAGAGGGTGTCACCCTGTTAGCCTCATATCACCCCCCCCCCCCCAGCAAACAGACACACACACACACACACACACACAAGATATGACACCAGTGTTTTAATAAAAGTATATACCCCGCTTTATTAGTCGCCTACTCGCACCTTTGTGTATACAATATCGATTGGAGTGAGGCCAGGCTTATAATACTACAGGAATAATTTGTATTTTTATAATCAAATGCCACATTTGCCAGCAATTTTTTATTTAAATTTAAATTGCGCTGTTCAATAATGAGTAAAAAAAAAAACTAAACCAACACATTTTAAAAGAATAGGATTGACTGTAGAAACCTGATTTTTTTCAGGTTTATACTGGGTAAAGACGTGGTCAATATCATGACTTGACTTGGCTCTGTCATGTGAAGCTATCATGTGAGTGCTGCAGCTATACCTCTCCTTTAAGGCGTCTTCAGATGGACGGGTCGGCTTGGTTTGAGCCTGTCGTTATTTATGAAATAGGAGGTAGAATATCAGCTTAAGTAAAATCCTGCAGCATTTTGGTGGTTTTACAGGATTCCTGTGTCGTTTGTAGTCTTCTGCATGTTCAAGTAAATTACCATCAAGAATATCATTGATGAAAGGATACATCAATGCCTTGCCGCTGTCTTTACTTTGAAATGATGCGTTGATTTTCCCTGTGGACTGGACTACCTGGCAGGTAGAAATCCTCATATAGTTTTTGCGAGAGAAAACTCCAAAATCAAAGAGTAGTGGAGCACTTAGTCGACAGTATCAACCGCGACACAACTGATGCCAAGTTGTGTACATCAACTTTTAGTACATCTTGTGTACATCAACTTAGTACATCTTGTGTACATCATCTTAGTACATCTTGTGTACATCAACTTTTAGTAGATACATAAACCTAGTACATCTTTTGTACATCAACCTAGTACATCTTGTATACATCAACTTAGTACATCAGCTGTGTGGAGAGAGGCTACCTAATACATGGGCAACATCTGGCTCTTTTTAACTCACACTGCCATGCCTTGATTGTCCAGGCGCAATTATCCAGTCTTATACCAGAACATGGTGCCATTTACTTATTTTAGCGAGATGGGTATACATTTTTACCGGTATACCATAAATGCTCATCATTTTTGGTACATGCAATTGCTTCCATTTTTCAACCTAGCATTTCTATCTATATTTAACGGCTCTTCTACAGAGGTGTACAGTAGATCTTTGATTAGCGACACAGGGAACCGCTGATATATTACATTTAGTAGCAATCTATCCCTAGAAGACTTTTAATGAAGCTTTAGTGAGATTTTTGTGGTTTAGTAAAGCTAGCTGTATCTGGTGCGGCTTTTGGTAACGGTAATATAGGCGTGGTATTGGGTATCTAGAGCCGCTGTAATATAAGCGTAATATTGAGTATCTAGGGCCGCTGTAATATAGGCGTGGTATTGGGTATCTAGAGCCGCTGTAATATAAGCGTAATATTGAGTATCTAGGGCCGCTGTAATATAGGCGTGGTATTGGGTATCTAGAGTCGCTATATAGGCATGGTATTGGGTATCTAGGGCCGCTGTAATATAGGCGTGGTATTGGGTATTTAGAGCCGCTGTAATATAAGCGTAATATTGAGTATCTAGGGCCGCTGTAATATAGGCGTGGTATTGGGTATCTAGAGCCGCTGTAATATAGGCGAGGTATTGGATGAAGTATCTTAAGTGTTCAGACATCCACCCGGTGCATTACACTGAGCAAGCTCATAGTCTGCCGCATGAGTTGGTGTGTAAGGATTAGGATATATGTAGGTGAAATGTGCATAGGATAAAGTGGATGTGTGTGAAGCTATGTATATGAAATATATTTACTTTGTGTAATGTACAGGTTGTATGCAAGACGTATAAAAAGGGTGAGAAATAGAGTGCAAAATTAAAAAATCGAGAAGAAAAGTAAGATATTGGGTGGATGTGTCAGATATTAGGTGGGTGTGTCAGATATTGGGTGGATGTGTCAGATATTAGGTGGATGTGTCAGATATTGGGTGGATGTGTCAAATATTGGGTGGGTGTGTCATATATTGGGTGGATGTGTCAGATATTAGGTGGATGTGTCAGATATTGGGTGGGTGTGTCAGATATTGGGTGGATGTGTCAGATATTGGGTAGATGTGTCAGATATTGGGTGGATGTGTCAGATATTGGGTGGATGTGTCAGATATTGGGTAGATGTTTCAGATATTGGGTGGAAGTATCAGATATTGGGTGGATGTGTCAGATATTGGATAGATATGTTAATTTAAAAGAATATGTAAGAAATACATCAACTATTCAGCTCATTGTGATTGTGGATGTGTCAACATCCGCTGTAGATGTGTAGCCTATATATCCATTTACAACACACTTGTACGTCAACATTAATGGCTTGTATTTCTACACAAAACAAATGGTAGCTATTTCTACACAACCATTCTCTCCAAACTTCCATCAAGTAGTTTCTTTATCTTTAAACACAATAATATATTTTTTTAACCCCCCACTTGTCTCTAACATCCTCTATTCCAATTTCCCATTGTTAACAGACTTGTATTAAATGAATACAAATATTTTTATAAACCATAAATCAGACACAATATGTGATCAGCAATAACCATTTGATACTACACTTTTAAGGGCGTGAAACTTCTAAACCACCTGTAGTTTACCTATGGTTACAGATATCAGTTGTATGGCTTACTTAATACAAGCATCAGCTATGGAACTATGGTGTTTAATCTGACAGACATAAGGCATGGTCTATGGTGTTTAAATCTGACAGACATAAGGCATGGTCTATGGTGTTTAAATCTGACAGACATAAGGCGTGGTTTATGGTATTTTAATCTGACAGACATAAGGCGTGGTCTATGGTGTTTAAATCTGACAGACATACGGCATGGTCTATGGTGTTTAAATCTGACAGACATAAGGCATGGTCTATGGTGTTTAAATCTGACAGACATACGGCATGGTCTATGGTGTTTAAATCTGACAGACATACGGCATGGTCTATGGTGTTTAAATCTGACAGACATAAGGCATGGTCTATGGTGTTTAAATCTGACAGACATAAGGCATGGTCTATGGTGTTTAAATCTGACAGACATAAGGCATGGTCTATGGCAGTGGTGTAGCGAGGTTGGGTGTCACCCGGTGCGGCACTTAATGGTGTCACCCCCCACAGAGACGCAGCGACCCTTCCCGGTGACAAACTTTCAAATTTTCAATTTGCAAACCCCCCTCAAACTTTCGATTTGCACCCCCCTCAAGTTTTTCTCTATATATTTTGCTATTTTTTGCCTTGGTGTCACCCCCCTAACTGGTGTCACCTAGTGCGGTCCGCACCCCCTGCCCCCCCTCCCCTCTCGCTACGCCTCTGGTCTATGGTGTTTAAATCTGACAGACACAAGGAATGGTCTATGGTGTTTTAAAAAACAGACATAATGTACGGTATATTGTGTTTTAATTAGACAGACATAATGCATGGTCAATGGTATTTTAATTAGACAGAAATAATGAACAGTCTATAGAGTTTTAACTAGGTAGAAATAATACATGATTTGTAGAGTTTTTAAATTGACAGATGTAATGCATGGACCCTACCCAACCATGAGGGGTGGGGCTGTTTACATGAGGGGTGGGGCTGTGTACGGAGCTTGAAAAAAGAAAACAGCTGATGCCATGTGAACAGTGAATGAATTATTGATTGGGGAAAATTAATAACACACTCAAGCTAGGTCTAACAATACAAGAATACAATAAATGAAGTTTATACTGTAGGTGTGTATATATACCTACATACAAACACATATATATCTATGTATGCATATATATATATCTATGTATGCATGTGTGTGTGTGTGTGTGTGTATGCGTGCGTGCGTGTGTGTGTGTGTGTGCGTGTGTGTGTGTATATATACATGCACACACACAAATATATATACACATACATTTATATATACACTAAAATGCTGTAAACCCAACACCTGTAATTCTTTCATTGACAGGTTTCTATATAGCCCTAATCTATTTATAGCTTATTCCTATACATAGCACTACCCTGCATGTAGTCCTACACTTTATGCATGGGTGAATGAACAGCTAATAGACCAGCACTGTTTCAGCTACTCTTTGAATAAAACATCAACCACAAATACTATACACATGCAGTAATAGAACGAATATTTTCCATGCATAGTAGCAAATGTGTTTAGCACACCATGGGTAATAAAATGTTTGAATGCAGGGGTTACAAGCTGAATAATTTAGTGGCTGACCAGTGATGCTAAATAAGATATGTTAATGTTGCTAGTGAAATGTTATTTTTTTAAGCAATTTATATTCTGTAAAAGCAAATACGATAACAAATAAAATAATAGTGTATGAATACAAATATTACAATATAATCTAATAACTAGGTTTGTTGAACAGAAAAATTAAATAAGATTGTTCTATCAGTTTTCCTTTATTTTTTTAATATATTATGCCTAGTAATACATCTGCAGGGTGCATTTGTTAAAGGATATTTTCTTTGCTCTTATTACTTAACTACCTTGGTCCTAACCATAGCCATAATCCTAGTCTTTATCCAGACCTTAATCCTTTACCTCAGATGAATCCTAACCCTGACAGTAACAGCTGTACCACAAGAATAAACTCGGCTACAGTACTGTAGATGTATAAAAACCGAAGCTACTCACTCTGGCTTTGCAGGAAAGACTTGTTCAGCTGACCAGCATGGCGTTTCTCTATAGCAGAGTGGTAGCCTCCAGGCTCGTGCCTGCTGTGGAAGAAAAACTCTGACGTACTGGAGCATTCTGTCAACGTGTCACTATCAATGCTGTCGCTCCGCCCACAGTGCCAGCGGTCATAGATCTCATGCAAGAGGCCATCGACAATTGACCCCTGCCTCTGGACGCGGCCTCTCAGTACATCATCTGTCTTGGACTGCTCCAGGTTGTGGAGAAAATTGTCACCCTGCAGTGACTGGTCCTCTTTCTGCATAAGCGAGTTAGAAAAACAGGTGTCGTCGCTCTCTGGTGATGTCTCCCCATTGTTAGGGAAGGTGTAAGCCGACCTCTGTAGGTGTGTTAGCTGCGGGTTAGGAAAGCTGGGTAGGAAAAGTTCATCGTCGTCATCCTCTTGCATCATGGGCTGTGACATGGTAGCATTTTAGACACATCAACATCACAACCACGCCTCATGTGCCGTCTGAAAGGGAGAAAAACATTTTAGACACGTCAACATCACAACTCCACCTCATGTGCAGTCTGAAAGGGAGAAAAACATTTTAGACACGTCAACATCACAACTCCACCTCATGTGCAGTCTGAAAGGGAGAAAAACATTTTAGACACGTCAACATCACAACTCCGCCTTATGTGCAGTCTGGAGGGGAGAAAAAGACATAAATAAATTTTAAAAAGTTGACACAAAGACAGGCAGTCAAATGGAGTTTGCCAGCCTTTAAAAGATGCAGGCAAAGAAAACACTAGAGATGTTACCTTAAGTAAGATGGGTTACCAATGTAAGCAACAGGACAGATTAGCTCAATAACTAAATGAAGGGGTGACCTAGCCTAGACTTGCCTACCTAGCCTAACCAAACCAGACATAACCTAATATAACCTAAGCTAATCTAACCTAAACATGTTAACACAGTAGTCCATCAGAATGACCACATTTGACTGCAAGGTTTCACCAACTACAGTGAGCTTATCACACAAAACATATTTTTATTTAATATAAAACTAACACAGCATGTTTGGGCCACTAATTAAACTTCAACCTTATTGATTTCCTGTCACCTGTTAAGTGATTTACATAACCTTTGAACCTAAGTAACAAGTGTGCTGAGTGAGCTACCAATACCATACAGCTCCCCTCACCATCAAGGTCCAATAGTTTGAAGTGGTGACATACCCTTAGTTATCTAGGTTGAATTATGGAATCTATTGTGAAGTTTATAGTCAAAACTTAACTAACTTTAAAAAAGTATACATCAGTAAATAACAATTTTAAGATGATGTATTTTTTAACAAAATTGAATTGTTTTATTTTACAAGATTTACTAAATACCACAACATAGTAAATTGTACTACAAAAACATTGGCAGAAAAATTTTAAGATAGTAATTGTATCACAGTTGTTTTATTACAATACATATTGTCATCTCAGTCATTGCCAGCTCTATCTCAAAATGTGAACCAAATCTTATTTATGTGGCATGACAATCCCAACAGCACCATTGACAACTGTTGCCTTCAGATTTGTATCACCACTTGAATTCACCATAACAATGCCAGAACCTTAAGAGACACTGTGTGAGACACTTGCCCATGTTCAGATGAAAGAAAATGCAGTTGACAAAGTGAGCAGTTACAACTGTTGCCTTGAGATTTGTATCAACACTTGAATTCACCCTAACAATGCCAGAACTCTAAGAGACACTGTGTGAGACACTTGCCCATGTTCAGATGAAAGAAAATGCAGTTGACAAAGTGAGCAGTGATTTTGGCCAGCTGTTACAGAGAAGCTATTGCCCTTTGGAGTGGTAAAAACTGAAAAGATAACAACCAGTTCAGGCAGAAAAAAACAGAACTGTAGTGTTAGATGGTAACCAGAGAGGGTTTGGGCTAGGGTTAAATTATGGATGAGCCAGGAGGATTCAAAGTATAAATTTGAATTTGCTAGTTTTGGAAAGTAGGAGACCTACAGCATTTTAGGGATTTTTTTAAATAAAAGAGATTGCAAAACTTTGGAGTAAATGTAAGGACACTTTTTATTTCAAAAGTAATGAATCCACCATAAGTTTAGGTCCAACAAACAGAAATAAGAGAAGACTTAATACTTTAAATTAAGCATACCATAACAGGTGGTTAGGTTAGCCGCTATTATTTGCCTGATTGAGATGTATTGAACACTCATATGACACCTGCTTCTGAGATAATTATCAATTATTTTCAATTTATTTTAAGACAGGTGATCCTTGTGACTAAAATGTGTTTAGTAAAATAAAGCAAACATTTTTCTTTAAAACTGACTTACTTAAAGTTTATTCAAAGTAAGTTGATAGGAGAATATGCTCATTGTAGTTGTAGATGATTAATTACTAGTTCGTTCTTTATATCCTGGTTTGTATTGGTATTAATGATCAATGCAACCTAGCCTTAATAAGTTAACCCAAAGTATAAAGACAGTAAAGTAACATTAGCTTCTTCTTCTTCTTCTTCATTTTAATGTTGGAAGAGATTCCCTCCAACACAATTAAGTATTCGTGTCAACTGGTTATGCACCATGGAGGCCATTGACTCAGATTTCAGCCTGCTTCTCTTTTTGCATTTGCTTACATAGCCTTTGTCCAACCAAGAACAAACTACAAGGCAGCAGTTGTTTGATTTTGGAGTTGTCTCTTCTAGAAGAGTGGCTGTCCCCAGCTCACGAGCCTCATCTGCCCAAGGGTTCAAACTCAAGATTTTTCGGTTTAGCAACCATGAGCTTTACCGACTCAACCACGCCAACCCAGTAACATTATCAATAGCATCGATACCATCTTGTCAACAAAGTCTATGGCTAATTTAACCAAAAACTAAAAAATTTAAATGGTAAATAAAATTATTACACCTGGTGTGTCTACTTTTTAAATTTGAATAGAGCATTAGGCTTAGGAATAAACACAATACATTCATATGTTATAATACTTATAAAAAAAGAACAGTCATGTAACTGACTAACTAATTTCAATTCATTTAAATTTTCCAATAACTAAGACTTCAGCTTGGCATTTTACATCTTGCATAACAAGTGACCCTTTAGAACCTGGCAGTTAATGGGGGAGAAAAAGGTGACCAGAATATTAAGTGAGAGTGTGGTCAGAACTATGCTTGAATATTCTTATATAAAACAACAGGGGATGGCAACTCGGGATATAGACATGATTTTTAATCCATTTTAAATGCTTAAACTTTTTAAAATAGAATAGAATCTCATAGAATTGCACACCAAGTGAACACCAAACAAAATGTGCATAATAGTGCGGGATATTATTAGTACTTTATAAATTCACATACGTTTTTGAGAAATCGGAAATAGCATAAAATTACTACTTCCGGTCAACGGAAATTACTCAATATTTTGACAGAAGGCAGAGAATTAGATCTTTTACTTATATGTGAAATTTGGTTTATCTATTTGAAAAAAGTACTCAAGTTATAGGCTTTTGAAAAATTGAAAGTAGAATAAGTTCCACACTTCCGGTTATCGGAAATCGCTGAAAAATTGATAGAGAACTACAAAATTGATATAATACTTATATATGAAATTCATCAATCTAGCTGTAATGGTACTCAAGTTATCGTGTTTACAGACACACATCCATACACACACGGACAGAATTGCAAAGTCCAGTTTTTCCGACTCGATTACGCGGCAAACGCAGAAATTTTAATAAATCTTGATTTGGAATTTTTGCCAGATTAAAAGAAGTCCCCTATACTCTGTTTATGATGAAGTACTGAGAAGAAAAATGGTGGAAACTGTCAAAATTTCATGTGATTTTTGTGCACAATTACAGTACTTTTTCCATGCTCTGTATATGAGAAAGTAAAAAAAGTTACAACAGAATGATAAGGCCTAAATTCTAAATAAACACATTACTTATGAATATTATTATTAAGTCATCAACATTATGTGATTGTGTCTGATTATGATAGTTATTTAAGTATGAATATGATTGTACTATCTATGATAGATTAGATATATTCATACATTAGATAAGATTTAATTAAAGATATTACAATTACATTACTAAGTGATTACTGCTAGATCTAGAATAATAATAGTAATAGTCAGAGGCGTAGCGACCCTTCCCGGCGCCCGGGTCAAACTTTCAATTTGGCTCCCCCCTTGGGAGCATATTTTCAATTTGCACCCCCCCCCTTCAAACTTTCGATTTGCAACCCCACCCCACTCAAACTGCAAAAATGCAGCTAAAATGACATTTTAATTTGTTTTTACAGCTCATTTTGGCACCCCCTAAGGTCGGCACCCGGGGACAAATGTACCCCCTGCCCCCCCCATCGCTACGCCTCTGGTAATAGTAGGCCTAAATACTCAAAATAGTTTTATAGGCTAGGCCTACTAATTAATTACATCATTCTATGCCCTATCCACACTGTGGCAATCAATGGCCTATTAAATAAAAAATAAATAAAATCTTATTTTTAGTTTAGGTCTTAGGACCTAGAAGCTAGAGTCTAGTTAGTTTGTTTACTTACTTAACTTACTTTTTTTTATTTTTAGGACTTTAGTAAGTATAGTAGGCTAATATTACTAATAATAATTTAATAAACATTAGGCCTAAACTAACTTCTTAAGTCTTAATATTACTTAATAATAAATAAACTGATTAGGCCTAAGGCCTAAAGTAAAAAGTTAAACATTTTCCATATGTATTATGTTTCATTAATTGAAGGAAGTTTAATACAGTGGAATGAGTAAAAATTGATACCTTTATCAGAATTAAGTTTCAAAATACGTGATTAAAAAGATATTTTCATAATAAAAAACGATTTATAAAAAGTAATAAACACAGTGAAACGTATCCACTTTCCACTGAGCGTGTAAAATTCTCTAGAAACACAGCAGTCAATGCACTGTTGACGTTGCGGTCTATGTAAATTGAATGACCTCCCCTGAATAATATTTTTTATTCAACAGTTTCGTCGTTTTAATAATTTTATAAGAGCCAAAAAGTTGCATTAAGATGCTTGATTTCTGATGAAGTACATACTACAAGGTCAGTTTTTATTACCAATAAAAAAATTGTATTTCTTCTAGATCTACCTCCTACTTAACCTTTATGAAACAGTGCCATTTTACAAATTTTGCTAGCTTTTTAAAAATAAATTCTTCACCTTTTGAGAATAGATCTAGATCTAGAATCTATAATCTAATAAATAAAGATCAATTCTATTTGTGAAAGGTTTGTAAAATGTTTGTTGTGGATACTTAGATGGATTTAAGTGTTATATTATTATAGTGCTCATGGTATAAATTTATGTGTAAAAAAATTACTATTGAAAGTCTTTAAAAACAATTTTCATTTTATATACTTAGAATAATAATTTTCAATTATGAACATTACATAAAATTAAAAAAAAAGTGTATCAACGTTTATAAAATTTCTAAAATTGTGTCTGAAATGTATTTGCATTTTGTCCTTTAGTTCTCATAACGTCCCTTGATTTGGAAAACACAGTTACTTCCCTTTAAAAACCCCATTAAATCGGGGGAAGAAAGAATTTACTTTTTATTACTTTGTTTTGGTGTTAGGAAAAATTTTTTTTTCCATAATTAGCGGGGATTGATTAAGTGCAATGTCGTTGGTATTTTTAATACTGCCTTTTATTTATTCTATACACTGAACATACTGTTTACTAATTATTTTTTTAAATCAATAACATTTAATGAGCCAGGTCCTACACATCCTATATGTTTATTTCTTTCCATTTACGGATAAGCTTGGAGTATTATAATTTTGTTCACTTAATTGAAACAGGTGCGTCCGCTGGCGCCCATGCACGGTTCGATTTTACGCCCTGGGCTATCATGTGAGCGCTATGCTGCATAATTTCGTTTTAAACAGTGCGATAGACTATGGATAAGAAAGGTTACTATAGTCTTTAAGTGAATCAAATCCAGGCGTCCTCCGGCACCCCGACACGGGCCTTCCCGTGTACGCTATGGTACCTACGTTCGCGTAAGTGAGTTCAAAAGACTATGAATAAGTTGGGCACTATAGTCATTTACTAAGTTGAATCGGGCGGTTACGCCTCACGTCGTCATGGTGCGACTGGCTAGACTGTGGACACTTTGAGTTTATCTTTGCGTTTGTGTTTTCTTTGTGTTTGAGTTTGGGTTTGCGTTTGTGGTTGTGTTTGCGTTTGGATTTGGGTTTGTTTTCGCTTGCTTTTTTTCTTTTCGTTTGTGTTTTCGTTTGCTTTTTTTCTTTGCGTTTGTGTTTTCTTTGTGTTTGTGATTGTGTTTGCGTTTGTTTTTCTGTTTCCGTTTGTGTTTGCGTTTGTGTTATGTTTGCGTTGTTTTTTTTTTTGGTGTGTTTTGGTTTTGTTTGGTTGTGGTTGGGTTTGTTTTTGCGTTTGGATTTGTTTTCGTTTGCTTTTTTGTTTGCGTTAGTGTTTGTGTTTTCTTTGTGTTTGTGGTTGGGTTTGTCTTTGCGTTTGTTTTTGTGTTTTCGTTTGTGTTTGTTTTGTGTTAGTGTTAAAAAAGTAAAGGTTCCCTTTCAAACCTGACGGTCTATGGGGCAAATGAAGTAGAGTTCACTTGTTGCTGTGACCTCGGCATATGAAGAGATAGTGTGGTCAGCACTATGCCCAGCCGCCTTTACTTACCCTAACATGAGTTAGGTACCCATCAGAGGTGGGTGGACTCAGGGACGGTCTACTGACTTGAACCCGGATTCGAACTCGAGACTTACGGGTTAGCAGTCCAGCTCTCTACCGCTAGACCACTCCGTCCCATGTGTTAGTGTTATGTTTGCGTTTTTTGTGTGTTTTGGTTGGTTGTGGTTAGGGTGGGCAATGCCGAATAACTGCTGATTACTAAACACACATGTTATGGTCCTTTACAGATACGTTTTTCAGAGATGCCAGTGCAGGGCCTGGCCGGGTCGGCTAGTATTATAATAATATGTAATTGTGCAGATAGGCTATTTCAGTATTTCTGTAAACAATTTGTGCCCTTCTACTTCTACCTAACCGATTTATTAAATTCATTTAAGTTCCGTCATAATTAAAGTATTTAATCAATTTTAAAATTAAGGCCCTACTTTTAAATCTTCAAATAGGCCTAATATTATACGGGAAACAACTATAAACTGAACCACAAAGGGTGAAGCGATGGTATTAGATTATAGACCCTGAAATAACGATTGTAGGAAAAAAGTAGCCCGAAATTTTACAATTCTCAACAAGTAAGTCTAAATATTTCTTAAACACGTTTTTGTCTATTTTCTGTTACTTTATTTCTGTGACTTTACTTCTGTGACTTATTTTTCCGATTAAAGTTTTCCTTTGTGACTTTTATCCATGACTTTTTTTCAAAGCAATAAGTGTGACTATTTTTCTGTGGCTTTATTTCCTGTCTTTTTTCCGCTCTCCGAAATAACTGGTCTTCCGTGAATGATGTTAGCTTCAAGAATTCTATTGAATTTTTTTTTCCTCCAATCAAATGTCAGACGCCTCACAAATGACGCCACATTAAGCATGTCCCTTCGATAAATTTTTTTTTATGGTGTCATTTAGGGCATATTAGCCCACTTTAACTTAATAATAAACAGTTTTCGTTGAGTTCAGTACAGAGATTCTTTCGGCACCATTATTCGCGTATTGTTACCACCGCTAAATGTTTTATTAATATACTATCTCCAGAGTTTATTTCAGGCTATCGCACTCCCTCCCCCACCCCTCCCCAACAAAATCAAATCAATTTGTTTAGACAATATGGGGTCATCCATAAATGACGTCACGCTTTTTTGACGATTTTTACCTCTTCCCCTCCGTCACACGTCGTTACAAAAGCCAGACCCCCCCCCCTAAAATGACGTCACACCTCAGCCTACAACCCCCCTCAAAATTGCAGTTGAATATATATTTTTCCAAAATCTTGTCTGAACTCTGTCAAAATAGAGTATTTTAATCAATTGTTATTACAATTTATTAAAACAGTTTTCTAAAACGCAAAATAAAGTCTCAAATTCGTTTTCTAACATTGCTTTTTTATAATGCAAAAGTTTGACGTCGCACCATCTGAACCCCCCCCCCCTCCCCCTCATCACACACCGTCACAAAATTACGGACCCCTTCTCCCCCTACGAGTGTGACGTCATTTAAGGACGACCCCTATATACTTTTATTAGTGTCCGCCCCCTCCCCCGGAAAATTTAGTCGTGGTGTGGCGCACGGCTGCTTACTCGAAAAGTCTTGGGTACGGATCCCTGAATTCGAGCCTCCTTATAAGTTAGTCCACTTAGCCCAAAGCGGTTTCCCGACCCCTAACAATTCAACGCGAAAGCAACAAATTTAAATGCACACCCAATTCCTTCCTCCTTGAAAGAACACCCAATCCTAGGGAATGCAAAAAGCGGTTGGTCCTAGTCTTAAAAGAGCATTCAGATCTATAGAATATAGATCTACATAACAAAATAGTATTCAGATTCTAGATTTAGAAAATCTAATTTTTCAAAATTTTTGTCCCCATAGTATTCGCAACACCAAACAGGCAATGTTTTCGGGGAAAATCCGGTAGGCACCTAATCTTAATATTATGGCGTAAGGTAGGGCGAAGGGTGTTTCTGCTACCTCGGTCAATTTCTCCAAAAAAGTAAGTATTGTATGGACTAGATTCTAGATTCTATCTAGATCTAGATCGAATCATAACTAGATCTAATACATTACATACTAGATCTAGATCTACTGTTGTACTGAATACTGAATAAAGAAAGATCAGTTTTGTAGGACGTTAGAGGTAGAGTAGGCTCTTCTCGAGACTAAGACTCTATGGAGTCTATATAACTAATAACTAATATAGTATATAGATCTAGACTCTATGTCTCTATGTGTAGCCAGTTAGTCTAGTCATGTTATTTCAAACTAATATTTTTCACTAGTTGTTTGACAATTTTGTAGATTGTAAAAGTTAAAAGTATTTTAATGTAAAAAAAAATATTCTTGTTCTGATGGTAGAGAACTAGTAGCGAGTAGTAACTACTAGTATTCTAGTAACTACTAGACACTACTTCTAGCCCGAATGGTCCAGGTTTTGAATCTAGATCTAGATCTAGATCTAGATCTGAACTCGAGACTGAAACATGTCCCTGAGTCAATCCAACTCTGATGGCAGAGTTTCTTCCAGGCATCTCTTGGGGGGGGGGGGGAGGGGGATGGAATTTATATAGAAAATATATATTTTATATACATTTAACAGTGTCGTGCCCCCCTCCCAAAGAAAGTCTACCCCCCCCCCCCCCAAAAAAAAATTCAAGTGCCCCCCCCCCCCCCTGAGAAAAAAGTCTGGAAGAAACACTGCTGATGGGTAGGCTCCCCGACTCACATTAGAAAAAGTAAATGGTACTTGGGTCTTGTGCTTAACACACAATCCCTTCATATGCAGAGGTCAAGAAACTCCACTTCATTCTCTACCTATGAGCCTATGTAATATTGTTAAATCTGAAAGGGAAACTTGACTTCTATTTTACCTAATGTTGACTAGCTGCTCAATATTTGAGGGGAGGGGTAAAATATAAGAATAGATTAGCTGAAAAGTGAAAGAATTTAATTAAAATTAATTAACATATTTGCTAACCATTTGGTAATAACTGGTGATTGTTGTCTTTTTTTTGTGTGTCACTGCTCTAGACTCAACCCTGACTCACTCCAATTTTAATCTTGACCTCTTAACAGAACAGGCATTAACATTAGCTGCAACAGCAGAAACAATACAGATATGATACAATTTAACCTTGTCAGTCTTTCATGCCACTAGTAGCCCACCATATATAAAGCCTGCTGTTACACAGTACAAAAAGAAAACTACTTTCTGTCTAATGATATGGTCTAAAAAAACCACAACCATTTATAATTTATTTGTTTGTTTAATTTTTCCAGGTAAAAAATTCGGAATCAAAATGGGAAAGAAACATAGGTTTACTGTCAAAAGCTTTGAGAAATACATAGAAGTAACAATTTCACAATACTCTGAGCAAGTCCAACTCAAAAATTCACTTCCCCCAAACAATGACTATTTATCCTCATCTGAAATTAGAAATATTTTTAAAATGATTTCTAAATATAGTAGTTTACAAAAGGGTCTGTTGGAAATAAGGACAAAATTTGAAGATCTTCTACAAGAATTTTTCTCTGCAAGCTCTGATTGTATATCATTAGTCGTTTGTTGGTTATTGATAAGAGATAAATGTTCTAATGATAATTTAAATTTTTTATTTTACCCTATCCATAAATCTAATAGAGGAAAAGAAAGTAGTTGGACAATTGTAGTCATCATTAGTACTAAGCAGTTTCTAAGCTATAACAAGTGTTCTCCTAGAATAGATACTAGGTGTGATGGTGTAAAATATGATAAAATGTTCTCTAAATGTTTGATGCTAGACAACTCCAAACTGTGTAATGCCACTTCTTTGCAAACTATTAACTTAGATGTTTCAAAAGTAAACTTAGTTAATAAGGGTAAAAGTAGTTCAGAGGAAAAGAAAAAAACTGTTCTTGATGATCTTTTACATCACAGAAATATTCACATTAGGCATCCTTATGTATATTCTGTATATTTTAACACCGCAAATGCATGGCACCCGAAAGCTATAGATGATATTCCTTGGTCATGGTTAAATGAAGAAAAATGGAGGCTTCACACTTTTGCCAAGTATCCACAGAATACAGCCAAATCAGCCATCTTGCTTGCCGCAGAAGGCTTTGCTTATATAGGAGTAGGGAAAGGCTCAGATGACAGTGTGATCTGCTACTTCTGTTGTTCTGTAAAGAGACACTGGGCTATGTTTGATGTTATTCCGGAGATTCATAGAACCCTTTGTCCTGAGTGCCCCATGGTCACTGGGGTCAACTGCAACAATGTACCCATGATTGCGCCCACAAAGGGAAATACACTTTTCTACAACATGGGTCAGGGGAGTTTAGCTGTAGCCTCAGGGACAGAGAGGATAAAGGGTTCCACAGGCAAAGATTTAACAACAGATGGGTCTCAAGCCTCAGGTAGGCAGTCTCTTGCAGTTCAGAGGGACTCACAGCAGGCACAAGCTCGTGATATTGAAACAGATTCCCCTAAAGAAGGACAGTACCCTAGAGCTAGCAGTTTTTTAACTGCTGAGACTAGTTCAAATGGCGCCAGTCAGCAGAGAAAGTCAGGTGCCAGCAGTACACCATCTACCCAACCATCTGACAACGATGCCTCTTCTAACATGGTAACTTCCAACAGTTTTGAGCTTTACAGTGACAGTACACCAGTCAGAAATAACAGTGAAGCTGTAAGAAATAGTGATACTAATACTGTCCGAAATAATAGCAGTACAGTACCCATAGCCCAGACCCCAGCTTCCCCACCCCCCACCCCGGCTTCCCCACCCCCTACCGTAGCACCCCCACCCCCAGCAACTGCAACCACCTCCAACGCAGCAGCTGCTTCAACTCCTACAGACATAACTCAGACCAACACCAACAGTGAAAACACCAATGTCATGCAGACAAAAACTGGCCAAGGGGCCAGAAAAGATGGCCGTGGGCCGACTTATTCAGAGCTAGGCATCATCACAGAGAGGCCTAAGAGATATGAATATGCCCTGAAGGTGAAAAGGCTAGAGACATTTGATGCATGGCCTAGAGGTCATCATTTAAAGACACAAGATCTGGCTGATGCTGGGTTTTATTATGCTGGTGAGATTATTTAAAAGTGTCTTTGTTGAGTAGCCATGCCCACAAAGTTGTTTTACAATAACAGCCAAATGCAACATCATGTGATTGAATCTTATGTTAAAACAGTTTCACTTGCTATAATGGGATGGTGTGGCCCAGTGGTAGAGCAAGGGATCGCTAACGTAAAAGTTTGGATACTAAGATGTAGTAAGATTTTCCTGAATCCACCCAACTCTAATGGGTACCAGGTATTAAAGGTATCTGGACAATGTACAAGTCGGAAAGGGATACTTTATGCTAGTCATAAAAGCACTTGCTGGGAATGGCTATTCAACAAATACTCTTTAACTTAATGACAAATCACTATTTAATAATGTGCTTGAATAAAATGTTTTAAACAAGACATATAAAACCATTTTCCAAATACAGCAAACATAAAATTTTGAATAAAACTAGTCCCAATCAATCTGTGTTGTTATCAAAAGGGTATGGTGACTGTGCTAGATGTTTTTACTGTGGGGGTGGTTTGCGGAACTGGGAGGATAACGATGATGTGTGGGTGGAGCACGCCAGGTGGTTCCCTAAATGTGCCTACATACGCCAGCAAATGGGACAAGTCTTCATTGATACAGTCCAAGATTTAAACAAGAACTTCGACCAGGTTTGTTTTTGTTAGACCTTCAATTCACAACATGCAACTGTTACTTTGTTTTCTTTTCGTGAAATCATTAATTTGCTGCATGTAACTCACACTTTGTTTTTCTTTTGTTTAACTTTGAATTCACTGCATGCTCATGTTACTTTGTTCAACCTTCATTTTACGGTGTAATATTCTTTGTTTTCTCTCTTTTAAACTCCCTAAATATAATTTTTACATCTCCTTTTGAATTCACTTCCTGTAATCAATTTTTTTTCTTTTGTGAAACCCTACATGCTCTATTTTATGCACTGTTAAACCCAATATTTTCTGGTTATAACTTAATTTTGTCTCCCTCTGTTAAACCATGAATTGGTTTAATGTAGGCCTAACCAATGATTTATTTTCTTTCATTAAACCTTTAATTTACCACTTTCTTGCCCTACTAAACCTTGAATTATTTGGGTATAACTCAATTTTGATAAACCTAAAACTATGTCATATTTTAGCACCTCATCCAATCTATCAAAATCTATACTTGAATGTACTCTTTTGTTTAAATTGAATTTTTTATCACACATCTAATCAGCAGCTTATGTCAAATCTGATAAAGAATTGTGACTGATTATTAATGTTAATTCATATAACTTACAAAGTTGTTTTTAGATACAAATTATTATACTATAAGCCTAATATATATACATGTATATGTGTATATATTATGTGTATATATATATATATATATATATATATATATATATATATATACAGGGGTGCCACTTTTCCGGGATATCCCGGATTTCCGGATTCGAGAATCATATTTTTTTCCCTTTCCGGATTCGCAAGATTTGAGTTTGAAAATTTCCGGGTTTGCATTTTAAAAAAAATTTAGATCGTTTTAAGCTTGAAAATTTTGGCATTGTAAAAATCGTTTTTATCGTCAACACTCCCGCTAATGGCCTTTTCCGAAAAAAAATGAATAGTAAATGACGTCAGCAACAATCTCACGCGTGCGCCAAGGACCAAATACAAATCGGCTGTATCAGATGGGTGAGGCTGTAGACGAAACTTTTTGATGTCATTCGTGGTGTGGTTGTCTGGCTATTTATGACGATATGGGTTGGGGGTAAAACTCGCATTATTTACGTGATGTCATCAATGGGATACTGCTAGGCTGTGTAATAAAACAACTAAAGCCTACAAGTACTAGATCAAGCTCACTAGCATCGCCGATGGTCTTTTAAAAAAAAAAACGAAAGATTTTGCTCCGATCAAAAAAAAATAATTTTTTTTTGTATTTGGTATTACCAAAAGAAAAGAAAAAAACTATTTGAAGGACTATTTTATGTATTTTTACCACCTCTTACCCGCTTCTTCAAGGTCGCGCTGACCGTAAGACCTACGTCACGAGACCACGCAAACACAGTCTGAGTCGTGTCTCTCGGTCAAGGCAGTTCTACAAGTACAAGCGCTGTTTAATTTTAACGTGGTTATTTTAAATAAGGGCCTACTTCTAGATTCAAGAAAAAAAAAACTAGAACTGCATCGTTTTATATCATTAAACAAAATATGTAGGCCTGCTATAATTTAGTTACACAATCTAGCAGGGTCTACATCTAATTGTTTTTTTTTACTTTGGTAAAACGTCATTGAAATGTTTAAAAAACCTTGAAGTACCGTGTCTGAGAAAATAGCCGCTATTACTGCCCCCCCCCCCCCCCCCCCCCCAACCGCTTGTAAAAAAAAATCAGCTTTTCACTTAGTCGGGCGGCTACATCTCTGACATGAGTATTACTAGCGTAGTTACTTCAAAAATTATTTTTAAAATTAACTTAATTCTGTTATTCCGCGATATGGACTTAAAACTTCCACGATATTTCTTCACGTCATCATGTATAATTGTATATCAATGGTGGGGGCGTTGGGGTCGTTCATAAATGACGTCACACTCGTAAGGGGAGGGGGGTTCGTAATTTTGTCATGAGGGGGAGGGGTTCAGATAGTGTGACATCACACTTTTGCATTATCCAAAAGCTATGTTAGAAAACGAATTTTAGCCGTTATTTCGCGTTTTAGAATATTGTTTCAATAAAGTGTAATAGGAATTGATTAAAATACTCTATGTTGACAGAGGTCAGACACGATTCTTGGAAAATATCGTATTTTAAGAAAAATTCGACTGCAATTTTTAGGGGTGGGGGGGGGGGGGTGTAGGCTGAGGTGTGACGTCATTTTAGAGGGCGGGGTCTGGCTTTTTGTGACAGATATGTGACCGAGGGGAGGTGGGAGGTAAAAATCGTCAAAAAAGCGTGACATCATTTATGGATGACCCCATTGGTGGTTGATTGGGAAAACAGGGTTTTAGGTCTTTGTTGTGGCTGTTAATAATTAAAGCCTTGAATAGCTACAGTAAGTCAACCCTGTATTTTAATACAGTGACAATCTTATTAGGGGTCTGCATATAGTGCGCTTATTATTCAATAACAAGACATAGAGGTTAGCAATTGGCTGACTACACACTTTAAATCAAGCTAGGAAGTTCTCAAAAATTAAATACAGTAATGTTATAAAAGCTGGCTGGGAGGGGGGGGGGGAGTTCTACAATAGCACATTATGGGGTAGGCCTAGATATGGGACTAACATTGTAAACTAATTTTGTTGTAAGCACAATCCTTTAAAGATTAATTTTTATTTGAAGCTTGTTACAAAGAAAATAAATCCATTTTAAAGGAATGTAAATTGAACATAATATGAATCAAATGTCTAAAAAAATAATGAAATAATAGTCCATTTTATTTTGAAATTCCTTGCGAAATTAAGTTTCAGGGTTTCAAAAATTTCAAATTTTAGTTTCAGGATTGGTAAAATTTTGGGATTCATTTTCAGGATTCACTTAGAAAATGAGTGGCACCCCTGTATATATATACACACACACACACACACATATATATACATATATTGTCTTTAAGTCATAGGTTGTTGCCACACCTGCTAAAATTAAATGATTTTTTTGTTATTATTGTATGTTATTTCTTTACTAATGCTAACCTAGCAGTAAAAAATTGTTGATTATAATACATGTGTTTTTGACTTCCTGATTAATTTTACTTTTAGATTCCCTTTAAACTTGTAATGGAGAAAATGCCTCAGAGAGTTTTTCAGCTAGGTAAATATAGATCTAGACCTCTTGTTTAAGAAATTTATTTTTTAACACAGGACTTAATAAAAATTAGTGGTGTTGTGTTAGCTCTAGTGTTGTTTTTGATATTCATTTATAATAAATCCCATGGTATAAAATATAAAGACACATTTAATCCCACTATGTAAAATGTAAATAGACGAATTAAATCCCACTATTCAGAATCTAAAGACACATTTCATCCCACTATTCAGAATCCAAAAACACACCTCTTAAATCCCACTATGTATAATATCAAGACATATTTAATCACCTTATTCACAATCTAAAGACATTGTAATCCAACACTAAAGAATATAAAGACATTTAATCCCACTATTCAGAATCTAAAGACACTCTACTTTAATCCCAATAAGTAGAATCTAAAGACAAGCCACTTTTATCCCACTATGTAGAATCTAAGGACACATTTCATCCCACTATCCAAAATCTAAAGACACATTTCATCCCACTATCCAGAATCTGAAGACACATTTCATCCCACTATCCATAACCTAAAGACACATTTAATCCCACTATTCAGAATCTAAAGACACGCCACTAGCTAGAGATCCAGCTGTCAGGACACTTGTTGACATGGGATTCTCCATGAAAGATGTTTTGTCAGTAGCAGAGTTGCTTAAAGAGGAAGGTAAATATTTTTAAAACTGACATTTAATTAATTAATGTCAGCTCATTATTTTTATTAGATACTGTTATTGATAAACAACATCAAGACCATCAAAATGTACAGAAATATTCTTTTACAAATAAACCAATTATTTTAAAAATATTCACTAATTATTTGTCTGTCTACATCTAAATGATAGTTACTCTAGATTTTTTTAATATATTTTTTTTCATGTTTCAGCTTAAATTTGTTGTAAAAAAAACAGTTGAAATTAATTAGATTATTTTAAGTGTAAAATTTTTCATTTATTTTTTAAAAATAATTCCTAGAAGCAAGTATCTTGTCAGCTGACAAACTCTACGAGCGCCTAGTTAGCGAAGGTAAGCTAAGAACAACAAAAGGTCAAGTTCAGCAAGCTGTTGTCCCAAGTACAGATGTCTCATCTGATTTGGGTAAGGAATATATTACGCTATTCTAGTTAAAAAAAATTTTGTACTGAAATGGGCACCGAGACATTGATATTTAAACATTGATTCAGTGGAAATTTTATCAGTGATAATTGTTTTAGCAATATATTTTGATAAACTGAACAACTATGTGATGAAAGGGATACTTTTTTCTTATTTAATTAAACATAATTTACTATGACACCCTGTAGGCCTATTTAACCTTTCTTTTAACTTTTTTTTATAAGCAGAATAATTTTTTATAGTTTTTTAAAGGCATTTTTTGGTGTTCTTTTCTATTACTTAAAACATTTACAGTTTTTGTTTTGACAATGCTAGTTTGTGATTTTGAACGTATTTTTCTGTTTTTGAATGTGTTTTCTATTGTTGACAGTCTTTTTCTGTTGTTCATGACAGTATTTTTCTATTTTTGTTGAGAGTATTTTTCAGTTGTTGACAGTATTTTTTCTGTTGTTCATGGCAGGATTTTTCTATTTTTATTGAGAGTATTTTTCTATTGTTGTCATGACTACAATTTCCTGTTGTTGCAGAGAGCCTGAGACAACTGAAGGAACAAAACAACCAGCTGCGCCAACAAACGGTGTGCAAGATCTGCATGGACAAGGAGGTGGCTGTTGTGTTTCTACCCTGTGGTCACCTGGTCTCCTGCAGCGACTGTGCCGTGGCCATGAAGGACTGTCCAGTTTGCCGGAACAATGTTAAAGGAGTTGTCCGGGCGTTCATGGGTTGACCTCTCACACCCCCCTGCTAGACGGGCAGGACATATACTCAACCAGGACCCTAACAATGGTGTGTTAAGATAGAACCACATTTGTTAGCCAATGTGGCATGTCAGTATGACTTCCTGGAGATGAATGAACCCAGAGTACCTGACAAAATTTGGGGACAGCCAAGTTTTCAAATCCCTTCATATGCCAGAAGCATACTGAAGTGGTGCTTCAGATTTTACTGTGAAATCTCACTCCCCACTTTTCAAATCAGCATGCTCTATAGAAAATTAAAAAGAGTTCACAAAGATTTAATAAACTGTTCATCTATTTGAGAAAATTTCCACAGAAGAGTTTTTTTTTCCTTGGTTTTCAAATTTTGTTAGCTTTGTTTGTTAAATCTAAATAGTTATAATATGATATAGTTTAGAAATAACATATTTTAATGTCATATTGTCTAGAAACTGATCCGGACTGTGTCAATGGTGTAGGTCCACAGCATGATCCAAATTGTTCCTTTATGTTTCTTGCAGGACATGATCACATGATGTCTTTGTCGAGACACCCCTCTCTCCAATTTTTTTAGTTTATTCCCAACTGACCTATTTTTTTCACCAGCCTAAAAATGTAAATCTAAATAGTTTTGAAATAAATAAAACAGTTTTAAAAATATCTCCTAACAATTTTTTCCAGAAACTGATTTCTGTGTAAGTGTGTAGATACATTACTTTTGAATCTATATGTACAGTCTAGTTCTACATCTAACAAAGTGCAGATATTATATCAGCTTAGAAGCATTATCATATATAAGAATATGTCTGCTCAACAGTTACACCACTATTTGTACTGAAATCTTATCACTGTTCTTTCACTCAAGTGATGTATAGAAGCTGAGGCACTACCCTTCCTTCAGTCTCAAATTGAACACCCTGGTCTTCAATAATTGTGTATGCTACCACACCGAAGGCCTACATCTCTTCTTCCTGCTCTTTAAATTTAAAAAAAAAATCTAATGAATTAAAGCCTTGTAGTTTGACAACTAGATCAATAATTTACAATCTAATCACTGTAGAAAAATTAGATGGGCCTATTTTTATTACTATTTTCTATTTAAACATTCTTTTGACTTTCTACTAGCTGAATAATAGTTTGTAGGACCTATACGTACTATACAGTATACCCCAGTATATCCCTTATTTATGTTGTCATGGAGTAACCTTTTTTTTTTTTACACCGCTTTTGTTTATAATTACCACAGTGTATGTGGACAAGTGTTGATGGCCCAAGGCCTATGACCATGGTAACAATTAGTAACATGGCTAGGGCGGCTATAGTGATTTTGTGCGGTACTTAAAGTCTAGTCTAAGTCAGTGGAAATTGGGCAGGCTTACTTTTAAAAAGTTTATAATGACTCTGAATAATCATTTAATGTTATCAAAATTGATGTAGATCTAGAACTAAGCTACAAGATCATCCCCAAATTTTAGGAACAAGCAATTATTAAACTATTTTAACAGATAAATGAGTGGTCATCAGTTCAATCAGTACGATTTATCTATTTTAGTATTTCGGAATTTCCCGCATTACGTGTCTGTGTAACGTCAGCAACGATTCTCAAAAACTAACAGTAGCTCTAATTCTGCATCCTGAAAAATTTACAATAAAATTTGTTTAAAAGCCGATAATTTGAAGCAGTACAAAAATTTAAGAATCTAGTTAGCTGTCAAACATTAAAATTTTATGCGAATATATTCCTTTCAATAAATAGTTAAAATACTTTTTCTCCTCAACGCGAGAACTAAGTTATTGTTATTTTAAGATAAATCCGTGGCACGTAATTTTGGGATTTTCCCCATTGTGGGTTTTCCCTATGTGCAGATTTTTCGAAATTTTTAGTCCAGACTTAACTTTATTCTTCTCAGTTTCAAATCCTCTCGCTTAAATTTTTCTTTATGTATTTATAAAAAAAAATAGGTACATTACTTTGCTTTAAATATTATAATTATTTTTATTTGACAAACTTGAATACTTTCAGTGCCCCAGATATGATGGGACGAAAAGGAGGCAACCCAAATCGGTAATTTATTTTTCTATCTAGCCTAAAACCAAAGCCTATCTTATGTACTATAGCTTTGCTGGTCATATTGATTTTCGATATAAAAAATTAATATCGATAAAATACTAAAGTAAAGAATAAATGAACATGGCATGCATCCCTCTAACTCGAAAAGGTTAGCCCCCCCCCCCCCCCCCAACAATTAGGACATAATAATAGAAACAAAGACTCCTACCTTGAGGCACACAGACCAGCTTCCATGATGCCGAAGAAACCTACCCAAAAAAAGATCTGTTTCTTCGATAGTTGTTTAAACGTTCTAATTATAATGCTTGAAATGAAAAGGTGTTATTATAATCATGTACAACGATAACCACATCTTAACCACATCTTAACGTAATATATTTCTGTTTAAAATCCGGTGAAAAACCAATGACCGGGTTGTGTTGTTTCATCGCACAAGCTTAACCATAAATGTAGGATTATTTAAACTATGTAGGGGAAACAATCCATAAAAAAGAGTCGGTTATCGTTGTTATTTTATTTAGCAGCACGTGGAAAACTTTTTATTAGTGCCCTTCTGAATAAATTATTTGAATCACGTTGTTTCCGCTGTTTCTTGAGGCATCTCTCGGGAGGGGGGGGGGGGGGGCTGCTCCTCTTAGCGCGTCTACTGACCCCCTTCCCCGGACGAAATAAAAAAAATACTTAATTGATGTACAAAATATGTACATGTACATTAACCAGAGCCCCCCCCCCCCGCTCACAAACCCATAGAGAAAAATGTCCGAAAGAAACCTTGGCTGTTTTGCCAGCTCCGTGCACACGAGATAAGTACAAGTATTGCTGATATAAAATACAATACAAAATATTTTTTATTAACATTTATTTAAATACAATAAAGATAAAAAAAAGCTTTCTTAAAAAAAAAAGGTTCTTCTATGAAATATTAAGTGATTTCTTGAGCGATCAACGAATTTACTATTATACGTAAAGAATTTATATATATATATATATATATATATATATATATATATATATATATATATATATATATATATATATATATATATATATATATATGTTACGGTCAAAGCCCGAAGTCGGCCAATGCTAGGATTGGCCGGCCAATCCGCGCATTGGCCAATTTCGCCTCCCATAGGTCGCTCAAAGTCCGAAACTTTGCTTGATTTCGGCCTTTGGCCGGCCAATCCGCAGACTGGCCATGGTGGACCGGCCAAAGTCTGAAATTGCTCTTGATTTCGGCCTTTGGCCGGCCAGTCTGCGGACTGGCCATGGTGGACCGGCCAAAGTCTTAATTAGAAGATCATCTGGCTAGGGACGACCGGCCAAAGTCCGAATTAGAAGATCATGAGCAGATTTTGGTTTGTTTAATACCGTAATGATCATGAAATTAAGTCTTTATTGATTATTAATTAAAGTAAATGACAGAAACATTCAAATTTTTTATAGTACTATATAGCTGCTTGTTATTTTTACACTTGCAGCGATTTGTTGTGCACTTAGTTGTGCAATTGCAGCTAGTGTAGCCTTGGCCCCCAGTCAATGATTGTGAAGATGCGATGGTTCGTAGTGAATTTTCCTCAGTGCCAACTGACGACAATAAGAGCAGTTTTTCGTGAAGAATTGAAAACTCACTTCTAGCATACAGTTGTTTTAGAACACCATGTTCCGTTCCTAATTTGTAGAAACCGCCCTCGACAACTGCAATCACGCTTCGTGGATCACCGTGACCTCTGTCAACATCTGGAAAACGGATGCGTACATTGTCACCCACTTCACCATTTTTAAATTTTGTATTTGATGTTTTAAGCATCTTAGCACCTTGAGTTTGCAAGCCAGTATGAGCTGCTGATCTGTGTTCCATGATGTACCCTTCGTCTGCTTCATTGGGTATTCCACGAATAGCATGGACATCGTTGCCACAGGATCCACAAGAATGGGCTGCACTACAATGTTTTTCACAAACTATACAGAATCTGTTGGCCACATTATTGTCACTGAAATTGGTCTGGGCTTTCCGCCACGGCAGCAGATGTGTTAGCTGAGGATGTCGTTGCATTTATGGCAACCTCCATTTCTTGTTCAATGTTCTCAAGATCTTCCACAGTAACTATTTTATCGAGAGCCCATATATGGAAACTAACATGGATTTACATTTTTTTTTTTACTTTGACAGCCATCTGCTATGTCTGTCTCATGGTCTGACGGCCCTTTTGATCCATGTCACCTTGCATATAGAATGCTATACAATAGTATACAAACAAGAGCTAAACAATATGTTACTCACAATGAAAATGCACCCAGAATAATGAAAATGCGATCACAACTTAGTCTAGATAGAACATTGGCCAGGACATCCCGGCCCGTGCGCGCATTGGCCGGCCAATGTACAAAATACGCTGTCAAGTTTTAGCGCTTCGGACTTTGGCCAGTACGTCATGGCCAGCGCGCGCATTGGCCGGCCAATGTACGAAATACGATCTTAGTGCTAAGTTCTTCGGGCTTTGGCCAAGAGAGCCGGCCAATGCGCGGATTGGCCGGCCAATCCGCGCTTTGGCCGCACTTCGGGCTTTGACCGTAACATATATATATAATATGATTGGTTTCGGAAGCGGATGACTAGAGCACCACGGAGTCGGTAATGATTTAATGATTCCTCATCGACTGCTTGGAAAAACAATCCAGCATAAAGAACAACTCCATTGTCTAGTAGTGCGTCAAATCGTGAAAATGTAAAAGCAAACCAAACATTAAATATTTGCATTGATCACGTGTCATAAGCAAACAGTTTCCGGGGCTGATTGGTAAATAGGTATCTCGGCCGTGCGTATTGATGTCATGAGAGTTCAAGGCCATCGATGTATGTTCTATTGAAGAATATATAGATTTATTGTTTCAAGATTCCGGTGAATGATTTTTGAAATCCACGATTCAGTTTGTTTTAAAGGGTAACAAAAGAAGGCAATAGTTATAAAAAAAAATATTTTGGTTTATTTTTTTTATCAGTATCATAGAGATCCTTTTTTATTTTATTAAAAAAAAAAAACCCAGCTGTAAAAAAAATAGGTTAATCGATTTATTGGGTGGGGAAAAATGTGGAATTGATAGCAGACAGCGTTTTTCGTAGGTTTAAGAGGAATGTATGTTTATTAATGACAATGAAATTTCATTTCTTATCGGTAGTGCTTGTATACCCAATGCACACGTGATCAGAGGCGTAGCGAGGGGGGGGGCATATGGCCCCGGGCGCCGACCTTAGGGGGGGGGGGGCGCCAAATTGAAAGTTTGAGGGGGGCGGGACCGCAAATGAAAAGTTGGAGGGGGGTGCAAATCGAAAGTTTGAGGGGGGGATGCAAATGAAAAGTTCGAGGGGGGGGGGGGGGGGGCGCAAATCGAAAGTTTGTCCCCGGGAGCCGGGAGGGGTCGCTACGCCTCTGCACGTGATTGGTTATGGATTATGTTAATGTGGAATAATTTAGTAAAGAATTTTTATCGCAGTCTTACTTTTTTAAAGTTGCTTTAATTGATATTTTAAATAGCATAAGATGCAGCACTGAGAAAAGGGCTGAAGTATTTATGATCTGTCTTCCTGAAAAAAATTACAAAGGCTCAAGTAAAAATAAAACATAACTGGATAACATGCATTATGTTGTTCGTTTATTTTGTTTTTAATATCACGAATTTTATAATGTGTGTTTAGATAATTTTAACGATCGACTAATGTAAAAAAAAAGTGCCTCAATTACTGATATCCCGGTTAAAGACGTGGAGAAAATTGATAAAAACTCAATTCGGGTTTATTTTTGGTTTATTATTGTACATACTCATCAGAGATCGATGTCAATGACGCAAAGATTGATTTTATAACCAGTTCCAGTGTATCTTAAATATAGGAGAGGTATATTTTCATACAATTGATTGCTATTGCAGTTGATAGGATATGTATTACTTCAAGGGGTAGTTAAGGTGGGTCTGGTAGTGTGAGCACACCAGACAATAGGTAATACATGGGCATCACGTGTTGAGTTTTTCGATAAGTCGCTCCGAGAAGTAAAGAGCCTGACGATAATGTGCAAGTTTTAGTAACTGGCTACATCTATTTTACTATCAAAAACATGAGTCAGCAAAAATCCTGGCTACGCCACTAAACTACTCATTGGGTATTATTCGTAATAAATGCACGGCCGCATAAATAAATCAACATTCCGGTGCATAATTTATCAATTTATTACGCTGCTGTCTAATATTTACAATTCTTTTTGTCTATATTTTATGTTTGTATTATATATATATATATATATATATATATATATATATATATATATATATATATATATATATATATATATATATATATATATATATATATAATACCGTAGGATCATTGAATTGGGTAAATCAATCAATCATCCGTGTACATAGGCCACCAAATATTTGCTTCCTGTGATCTCTACCTTCAGCCCATATGTATGGCGCCCGGGTAGGGGGGGGGGGTGTTGAAAGGGCCGTGTATCTCACAAGGCGAAGGCCACTTTATACAAGACTATGTTTAACCTCGTCCATTCTCGCCCCGCGTGTTCCGATGATGGACAAAAGACAGGACAACCGAGTCCAGTTTGGTCTGGTCAATACTTTAGCTCTGGTTACCAGGTTTGATCTGAGACTTCGTTAAAAACCGGCGGTTCCGGTTTTCATTTGCCACAACCGGCATTTCCGGTTACGGCGGATGCTTCGAAATAAAATATTTGATGTAGCTGTTTGATTTCAAGCTCTTTGCCATAAATTGAACACTTGAGAATTAGTAGATTTTGACTCCCGTTTTCTATAGTTGGAATACAACTAGAATTACAACTCTAACAATTCGAATATTACAATTACTACAATATTAAAACGTCGCCGAATCTTGAATTAGATATTCTTAGATTGTAAATGATTTCAATGTTGTCTCTAGTACTGTCAAGCTTCTTTCTGCTACAGTGGTGGAGGGTCGACGGCTCCTACTTTCTACAAAGTGATGACGGCAGACGCCGGGCTGATGTTCTGGAATGTTCCAGCCGTCTGCTGGCCAACCGGAATGTCCTGGACCCCCCTGTCATCGGCGTCGGTCGACTCTCCTGTTACAGGCACTGCCTGGCGTCACCCGACTGCGACGCTGCCGTGTTTCTGGAACTTTCTGACGGCTCGACGTCTTGCACCAAACTGTCGGAGGTGTCGTCTGGTGGATCTCTGGATGGATTTCAGCAGACGGCGGTAGACGTCAGCAAGGCCAGACAATGCGAGTTGATCCTGGTCAACCCTTGCCTGAACAACGGGAAACGACTGGACGGTATCTGCGTGTGTGATGCCGCTTATACAGGTAACTATATCTCTTACTTGACTTAATCCTCTTTACTCATTGTGGAAATTAAGGCCTTAACCATACCCTTCCTTTTTGTCCGGTCTCCCGCTGTTGATTTTGCTGCATCCCAAGACATGCCTACTGTCTTCAGTTCCTCAAGAAGACTCCGCCTCTAGGTCTGTCTTGGGTACCCTCTCCTTCGCCTTTCCGAGGGGGGGGGGGGGCACACACGCGCCTGGCTTATCACAACAGGCAAAAATAATTGTTTAAACTAATTAACTTAAGCACGAAATGGGTATCATTTATTTTTTCCGATAACATTTCGTGCACAATTCTGATTAGATTGTTGCCTAAATTTTTTTAATGCTGTCGAATTAAAAAAAAAAGATACAAATTTTAAAGCTGTAAAAATTCTGACAACACGAAAAACTTCTGCTTCATTACTGTAATAACATTTTTTCTCGAAACTTTTAGCTAACAGGGTTTTAATTATCCGTTGCCAAATCATTATTCCGAAAAGTGTGCATGTTTATGTGTTTGATGTAAATAAAAAGCAACAATAATGTGACTTTTGAACAATAATACTGGAATTTTAAATACAACAAAAATTGGTTTTATCACATTGTTTCCTACAACAAGACCACGAAAACAGTTCGTCTCACTTGGCCAAATTTAGCTACAAGTGGTCAAAGTTGGCCTCGATAGGCCAAAGTTAGCTTCACTGACCAAATTTGGCTACAATTGGCCAAAGTTGGCCTCAATAGGCCAAAGTTGGCATGAGGCATCACGTACTGGTCATCGGTCTTAGACCCCATATCTATCATTCCATTCTTATATGAACCCCACTATACTATATCATCTGGTGTTCTTGTAATCTATTTCACACATTTTAAACTATATTTAATTGATAATTAATTTAAAAAAAAACTATATTTCTATTTGAAAAAAAATATTTCAGGAGAACTGTGCGAGCTGATCAATCCGAGCTACTGCAACGCGGCCTGGACAAGCGTGTACTCCATCATCATGGGCATCAGCGGCACTGCACCGACAGAAACCATCACGAAAGTCCTACCCGGGCAAGATATGTTCCGCGCTAAGATGAAATTTCGGGACACCAAACTGGGGGTGGACCGAGTCATCACGTCAGCCATGTTACGTATGAACGCGAGCGGGATTGTGGCGGGGGCCTCGCGGGAGACCCTGGAGAAAGACTCGTGGAGAACCATCTCCAGCACAGCCAGACGGCAGTTCGTGTACCTCAACGGGGACGGGACTTTCGAGGTTTTGAATTTAAATTTGAACGGGTTGCAGTATCAGATCGCGCCGTTCACCGGAAGTTTAGAAGTCATGGCTAAAGAGCCCTCGTATCAGAAAAAACTGGCAGGGTCTGTTGCTAGTTATGACCAGATGAAGCAGGATTTAGAAGACGGTTGCGATATCTTTGAGCAGACGACAGTCTCTGTTTACAATAAGCCGTTGATTACTTTAGAATTGACGCATAGGTATCTACTTTCCGACAACCTCGGAAAACTCCTCACACCACCTGCGATGGGGAATTTTAAATTTTTCCTGGGCGACACCTACGATCGCGCGGCGGCGGTGATGGGGAAAGGGTACATTAACACTGTCAACACGTACCCGGCGGTTCCCGAATACGACGTCAACATCTGCTGGATACCGGTTAACAGTACAGGTCAGAGGTCAATTCAGAAACTCGGCGCTTACCTGAGACGTGGGCATGAAGTCCGAGTCTACCTTAACGAGACCTTCTACAAGGTTCTGGAAGTTACAGAAACCCTGCAGGAGTTTACCTTCATCTTAGCACCCAAGATGTCCAAGAATGGAACTGAGCGGCTGGATTTGTCTACGTATGGTGTGAAGTCGCTGGTCACTTCCGGCGGGTACAGCCAAACGTGTACCCACGTGATGGAGGGGGAGACGATCAAGAACACGACGGACGGGGTGTCGAGTAATGTCCGGTGGTACATCGACACGAGGGTGTGGTCACCTGTCTACTCGGTGTATTCAAACGCCAGGTAAGTCACGTGATTGTAGTCACGTGGTCACCTGTCTATTCGGTTTTATTCAAACTCCAGGTAAGACACGTGGTCACCTTTCTACTCGCTGTATTCAAACTCCAGGTAAGTCACGTGGTCACCTGTCTACTCGCTGTATTCAAACTCCAGGTAAGTCACGTGGTCACCTGTCTACTCGCTATATTCAAACTCCAGGTAAGTCACGTGGTCACCTGTCTACTCGCTGTATTCAAACTCCAGGTAAGTCACGTGGTCACCAGTCTACTCGGTGTATTCAAACTCCAGGTAAGTCACGTGGTCACCTGTCTACTCGCTGTATTCAAACTCCAGGTAAGTCACGTGGTCACCTGTCTACTCGCTATATTCAAACTCCAGGTAAGTCACGTGGTCACCTGTCTACTCGGTGTATTCAAACTCCAGGTAAGTCACGTGGTCACCTGTCTACTCGCTGTATTCAAACTCCAGGTAAGTCACGTGGTCACCAGTCTACTCGGTGTATTCAAACTCCAGGTAAGTCACGTGGTCACCTGTCTACTCACTGTATTCAAACTCCAGGTAAGTCACGTGGTCACCTGTCTACTCGCTATATTCAAACTCCAGGTAAGTCACGTGGTCACCTGTCTACTCGCTGTATTCAAACTCCAGGTAAGTCACGTGGTCACCTGTCTACTCGTTGTATTCAAACTCCAGGTAAGTCACGTGGTCACCTGTCCACTCGCTGTATTCAAACTCCAGGTAAGTCACGTGATTGTAGTCACGTGGTCACCTGTCTACCCGGTGTATTCAAACTCCAGGTAAGTCACGTGATTGTAGTCACGTGGTCACCTGTCTATTCGGTGTATTCAAACTCCAGGTAAGTCACATGATCACCTGTCTACTCGGTGTATTCAAACTCCAGGTAAGTCACGTGATTGTAGTCACATGGTCACCTGTCTACTCGGTGTATTCAAAGTATAAGTCACAGGATTCTAGTCACGTGGTCACCCATTTACTTGAATTATTCAAACTCCAGTTAATTCAGTTAGCTTGCTATATTTACATTTTAAAAACATATACAGTAACAGAAAACAAATTATCAAGAAATTACAAAATCAGCAAAAATAACATCTTCAACAAATGTTAACAGAATTAACTGTGACTTGTTTGTATTTCCAGCGTTGCGTTCGGGTCTGTCCAAGTTTTGATCCAGGGGATTAGGTCAGGACAGGATGTGAGAGTGCGGATACAGTGGATACTGGACGGGATGTCCCGTTTCATGGATACACAGTCCAGCTCCATAACGGATGATGGCAAGGTTGGTCATCGTGTTGAATAGGGAACTTGTATGTTTTGTTGTTGAAGTTTGACCCTACCCTTGGGACTTACGGCTCAAGACAATAGCTCTTCCATAGCTATATAGATCCGTATGCCTCCGAGCACATCAAGTAAAATGAAAAGATCTCTGACCTAACAAATTATCTTGATTTCCTCTATCTTTGTCGTCATCATCTTTTCCCGTTTGTGCCCAAGACATATGGGGCAGATGAAGTAGAGTGCATCTGTTTCACGACTTCGATATATAGGGAGATATTTAGGTCAACCGCTTTTGTTTCTCCAACCTGAGTCAAGTACCCATTAAAGCTGAGTGGACTCAGGAAAGTCCTACAGACTCAACTCGGGATTCGAACGTGACTTTCGGTTTAGCAGCCATGAGCTGTCTTTATACTAGTACAATATAATTTTATTATCTTACACGGAAGTAATTCATAAACTAGTGGGTACTTAACTAGGGTTGGTGACAGAAGGAATAAAGGTGGCAGATATTGACAGGAGTGTTAAATAAGCAAGCTAGACTCATGTTTCTTCCAGACTTTTTTCTTCGAGGGGGAGCGGACACTGGTAAAAGTATACATTTTCTATATCAATTTCCATTGCGTTGGGGGGGGGGGGGGGGGGTGCAGAGTTTCTTCCAGGCATCTCTTCGGGGGGGGGGCGGGCTCTGTCCTCTGTCCCCCCCCCCCCCCCCAAGAAAGTCTACCGCCTACCAGAACGAAATGGAATTTATATAGAAAATGTATACTTTTAACAGTATCCTCCCCCTCTCCCCCGGAAATTTTAGTCCGCCCCCTCACCCGAAAATTTGAAGTGCTCCCCCCCCCCCGGGAGAAAATAGTCTGGAAGAAACACTGGGGGGGGGTCCACTGAGCTAGACCCGAGATGTCTGTAACCAGCAGCTTGAACCGTGTGTGTTTATTGTCTGCAGGTGAGCAGCGAGTCCGTGGTCACGTGGGCCACCACCTTCACCACCGCCTCCAGCACACGACTCAGCCCTGCCTGTGGCTACGAGTACGTCCTGGTCACATCTGAGGGCTACGTGGAGGTCGCGACTTTCAACATCGTGACCCCCGTCAAGAAAACGGTTCAGGACAATGTCAAGGTCACGTGGTTCTTGAACTGATGAAAGCTGACCGGTTCCAGCGGATTGACCTGGCCGTCTGAGAGGCGGCTGTCGACGTGTTGATATCTGGGGATGAGGTGTTTTGGCATTATCAAACTCGGCTGTTTTGTCTAGGTGTAGCTAAATAAAGTTATTCAAATTTCAAATTGATACGATTTTTCCTTTTTTGTTTATTTTAAAGCACAAATAGGCGATAGTGTTTTGTATGTGACAGGATGACTCTTAAATGAAATGAACACACTGCTTCAAAAAATGATCGACTTTAATGTTTGATTAAAAAATAATATTTTTTTTTGCTTTAGATGAAAAAAAAATCAACAATTATTTGACCACAGCCTGCATTCTATGCAAGCTATAGACTGTCTTGTAGTATACAAACTTTTCAAGACAAAATCTGAGAATTTTACCCCTGGGAAAGATGTTAGTCAGTCTCTATCACTTCGTCCGGGGGGGGGGGGAGGGGCGGGCTGACACCTCGATATATATATATATAATCTATATATTAATAAGCAAGAGCCGTCGATAAAACCCCATAAGACTGTGGAGTAATCCACCATAAATCCAAAGTACCCAAAGAATAGAGGCCAGTTTAATAAAACCTTGAATGGTGGTGAAAATTTATCAAATAGCTTATTTGTAAATATAAACATGGGAAATATTACCGAAACAACGGGAGTGAACTACTCTTAAACTTTCTCATATACACGCATTTTAATCTCATGTAATCAGTAAAAAGAATTCGGTTCGGCCAGTATAATCCCACCAAGGACTGGAAGTAGAACTTGAATGCTAATACATTTATTAACCAGTGGTGATCAACGCGAAATGCAACTTGGTGGAGTCTTTGCGAAAACAGCGTTACCTGAAAAAGTAGTTGTGTGCTGGAATAAACTTGGAAAGGTGGTCAGAAATGAATAAAGACACCTTTGTTCAGGCTATTTTAGGGCATGGCAACTGCTGATGATGTTCACATCTTTTAGGAATAAATACGAAAATAAAAATTCTGCTTATAATTAATTGACTATACATTTATGTACACGAAACATACATGTCAAACTATAGTAATAAATTACGATAATTTTCGCATACTGGTTAACTTTTCCCTTAATTATTTACAATTAGTTAATAGTACTGCATTTTTAATGGCAAATTACTATCTTACAAAAAAATGGTTAATGTGTGCTATATGATGATTTGGGGCATCTGACAATATGTGCTTTTGATGATCTGCTCAGTTTGATGATTTGTATCATAGATTATCTATGCTTTTTCATGATCTGATCCATTTGAAGATTTGTGCCGTTTGACGATGTCCGCCGTTTGATCATCTGTACCATTAGATCATCATTGTCATGGTATGGATTCATTCCTTTGTGATCGTCCTTAGAGGAGGTTATTTAGTTACCCTCGTCATGGATGCGTGCACAAACACGTGATTGTACTCTTAAATCTGATTGGACAAACACTAATATTATTTTACAAACTTTTCACTGTTTGGCATGACGCAAGTAGACCCCCCACCCTACCCCCCCCCCCTCCTGTTCAGTACCTATAGATTTGCGTACGGTAGAAAGAACTGAATCGTCGAAGGTTTACCTAGTAAGCAAACTATTGGTAGATGGATTAGGTCCACATTACGTTCAGACCTCCAGTCTTTGGGGTTTTGAATGACATTTCGATACCGGAATTTGCGTCATCCAATCAATGCGCTAACGACGCGAAACGAAGTGATCTAAGTTCAGTATTTGTATTGATGTATAGATCGTAAAGCACTATGTTATCGAACACTTGAGATCTTGACGCAACTAAAAACAATAAATACCCAACGAAAAGCGAAGGTATGTATGTGAGTTTTTTAGTTTCGTCTCGACAAAAAAAAAAATACTAGATCTAGTAGTGGTAATTTTTTTCACTGAAGTGATTTAAGCTAAATAAATAAAACGTTGATATAATTATTTTAGTTGCCAATTTAAAAAAAAAAAACAACAACATTTTCTCATAGGAAAAAAATTACGACTATTTAAACCTTTTAAAACTACGGTTCTATTGATATCTTTGTAAATTTGTATAAGTAATAAAAAAAAACAGCAACCAAAAAATCGATATAAGGTGATACGAATTGTGTCTTTTCTTTAAAGAATAAAAAAAATTCCAGAAAAACATTTCCAGAGTTTAAAAAAAGTTTAAGAAAAAAATGAGAGGTTTCCAGAACATTCTACTGGCCCTGACGCTGATGTGGTCACCGGGCAAGGCTGAGTACAGAACCCGCGTCATGCCCAGATCTAAAACAGGACATGCCCAGGACTGCACGGCCGAGCTGTTGACCAACCGCGTCATGCTCACCCAGAGAGTCACCGGACTCGGCCGCATCTCCTGCGTCAGCGACTGCGTGGAGTCAGCGGACTGTGACGCCGCTGTGTACCAGCAGCTCTTTGACGGCTCCGCTGTTTGCACGCTGCTGTCCGAGGTCATGGTGGCGGGAGGTCAAGGTCAAGCGCTGGACGTGAGCGGCTCAAGAAGTTGTCGCTTCATCCAGGTCAACCCGTGTTTCAATGGGGGACAACTCCATGAGGGCGTCTGCATCTGTGATAACTCTTTCACAGGTAATAATATCACTCACTTTTTATAACAATATATATAAATATAAATATAAATATAAATATAAATATAAATATAAATATAAATATAAATATAAATATAAATATAAATATAAATATAAATATAAATATAAATATAAATATAAATATAAATATAAATATAAATATAAATATAAATATAAATATAAATATAAATATAAATATAAATATAAATATAAATATAAATATAAATATAAATATAAATATAAATATAAATATAAATATAAATATAAATATAAATATAAATATAAATATAAATATAAATATAAATATAAATATAAATATAAATATAAATATAAATATAAATATAAATATAAATATAAATATAAATATAAATATAAATATAAATATAAATATAAATATAAATATAAATATAAATATAAATATAAATATAAATATAAATATAAATATAAATATAAATATAAATATAAATATAAATATAAATATAAATATAAATATAAATATAAATATAAATATAAATATAAATATAAATATAAATATAAATATAAATATAAATATAAATATAAATATAAATATAAATATAAATATAAATATAAATATAAATATAAATATAAATATAAATATAAATATAAATATAAATATAAATATAAATATAAATATAAATATAAATATAAATATAAATATAAATATAAATATAAATATAAATATAAATATAAATATAAATATAAATATAAATATAAATATAAATATAAATATAAATATAAATATAAATATAAATATAAATATAAATATAAATATAAATATAAATATAAATATAAATATAAATATAAATATAAATATAAATATAAATATAAATATAAATATAAATATAAATATAAATATAAATATAAATATAAATATAAATATAAATATAAATATAAATATAAATATAAATATAAATATAAATATAAATATAAATATAAATATAAATATAAATATAAATATAAATATAAATATAAATATAAATATAAATATAAATATAAATATAAATATAAATATAAATATAAATATAAATATAAATATAAATATAAATAAATATATATATATATATATATATATATATATCAAGAAGCATATCTTGACTTCTTGACTAACAAACAAGTGCCACTTAGCTGATTTTCTACTATAATACACTCACACCCACCCACCGACAGCCGACACACATATACACACACAGAAAACCCAAACACACATATATACACAATTTATTTATAGTTTTTTAATATCTTCCATGCAGGTGAGTTTTGTGAGTATGTCAACCCACCATATTGCAACGGGCAATGGAGCACGGTCTACTCATACAGCTCCTTATTTGGTAAAGCCACGCCCCCTGTTTTGGACAACGCCCTTCTCTCCCGGGCCAAAATCGTCTTCAGAGATCCGAGTCTTGGTGTCGTGCGGGTGATGACCTCATCCAGAGTCCGGAGCCCTTCAAACGGAGACTTCTACGCGCAGTCTCAACAGTTCTTGAAGAAATCGACCTGGAAGAACTTCACCACCACAGCCGTACGGCAGTTTGTGAACTTCTTGAAAGACGGACGTTACGAGTTTTTAACGATCAGCGGAACCACACCGCAGTACACTGACAGCACCGCGGATTTCTCGATCGTCACGCGGGACTCAGTGTACAACCTCAACGTTTCCGGCACCGCCCTCAACTTCCAGCAGATCCAGGAAGTTCTGGAGGAAGGGTTCGAGGTCCTGGACCAAAACACGGTCAGCGTGTTCGAGAGTCCTAAAGTAACAACCCACATGACCAATGTCATCTTGACCAGCGTCGTGGGCGGGCATTTCACGAACCCGCCGCGTTTTTACAACTTTAAGAATTTTCTCGAAGGTGTCAGCGACAGGGTCGAGGTCAATCTAGGTCAAGGTAAAATCGCGGCGTTGGTTTCCTACACGCTGGATAGTACGTTGCGGATCGGCACGTGCTGGATGAAGGTCAATTGTTCGGGTCAAAGGTCGAGCCAGAACCTCGGCGCCTACCTGAGGCTGGGACATGATGTGCGAGTCTACTTAGACAACACCTACTACAAGGTGCTGGAGGTGGTTCAAGTCATGCAGGAGTTTACCTTCATCCTGGCACCTGTCATGTCCAAGAACGGAACTGACCGGCTGGACAGTACCGTGCTGGGCGTCAAGTCGCTGGTCACTTCCGGTGGACGATTCCAGACGTGTACCCACGTGATGGAAGCGGAGACGATAAAGCTAAAGACGGACGGGGTGTGAGTAATGTCCGGTGGTACATCGACACTAGGGCGTGGTCACCTGTCTACTCGGTGTATTCAAACTCCAGGTAAGTCACGTGGTCACCTGTCGACTCGGTGTATTCAAACTCCAGGTAAGTCACGTGGTCACCTGTCTACTAGGTGTATTCAAACTCCAGGTAAGTCACGTGGTCACCTTTCTACTCGGTGTATTCAAACTCCAGGTAAGTCACGTGGTTACCTGTCTACTCGGTGTATTCAAACTCCAGGTAAGTCACGTGGTTACCTGTCTACTCGGTGTATTCAAACTCCAGGTAAGTCACGTGGTCACCTGTCTACTCGGTGTATTCAAACTCCAGGTAAGTCACGTGGTTACCTGTCTACTCGGTGTATTCAAACTCCAGGTAAGTCACGTGATTGTAGTCACGTGGTCACCTTTCTACTCGGTGTATTCAAACTCCAGGTAAGTCACGTGATTGTAGTCACGTGGTCACCTTTCTACTCGATGTATTCAAACTCCAAGTAAGTCACGTGATCCATTGGATAGTAGCCTTCGTAATGTCTCGCATTATTAATGTGGAGCTGCAGAATCTTCTTTTTTTGCTCATTTATTTCTATGTTGAATACTACTTGTTAAATGACTACTTTAACTTCTGCCTATAGCTTTAGGTATGTTGTACTTTAAGCTTTGTGGGAAACGTTCAGGGACTTAATTTTCCAGGGGGCGGGGACACTGGTTAAAGTATATATTTTGTATATTAATTATGTTTAATTAAGGGTGTGGGGTGATAGACGTCCTTCGGTGGTGTCCCCTCCCCCCCCCCACCCTTATCCGCCTAAAATTTGCCTCTGGCTTTAACCCAAATTTAAATATGTGTTTTCTGTTTTTGTCAGCATCGCTTCCGGTTCCGTCCAGGAGCTGGTGACGGGTATCCAGGAGGGGAGGGACGTCAGGGTGTGGCTCAAGTGGGTGCTGGAGACCAGGTCACGCTTTCTGGACTCACAGATGAGTTCATTGACCGACGACGGCAAGGTGAGTTGTTCAGGTCGATTCAAACGACAAGGCTAATGTTAGATAACGTAGGTTAGTTGAACATAGCACGGCAAACCTAATTGTTGCTCGAGAGGTTATAGTTGATTACATAACTTAATGGTTTACATCATTTTTAAGACCAAAACCGACAACCTCGACACCACCCTTAACACAAACATTAATAATAATCTTAACATAATCTTAAACATCTACTTTAACAACAACCTAAACATTAACCAAAACACCAATCATAGAACGAATACTTACAACAAACCCTAACACCAACCCTAACACCAACCCTAACACCAACCCTAACACCAACCCTAACCCCAACCCTAACCCCAACCCTAACACCAACCCTAACACCACTATGTCCACCAACCCAGGTGAGCACTGAATCAGTCGTAACGTGGGGTACTGACGCCTCTAACGTGACCTCCACCTTACTCAGCCCACTTTGTGACCTTGAGTACGTGCTAGTGACGTCAGAGGGCTACGTGGAGGTGATGAGGTTCAACATTCAAACTTCCGGGCTGAAGAGCGTGCTTAGCAACGTCCTCATCACGTGGTTTCTCTCGTAATGGATGGTATTGTTATTCAAAATGGATACATTTTTTTGTTGAGTACATAAATAAACTCAAAATAACATGAATTGTTGTAATTTATATGTATGTAATACATATGTATGCATGTTCATACACATGTCCCTACACATACACTTACGCCCACATTTATACCTCTGTCTCTACCTGCATCGGTACATGTACCTGTACCTATATCAACTTTATCCAAAAATTATTATCTCTGTCAAACCCACACCTTAGCCGTAGGCCCGTATCACCAATAAGACTAGGCTAATATCACCAACCAGTTTAGGTAGTTCGTATACCAGGCTACGTTCTTACCACCAAGCTGTCTAGGATCGTATCACCAACCCTTTAAGTCTTATATCATCAAACCGCCAATTCTCAGATCGACAACCCGTTTATTGTAGTTGACCTAAATTGTGGACTTCAATCCAGTGACAACCAGACGTAGTCACGTTTTTCTTTCTTCTCGATTTAAAAAAATACAACACAATAATAATCATTAAAAAAGTTTAAAAAAAACCCACGTTTTATGATTGAACTAAAAAGTAGAAAATAAATGTTATACATCACAATAATGCAAGCGATCACTCTACTATAAGCGATGAAAAACGTGGGGCGCCGAAGTAAAAGTTATATTACTATTGATTAGATCATACTATTGACTTTTATTAGGGAGCTTGTAGAGAGTCAACAGTATTAGAAACTGTAAGAAAATCACGGCGCCCCACGTTTTTGATCGCTTATAGTAGAGTGATCGCTTGCATTATTGTGATGTATAACATTTATTTTCTACTTTTTAGTTCAATCAGAAAACGTGGGTTTTTTAAAACTTTTTTAATGATTATTATTTTCTACTTTTTAGTCTTTGTCTGTTTGTTTGCATTGAAATCTTGCTATCGATTTTATCTTTTCACTTTTTTTTTGGTAAACGAAGACAACTCGTAAAAAGACAACTGGTAAAAAACGAGAGAACCTTTCTTCTTCGGTCTCAATCGCAAGTGAATGATTGTCAGAGGTTAGTTGATAGCGGTTAGGACGAGGGCTGGTTACTGACTAGAACACATAGATTTGAACCCGTGTCGAGTGGGATAGCAATCGTGTGCCCAACCACTCGACCATATCGTCTCCCCCAAACTGGCCTACCTCCTGTAAGTTTAAACTCGGTTCAAACTAAATTATCTGCCCCTAAGCCTGTGGCGACGTGGGATCGTTCGCTTCACTGCGCGCGAGGTACGCGTCGCTGGTTTTTTTTACAATGGCTCGCAGAGGAGAATTATATATATAGATTATATAGCGGTCTAAAATGCTCAATAAAATGTTTCCATTGATCAATTTAGTAATAATAACGATTGCATATTCTATGGTCATCCAAAAGAAAGCTTCCCTGAAAATTTCAGCGCGCTAGCTAACTGGGAAGTGCCAGAAATTTCGATCGCAAGATTTGATTGGAAAGACAAACAAATAAACAAACAGAGAAAGCAAGTTAAAGAAAACGTGGGAAAAAAGAGCTGTTGTGTAATGACGTTAATGAAACACTCAACCAAGTTGCTAATGAGGGACGGAACAGTACGATAAAAGAACATTGTGTTTTAACTATTTTATTATAACAGTAAAGCACACTCATTACACTCTATAGTTACAAGTTACATTGTCGTTTTAAGCGCAAGACTTCTGATGTGTACGTGTTTCAGTACTCCGTGTGGGATTGTTGCGAATCGTCAGCAGGGCAGGAATCTTCATCTTCGGTAGTCAGACAAGACGTGTGTCCATCCCAACAGGGGACAGAACCCTTGTCATCGCAGGAGAAGATGTGGAATCTGTTGTTGAGATATCTCACCCGCACCTGATGCGAGTGGGAGTTGTCTTGGCTGGTTGTTAGATCCAGGATCTGACCACGAAACAAGGCGAGCTGGTCATCTTTGGTCAACTCGATGGTGTGGACATGTTCCCCTGGGGGGTCTCTGGTCGCGACGCTGGTCAGCAGACGTAGGCGTGGTATAACCAGAGGGGATGGGGATGTTACGGGACCTCGGGTGGAAGGCTGGGGTGCGGCTTTTTGGCTTGTTTCATCCAGTTTCTCCGTGAGATATTTCTCATTGGTGTACATCTGCATGACGATGTCCTTGAGAGCGTTCAACTCTTTCCACACTGGACTACTTTCCCCGTGCACGGGCGCGATAGGATACCTCGTCCTCATTTCTCTCAGACCTCGAATTTTGGGCAAAAATATCCTGACCCCTGACGCCGATACGTTCCTCACGACCCCTCTCTGATCCAGGACCCCTACGGATGCCACCGTCGTGTCGGCCGGACTAGTCCCTACCTCCGTGCCGGAGAAAAACGCTCTCGGTGTACGGTAAAACAGCGAATAATGTGTCCCATTATACGCCGAGTCTGCCTCAAACCCTCCTTTTCTTTCTCCTCTTGTAACAATCTCTCTCTGATTATCGTCATGGTGTCTAATATTGTAAGGATTCCAGTTGGTCAGTGGGGTCAGATAAATGATCTCTAGCGGGATGGCGTAAGTCATTCGTTTCACATTTTTGGTACATTTTCTTTTATTGACGCAGTCTACCAGCGACACGGGTGCTATACTTTCGTGTGTGGTCTCAGCCATGAAGACGTTAGGATCGCTGTATCCCCTTCTGCCCCCCGACAAGCCCATGGCGTCAGGTCTGGCTACCCTATAACGACGGTGGTAGTAACCCACGTTCAGCCTAACGCCGTTCCTCCGGGTGGGGTGTAGGTAGGTGGCGTTAAAACTGTTGTCGTACAGGTTGGCACCGTAGCCGTTTCTCCCTGGCACCTCGGCCATCAGGTCGTCCAGGTAATTCCAGTAGGTGAACTTGTTGTCACGTGGCCTGATCACGTTAAATCTCGCTGCTCTCGAGTTCTGGTGAGGAAAAGCGAGAAGACCATTGGTAGTTTGATATCTAGCATGGGAATAGGATGAGGAATTTAAAGTTAAACTTTATAAAAATTGTGAATATATTTTTTTTTTTTTTTTTTTTAGTATTCCCTGATTAGTATTTACTGAATGTTTCCGTTAAAAAGAGATTTAAAGAAGCAAAATTCTTAAAAGGAAAAAAAATAGCACATAACTTACATTCTTCAATGTTAAGAAATAATCTCAAAGGAGAAGTTAAAAAAAAAACCGCAGAGATGATGATGATGATGATGATGATGAATGTTTATAAATGTTTAAAACTTTTAGCCTATATAAGTAGTTTAGCAGTTTAAAAAGAAAAAAAGCAGCATCTTTCTTTACATTTTTCCTCGATGATATGTGGAGATAGAAGTGGACTAAGCTTTAATCTTACCTTATACTCCTCTAGAGTGTAGCCATGGGGCAGTCTGACCTTTAACCTTACCTTATACACCTCTAGAGTGTAGCCATTGGGCAGTCTGACCTTTAACCTTACCTTATACCCCTCTAGAGTGTAGCCATTGGGAAGTATGACCTTTAACCTTACCTTATACTCCTTTAGAGTGTAGCCATTGGGAAGTATGACCTTTAACCTTACTTTATACTCCTCTAGAGTGTAGCCATTGGGCAGTCTGACACTCAGGTCGTCCACAAGACTCAGGTATGACGTAGGCAGATCTTTAGACAGAGGGTGACAGGCGATCCTGTAGGTCCACTGAGCGTACACAGGTACCCCTTTCTCTGTGATGTTGATGATGGTGGTAGGGAGGTAGGCGAAGTTCTCTTTCATGTGCTTCTTGCCAGTGTAGGCGGAGAAGCGAACCTTTTCCTGAGTAGAAATAAAAATGGAGTGAGCTCCCTTAAACCTTCTGATACATTATTAAATACTTGCGTGCCCGTCCCCGCGCGTTGCCGCAGAAATAGAAGAAGGTCTTACGAAATATATAAGAAGAGTTTCATCAATGCGTTACCAATCCTATATTCTTAGACGTGTGACTTTTGTTTTCTAAAACTGAGTTGTTTAAATGTAAACAATGCCTGCGCTTGGATCATAAATATCGGGACACGGGTTTACCTACATTTCCGCATGAAAGCCTTGAATGTACGTTAAGCACTCACCGTAATAGGCCGGGGGGGGGGGGGGGGAAGAACACACTTCGGTGACCGCCCAGTTGTCAGGGGCGAAGAGGGGAGCTCTCGGGATTACACTACCGCGGGGGGCGCCGCGTACGGCCCCTTGCTCCTTAAGACTAAAGTAGGCGCCATGTTGCTCACAGTATTACACAGGGCGCCAAATAGCACCCAGTCGGGGCGCCAGCTGACGCGCTTGATTCAATTTAACGAACGCATATAACGTTCCATTTTATCCATAGTCTTTCGGACTGTTTAAAACGAACGTAGGCGCCATAGCACTCACTGGATAGCCACCTGTAGTTTAATGATTTTAGACTCACCGGTGGTTTAATGATTGTAGGCTAGTCTGTAGTTTAATGATTGTAGACTCACCTGTAGTTCAGCCCATGTCGAAGCATCGATGGCGTGCCTGTCACTGAAGAACGGTTCTTCTATTTTGTTGGTGTTGGTGGTCCACGCCCCTTCCATGTAGCAGAGCACAGGCTTGAAGTAAGGTCTGTAGTCCCTGGTCTGGTAGTTTTGTTCTTTCCATGCCTGGAACCATTCGCGGAGTTCCACGATCTGGAGAAGGTGGGGTTTGTGGGCTACATTAGGAAGGTTTATGGACTACATTAGGAAGGTTTATGGACTACAGAAAGAAGGTTTATGGACTACATTAGGAAGGTTTATGGACTACAGCAGGAAGGTTTTTGGACTACATCAGGAAAGTGAGGTTTATGGACTACATCAGGAAGGTTTATGGACTACAGAGAGAAGGTTTATGGACTACATTAGGAAGGTTTATGGACTACATCAGGAAGGTTTATGGACTACATTAGGAAGGTTTATGGACTACATTAGGAAGGTTTATGGACTACATTAGGAAGGTTTATGGACTACATCAGGAAGGTTTATGGACTACATTAGGAAGGTTTATGGACTACATCAGGAAGGTTTATGGACTACATTAGGAAGGAGAAACTACAAGCCATTTGAAAATCATTGTGTAAGAATGATGACGTAGGTTTAAAGTGTGTGAACGTACCTGCTCATGGACTGTCGGTTTTTCTAGGACTTCCGGTGGAACGGGTGGGAAGGGAATCTCAGTCAACTGATCGGAGTTTCCAGGTTCGTCACTGGGCATGCGCAGCTGGAAATCGTTGTGGCGGGTACGGAACTCCACGCCGTTCAGCACATACTACAGAACAAAACATCCGTGAGGTTTGAGCTAGGAATTAGTCAAAGCAGCCTTGAATTGCCATCCCCCATCCGGACATTTTCGCTTCCAACATTAGCCCCTATGTTATTAAGACCCGCCCAGTTGGGTGTTACCCCGCACGTTAAGGATATTACCCAGAAAGGGGTAATAGGGCTGGTAAGTAGGTCACCAACCTGTTCTATGGCTCAAGCAGATTATATTGAGCCGTAGAACTGGTTGTTGACCTACTTACCAGCCCTATTGACATGGGGTAACGGCTTCGTGGGAAATAATGTCCGTGTGTGTGGGGGGGGGGGGGGGAAGGGTCTCCACGGAGTAATTGATATGTACTGTAGGAGGGGTCGGCGTGGTCGAGTCGGTAAAGCTCATGGTTGCTAAACCGAAAAGTCTCGAGTTCGAACCCCCGGGCAGATGAGGCTCGTTAGCTGGGGACAGCCACTCTTCTAGGAGAGACAACTCCAAAATTAAACAACTGCTGCCTTGTAGTTTGTTCTTGGTTGGACAAAGGCTATGGAAGCAAATCCAAAAAGAAAAGCAGGCTGAAATCGGAGTCAATGGCCTAAATGGCGCATAACCAGTTGACACGTAACGCTACGTGCCGATAATTCTCAATCCCCTTCAACACTAATAATTAAGAACGAAGAAGAAGAAGATGTACTGTAGGGGTTGGGGGTAATGTCTTAAACCCGACTATAATAATACAAACACATCAATCAGCAACTGTATACATTTTAAAAAAAAAAACCAAAAAAACCTTTTATGGAAAGTTCACACATATTTTCATTTTCATCTTCGAATGGTAAGTTTTCTTAAAATCAGAAAAGAGCCAAAAAAAATCACCCATCTTCATCAACACTGATCAACTAATTATATAAGTATAAGCTGCCATTCAAATGATCACAATGTGACTGGACTGACCCACATGTCTTACGATTACCGACCTGTCCTTCACCTTGACCCAAGGTGCGCATGGTGTTGGAGTGGTCGTGTATGGCGCACATGGACCTCCCACTGTGGGTGTTGACGTAGAAGTTCTCTGGTCCGTCCGCGTCAACTCTGATTTGTTTGATGCCGGAGCCGCCGTCTGCTCGAATCTTTTCTTCTGCTGCAAACTGTTGCAGCATCACCTGCGAGAACATACAACAGTAAACAACACCTTCAAGAACATACAACAGTAGACATCACCTGCAAGAATGACCAAAGATTCATCTGTATAGACAACTTGCCTACATATATAACCCGTGTGTCCAAATAACCTACTGGTCAAATAAAACCATACTGTTTAAAATAGACACATTTTAAAAATAAATTTACCTGTCTATTATAGACCGAGTCATCTAAAATAACCAGACAGTCTCAAATAGACTCACCCGTTAGAACTGACCCACTTGTCTAAAACAGAGATTTATGTCTAAAATAGACTCATCCGTCTAAATTAGACCCACCTGTCTAAAATAGACTGACCTGTTTAAAGTAGACCCACCTGACTAAAATAGAATTACCTGTCTAAAATAGACTCACCTGTTTTAAATAGACCCACCTTTCTAAAATAGACCAACCAGTTTAAAATAGACTCACTTTCTAAAGTAGACTCATCTGTCTAAAATAGACCCACCTGTCTAAATCAGACCCATCAGTCTACAATAGACTCACCTGTCTGGACAGTGCCGCCACAACATTTCTCAATTCCTCCATTTGATTTTCTTCCTTGCCTGTCAGATTACCTGAGGCCAAGGTCACCCCGACCTAAGACAAAACAGGTTCACAATCTAAGCACACGGTGTTTTTAAAAACTTCGACATGATTTATGTGCAATGTACATTTTAAAGTCGAAATCGAATGTCGTGTAAGTAAATGATACGGTTGTACTGTAAGCTGACTGACAACAAAGGTGATGCGCAATAAAGGCTATGCCATAAACGATATTTTGGTTTTACACATGTTTTCCCATGTGCCATGTTTCGTGTTATGCTACATGCTACATGCTGTATGTTCCATGTTTCCTGTTCCATGTTTTTTGTTCCATGTTCCATGTTTCATGTTCCATGTGCTATGCTACATGCTACATGCTGTATGTTCCACGTTTCCTGTTCCATGTTTTTGGTTACATGTTCCATGTTTCATTTTCCGTGTTCTATGTTCTATATTCCACACCATTTGTTTTTGTAACCGCCAGGTTTGTTAAAATAAAAATAAAATGTGAATGTTTTGAACTCTTTAACACAGCGGACAGAATCTTGCTCATGGCATTAACGGGCTCAGTTACACATTTTTAAACATAAAAGTCCGATAAGTTTTTGTTTTTCACATCATACCGGAGTCTATTCAAGGGCATGTAATTCCATGCTTAGTCAAGCAGTGGCGTAGGCAGGGGGGGGGGGGGGTTAGGGGGGGTCATAACCCCCCCATAGACCCCTCGGTATATATAAAAAGTATGACGGGGGATGCAAATCGAAAGTTTGAGGGGGGGGGGTGCAAATCGAAAGTTTGAGGGGGGGGTGTGCAAATCGAAAGTTTGAGGGGGGGGGGGGTGCAAATCGAAAGTTTGAGGGGGGGGGGTAAAAATTGGACCCCCCCCCCCCCTTGAGACGATCCTGGCTACGCCACTGAGTCAAGGCTAACCTTTGATGTGCAAAAAATAAAAAAAGTAGTAAACAAGGTTCCTACATGTCGGTACTAGTGTTAGATACTGTCATACACTTGCATTAACACATTTACTGTAGTGAAAGTACTTTAAAAAAAAACTAGTTCTTACAAGCAGTGGGTTAGTGTCATTGAGTCAAAACATTAACCTAACTAAAAGTTAACCGAGAGACGATTAAAGAGCAACAACTCACCAGGGTCAACAAACTGACAAGAATCATTGTGAGCAACAGAGTACACTTTCCCTGTCCACCGGTTATATAGCCTCTACTTGAGCCCCCACCATCTTTAGCCTCCACCATCTTTAGCTTCCACTCTCCTTACCGCCCCCCGCCCCTCCCCTATTTAGCCTTCACCCTCACTTAAATACACTCTCTTGCTCATGAGTCAAAATATTCCCCGAAACGTTTAACACAAATGTTGTATCCTGTATGAGAGCAACTGTTGTATTGCAGCGGTTCACTTGTTATATATCGCAGTTACGAAATCCGTTCTTTAGTGAGGTCACTAAGTGACTTCATTAAGTTACTTCATTATATGAGGCCAATAATGAGGTAAGCAATAGAGGTCATTAAGCGAGGTCATCAATGAGGTGATTAAGTGACTTCATTAAGTGACTTCATTAAGTGACTTCATTATGTAAGGTCAATATGTGAGATCATAATCTTAAAAAGTTGCTTCTACCTCTAGTGGTCTAGCGGTAGGGAGTTGGACTGCTAACCCGTAAGTCTCGAGTTTGAATCCGGGTTCAAGTCAGTAGACCGCCTCTGAGTCCACCCAACTCTGATGGGTACCTAACTCACGTTAGGGTAAGTAAAGGCGGTTGTGCATAGTGCTGACCACACTATCTCTTCATATGCCGAGGTCACAGAAACAAGTGAACTCTACTTTACTTGCCCTATAGACCGTCACGTTTGAAAAGGGAACTTTACTTTTTTTTTTACCTCTTCTCTCCATCCTCAGCCCTCTCCGCTGTGGCGTCGCTAGGTCGGGTGTCTCCCGATGCTGTAACTTAGACCTCCACCCCTCTTTAATAATGTTTGCGGTTTCGGTTTCGCGCCCCCCATCCCCACCCCTGAGCTTGGAACGGTATGGTCGAATGGTTGAGCGTTTGCCTACTAGCCCAAATGTCTAGAGTTCAAATGTTGGTTGAGACGTGCGACTGTAGGACGTCCCTGAGTCCACCAAGCTCTGATGGGTACCTAACTTACGATGGGGAAAGAAAAAGCCGACGTCAAGAAACCTATGAATTCTACTTCGTCTGCTAGGTCTAAAGTGGAATCTTTACTTTACATCTAACCTAAAAACAAGTAGGCCACAACTAGAGAGGGAACAAGCAAGTACAAAAAGGGATCCAAATCGTCTACCACTTAAATCAGCTGTATGGCAGGTATAGACTTAGTACAGCGAATAGAAGGCGAGAAGTTGCCAGAAAAATACAATAATTTTTTGCCTAGATCTAGATTCTATATTAATATACATAGAAATTTAAAAAAAAATACAATTCAAAGTTGTCCTCTGAGGGAAGTACTAATGACGTTTGTAGTGTTATTATATTCCCAAAAAAGACAGTTTTTTTTCTTTGTTTTATAAGTATTTAACACGAAATTTCGCCAATTTAAAGAGAGTTAAGGTTATACTAATAACTGTAAACATGTGTGGAGATTTATTTGGTAAGGGGGGGGTGTGGATTAGATTATTTCTTTGTTATATAAATGGAGGAGAAATGACGAAATGTTTGATAAACGCAGCTTTAAAATAGAATAAAAAGAACTGAGTAAGCAACTAAACTCCCCAGCTGTCCAATCAACACTCCCCTACATTGTTCAAGTGGGTGTGGTAAGAAACCAACAAGAAAGGAGTCATTATCTTCTTGTTAAACTTACTTTAGCAGACCCAGGGTTATGGATCTGTGTCAATGGGTTGGCCTAATTACATAAGTGTTTTATTGTCAGCTGGGATGTAAAATAGGTGCTACTCTGTCTTCTTATAACTTCTTTAGTGTCCTAAAGTGGGCTAATTTTGTCGGAGTGAACGTAGTTTTGTTACTAAACGTGCGCAACTTCTTTTATTAGAGGGTTAAACCAGGGTTGGGATTGTTTATTTGGCTGGGGTCCTGACTTCTTGTGACGATTTGTCATGATAGGAGGTGTTGCAAAAAAAATAATCGTTGACATTTAGTTCTAGCCCCTGAACCTGATATTATTTTTAACTTACCGAGTAACTTCCCTTTTCCTTGAATACTACATTTAAAAATTGGGACACACATTACTTGTTCGTGTTTTTATTTCAGACAGTCTAACACAGGGGTTCCCAACCCCGTGCCCGCGGGCGCCATGGCGCCCGCCAAACGATTCGTATGTGCCCGCCTCTCACTATTCGACAGAGACAGAATTTTTTTCATATACATTATTGAAAGGTTGAAGGGGATGGAAATCGAAAGATTGAGGGGGGGGGGGGGGGTGCAAATAATAAATTTGAGAGGGGGTGCAAATTTGAGGGGTATGGGTGCAAATCGAAAGTTTGAGCGGGGGGGGGGGGGGGGGGGGGGGGTCGGTCAAAATCGAAAGTTTTGTCCCCGGGTGACGGGAAGGGTCGCTACGCCTCTGGAAGGAGTTTGTCGATTTAAAATAGGTGGTACCCGCCACCCTACCGATATTTTAGAATGTGCTCTAGAGTAAAAAAAGGTTGGGAACCCCTGGTCTAACATATCATTAAGACAATTAAGAGTAATGCTAACCTAATGTTAACTGGCTAATCATTGCCAACACATACTAAAATAATGCCGGCTAACAAATTCAACATTACCAATGTTTAAGTGGGTAGTGAGAGACTCTGCTAAATTGGAATATCCTGATAGAATAAGAAATGTTTTTAAAAAGTAAAATCGAATTTTTGTTTGTTTCACGAGGTTTTTTTTTTTAAATTTTTGTTACCACAAGAAATAAAAGAAATGTGTGATTCTCTAGTTAGCTGTTTGGACGCCCCATGGACAAAGAAAACAGGAAAGGTCAAGAGAGATGTGGTGACCCGCGGCGGAGAAACAGCTGACAGAGGCAGGACTGTCATGGGGGACTGTCATGTAGCAGCTGGCAGAGGCAGGACTGTCATGGGGGACTGTCATGTAGCAGCTGGCAGAGGCAGGACTGTCATGGGGGACTGTCATGTAGCAGCTGGCAGAGGCAGGACTGTCATGAGGGACTGTCAGCGAAATTGCCGTTGACCGACACAAGTGGAGGGAGCTTTCTGTGGCGGGCTCATGTGTCATGGGCACAAATAGGTAAAGATGATGATGTTTTAGCTGTTAAAGAACGAATCTAATTGATTGAACAAAGACTCTAAAGTTGTTTCTTGTCCTTTCAAATGTATCTTTCTTCACAAAATTTCTTTGATTTCAAACATTTTCAGTTAAAGTGTAGGCATACTATCTGCTGAGACCCAAGTATTGTACATTGAATAGGAATGTACTTGAAACAATACTACAACAACTCCAATATTTACCCCCCCCTGGTCCCGTCCCCCCCCCCCCTTACATGCAGTATTATCCTTTTGTTATCTGTAGAGTAAAATTATCTAACACCGTGTCCACATTATCATAAGACAATTAATCATCTAATAAGCGAATTGATTAACATTCACATGTAATTAGCCTCACGTTGTTTACCTGATTGCCCTAATGAGAATCTCATTAAGGCTGATTCTTACCTGTAAGTCTGCCGCAGGTAGTATGTGGTTAAAGCTAGATGAGACAACCACATCTAACCACACCTGCCTGAGTTAACGGAATTTTTTAGGAAGGTTTCAAGGGACTGCTGTGTGTGGATTTGTTCATCGGTTATCTAACTTGGATACTAAAAAAATGCAAGTTTTTAAAGTCATTTTTACAAACTTTAATTTTGTTCACAAAGTCCGTTAATGGGTTTGTAACAATTCTTGAAATTCAAGTTTAACACACATCTAATGCAGTGGGCTCGTTCAAACTTTCCAGATACTTTCTTCTTTGAAGACAAGGCAAAAATATCTAATTTTTAATCTAATTAGATAGACGACGAGTTATTAAAATGTAATTAAATGATTTCGAACCAGATATGAGAAAACAAGTACTGGTGATCACATGACCAGCATGTTGTCGGAAGTGAACTGTTGGTCACGGATGGTTGCAGAGGCGTATCCAGGTTTTCGTTGTAGGGGGAGCGAAAAGAGCAAAAAAAGGCGCCAAATTTTTAACACGTTCTATATACGTGTATTATATATATATATATATATATATATATATATATATATATATATATATATATATATATATATATATATATATATATATATATATATATATATATATATAATTACTAGCTGTATGTCATTACTTCGCACTCTGGAGAAATAAGAAAAAAAACACAATGTAGGCCGACAAAACAAAAATTGTATCAATCTAAACAAAAACAAAAATATACACACACTACAACCAAAAACAATGAACGTAACACAATCTGTTTTGTAATTCTTGTAAAAAAATTTCTTACACAATAATTCCTGGGAAATTATTTAAGACAAGTGGAATAGGGGAAATAATCACTCTCTTAATATAAATATGTATATATCTACACATTTAATTATAAATGTCAAAACAAGTAAATAATTACTTTAAAATATAATGGAATTGTTTAACACTATTCGTGTTTACAACATGTTTTTGTCTATAATCAGAATTTAATATATCGTCATCATAAATGTTAAAGTATTACAGCATAATGAAAGTTTCAAATTTATTCAAACTTATTCAAATTTATTCAAACAACGGTTACAATTGTAGGCACAAAGGCCTTTTTTCACATTGGCCGTTTAAACAAATAAAGCAATTCAATAACACATAGCAGTAACACATAGCACTGAAAATGTGGAATAAAGAAACAATGGTACATAGCTATCATACATAATGAGATAAAAAAGAGAATATAATAGATGAATGAGAAATGTTACAATGAGTCAGTTAGGTCATTAAATAATTTTAGTTTTAATTTAGATTGGAATATATTTTCAGATCTAGATAGCTTTATTTTATTAGGAAGATTGTTCCACAAATTAGAACCAGAGTAGGCGAAGCTATGTTTTTGGAAAAAGGTTGAATAAGGGAATGGTAAATTGAGACGACGATTTAATTTTATGTTAAAAGAAAATAGATCTGATAAGTAAGAGGGGGCTGTTTCGTGGAATATTTTATATAAGAAAATTGATTTAGTATATATTATCTTTTTATTTAATGGAAGTATTTTAGTTGTAAGAAAAGAATCCATACTACTAGACAAGCCAGTAACCAGTTTTATAGCCCTTTTTTGTAAAGAAAGAAGAGGACGCTGCTTAGATATAAAGCTGCCGCTCCACACTACAGAAGCATAATCCAACCTGGATTGAATAAAAGCCTCATAAAAAACCAGCCTGCTCCTATAGTTGAGAAAGTTCTTTATCCTTGCTAACTGAAAGGTTGTCTTTAATAAGGACATTCTTAGAAAATGAATATGGTCAGACCAAGTGAGGTTGTGATCTATAAACAATCCTAGGCATTTGTAACTGTCTACCTGTTCAATGTTTGAATTGTCTATAGTAATGTTTAATGCGGTGGATGGAAGACGAAGGCGTTTCTGATGAGTTGTAATAAACATTGACTTGGTTTTATCGGGGTGAAGTTTCATTTTGTTAAATTTTGTCCAAGTTGCAAGCTGATTGGCACATGTTTGAAGTTTGTAACTGAGTGACTCAGCACTGTCTGCAAAGACATGCAAAGAAGTATCATCAGCGAACATCTCGCACTGACCAGCGTCAATATGTAATGGAAGATCATTAATGTATAAAGAAAAAAGTAAAGGACCTAAGATTGAGCCCTGTGGAACCCCTATATTAACATATTTCTGTGAAGAGATGGTATTAAGGTGAAACACGCGTTGAGATCGGTTAGATAAAAAGGAGTGAAGTAACCTAACTGTAAAGTCGTGGAATTTGTATGGAATTAGTTTTTTAAGAAGTATGGTGTGATCAATAGAATCAAAGGCTTTTCTGAAATCGACAAACAGCGAGCCACAGAGTAGGTTCACGCTTTTCAATATAATGGAGTAACTTTCAGGATAACAGTCTCCATTTAACTAAATATCGGTCTTTTAGTTCAGATCATATATATTTAATTAACTACTGCTTCTCTGTGTTCTTTAAAGATCATTTTTTAACATAGTGATAGCTATGGGTTAGATCACTGTATTGCTCACACACTTTTTTACTGGTAATTGCAAAAACAATATTCACAGAGTTTTACGTTTAAAAAGCTATTTTTCTGACGGCATGGTACTTTGGTACATCATTACGCGTCTTTCTACATGTACTTATCAGTTCGGGGTGGGTTGGGGGGGGGGGGGGGGTTCAACTTCATTCACCACTGTCCGGTCACTTTAGGTCAATTATCTAGCCCAGTGTATACCTAGGTGTGACATTAATGTCGCTCTACACAATTGTGGCGGTGAAGTGTGTGGGGGAGGGGGGGATAACTAACTCAGAGTGAACATAGCGTCAGTTTTTAGACGACTGTTCAAAACATACATGTATATTACACAAATATATATTACACACAATATATTACAGAAATAGATTTAAATAAGTAGCAGTGGTATTATGACAATATTTTTTTTTACAGAGAGGTCCATGGGGGAGGGGGTTGTAACTGTTTCATATAATTTGTAATCGTAATCACTATCGTCCAGACTGTAAGAATACTACTACTTCATCGTGATGACGTTGTTGATCTCATCAAAATTTCCCCACCACTACGCAGTTTGCTCATACGTAAATTTAAATAGAGGTGCCACATCAGTTGTATTTGTTTCTGTATTGTAATTGTTTTAAATTAATCACACGATTCAAACTGTATATATAAAGTAATTATGTGTGAAGTTTTATGTATACCATTTTCTAATTCAATTATTCGTAAGCAAATACATTATACAGTTGCCTTAAACTTAACACCCCTCTTGCCAAGTGGTACTACCAGTAGATGTTTTTTAAACATTGCAATGCATCGTAATGGTTATTTTTAGAATGGCAAACTGATGCAGCTGTTAATACGTGTTGTAAACGTAGACACTACTAGACTAGTACAATAATGCTTAATTGCTGCATGAAAAGAAATCTTGTGATTTACATAGATGTGCCGACCAAAAATTTTTTTTTAACAAATATCATTGTTTAAAACTTTGAGTTTAAAAAGTTTCCAAAAAGGCGCCACTTTGCTGAAAATGGCCAGAGGGGGAGCGGCCGCTCCCCCCTGCTCCCCCCCTGCGTACGCTACTGGATGGTTGGTTTTAGGCCTCAGAACGGTCACGGCTGTTGAAAAAGGGCAGATAATTGTCTACATGAGTTCGCTGGCTGCTGATCGTGTTTTAAAGCAAATAATAATTCTAAAAAGTAGAAAATAAAACAAATATATAAAACTTTATAATAATAATCTTTTAAATGCACCGGAAATAAGAAAATAAATGTAATTTATTTCCTTAAATAAAAACTGTTGTCGCTTATGAGATCCCTTACATATTTTAACGACCAAAGTTTTATTTAAAGAAAGAACTTCAATGTTGGTTTTTTTTTTATTACAGTTGACGCCCCCCCCCTGCCGGTCACGTGTCCAAGTGCCAGACATGCCACCCTGTGCCACCCTCCCCACTGTCAACAACGCCAGGCCGTCAGTTGTCAATGGCAATGACACGGTCACGGTGACCTTTGAGTGCTTGACCGGTTTTTACATGTCCGGTGACCCAGTGGTCGTCTGCCTGCCGTCTGTTGGCGTCTGGTCACCACGGCCTGAATGCAACGTCATCAACCAGGACACGAACGTGACGACAACAATCAGTAAGACGTGATCCTTAACTATCGTGGACTTTAAGTTTTATAACGTTTAGTTCTACGTTTCTGTTCTTTCTTTATATACACTATAAGTTTACTTTATTAATATATGCCTACTTTTTTAATGTATTATCATAACTTATAGTCCTACGTTTCTATACTTTCTTTATATACACCATATGGTTACTTCATTACTATCAACCTAATTTTTAAATGTATTACCACAATTGTTTTTACTTTATTAATATAACTTTATTTTCTACTGTAATATACAGATTTTTTCTTACTTCATTCCTGCTGTCCTGTCTTTTCAAAAGTCTTCCACTAGACGCGATTCTACATTACATTTACATACCACATCTTTTACTACATACATTATATGCTTTTTAAACACTTCTCCACTTTACCACAGTTCTATACAGTTTAGACAATTCTACGATTTATTTTAAGCATAATTTAATGTATTTCTATATTGTTTAGATTTTATTATATTGTTTAGAATTGTGTATATATTTAAATCAACACACTATTGAATAGACATATTATTAGAGCATTTTTTTAGCATGTCCATCCAGTGTTTCTTCCCAGACTTTTTTCTCCGGGGGGGGGGGGGGGAGCAACATTTTCCGAGGGGGCGGACACTGGTAAAAGTATGTTTTCTATATACATTTCATTTCGTTGAAGGGGGGGGGGGGTAGCCTATTCGGGGGGAGGGGGGACTGGGGGGGGGGGGGGGGCGAAGATATGCTTGGAAGAAACTGTTTCCATCATCTAAGTAAAATATGCAGGCGTGTATTTCCTTCATATTCCACGTGTATTCCTTAATGTAGTAACACCCGATTGAGTGCATGATCTCCCACAGATAACAAGAACGAAGAGTGGCTCTACTACTGCTTGATTGGGCTCCTGGCTCTCATTGCCGTGGCCCTGCTGGCTGCTACCTTGGCCTACTGTTGCTGGTAAGGTCATTTACACACGACGCTTTACAGAATGCTATTTCTACATCTTCACACATGACTGCTTTACGCATAGGGCGATTTACATATTGACTGCTTTATATATTGACTTCTTTGCATAATGACTGCTTTACTTATGGACTGCTTTACATATTGACTGCTTTATATATTGACTGCTTTACATATGGATTGCTTTACATATGGACTGCTTTATATATTGACTGCTTTACATATGGACTGCTTTATATATTGACGGCTTTACAGATGGACTGCTTTACATATGGACTGCTTTACATATGGACTGCTTTACATATGGACTGCTTTATATATTGACGGCTTTACAGATGGACTGCTTTACATATGGACTGCTTTACATATGGATTGCTTTAAACATTGATTGTCTTTCTTATTAACTGTTTTATAAATTAACTGCTTCATATATTTTTGACCTTAAATATTGACTTCTTTAGACTTTATTCAGTGAGGTTTTGTACATATATTTTAACACATCTTGACCTACTTCTTTGCACATTAATTGTTTTACGTAGTCTAATTAACAGCTCAAACTAATAATTTGTTGCTTATAGCCTAATTAACATCGCTTTTTCTATGGTTTAATTAAAAGCTTTCAACATTTACTGATTAGCTGCTGTAAATATTAACAAATCAGGTTAGGTAACACATTTCATTAGCTTCATGTACGATGTACAGACATTCTAAATATTTGGACCAGAGGCAGTCAGATCTAGTGGGCTGGGGTAGTTAAAGACCTAAGCAGTTAACATCAAATCAACGATTTTTACCAATCATATCTTCTGTGGTATAAATGTGTTTCTATTGACTATCGCTTAATCCTACAAGATCAAAACGTGTGTTTAGGCTTTAAGTTTAAACCTAAACCTTGACCCAGCAGCGGAGCCACATCTGGTTCAACTTTTTCCCTTTACCCACAGCCGGCCAACCCACGTGACTACCGTATACCCCTACACCATCACTCGGGTCCCGGCATCTTGGTGGCGTCGCTGTTGCTGTGGCAGTGTGGACGGGAGTCACGTGGTCACGCATCACGACTCGTCTAATTACCCGCAGCAACCCCGGGGGAGGGGCAGCGTCTTGTGGGTGAGTACATACACGTGCGTCAATTCACGTGTCAGTTTTTGACAAAAACATTGCAATGCTAGAGAAGTAAGAAGAGGGAAGGTGCAAAAAAATTGAACGGTCTCTGTGGCCACGACGTACTAAACACATTATGTTGTCAGTACTATCCCCACTACATTGCCCAGTACAGTTCATATTACACTTCCCTAACACTACCTATTACAGTACCCACTAAACTGCAAATCTTAATTACATTTTATATCAACATCTTAACGACATTTTAGTCACATCTTAGTCAAAATTTAGGCCTTATTTAGTCACATCTGAGTCAGATTTTAGTCACTACTTAGTCACCACTTAGTCACCACTTAGTCACCACTTAGTCACCACTTAGTCACCACTTAGTCACAGCACCTCTGACCCTAACAGGTGACTGGAGCAAACGGTGGCCCCGCCCCTATGACGTCAGTCGAGACACCCACACAGCGCGTGGCCCACGTGACCAAGCACGTGCAGCCAGCGAAAGACCCCAACAAACACACCAAGATCTGGATGCCACACACCCACATCGTCAGGAACACCAGCACCAAGTGACGTCAGTCTAGCCGGAGTTGACGTCAGTCTAGGTAGAGTTGACGTCAGGCAAGCCGGAGAGGGATTGACGTCTGACTAGACGACACAAGTTGACGTCTGTATAGACTGACACGGATTGACTTTTTTAAAAACGGACCCAAAAAGACGTCTGTCTAGATGAAGACGTCACTAAATGTCTTTTGGTTAATAATCGAGGTAACCTTATTTGAACACATAGTCAAGTCTAGATATAAAAAAAATTACATTTTCTGATTGTGGGGTTCAACTACCAACCAAAATCACCAGTCTATAACCAATCCACAAATCTTACCATATTAATAATTTGTATTTTTTTATAATCCATGTATTTAATAATAAATATATTGATATTAAAATTATATATATATATATATATATATATATATATATATATATATATATATATATATATATATATATATATATATATATATATCATATATTTTAGTAAGAACTATTTTGTTACCTGACCAGTATTTTGTTCGAATGACTTGCTTCAGATCGTACCTTTTAAAAGTGTCGTCACTAGGTCGGTTGCCACCTGGTGTGATAACAATGGGTGTAACCTCGACCCTCAAACAATTTTGGTAACTCACTTTAGTCTTACCCTTCCCCTTAATATTTTATTATTTTAACTGGATATAAGTTTTTACAGTACATTTTAATTTTTTTGTTTTGGTGTCACCCCCTCTAAATGGTGTCACCCGCCCCCGCCTTGTGACGACACAAATAAACAATTCTCTAGTAGTCTATTTTAACTGTCTCTTCTTGCGTAGTTCAAGGGAAACTACTCAATATAAAGCAATTGATTAGAGAAGTGTCTAGTTGTTGCACATTTTAGAATTTTTCTGTAAATTTACTGCTTGCTTTTTGAATATGTAAATCCAAAATTTGGAGTTGATATTACTAGTAGTTTATGACATAATTTAAAAAAAAATAGCATGTAAAAATGGAACATTTAATTGGCTAACGATTTTAAAAATTGTAAACAAATATTAAATTGTATTAAACATATATCAATGATATGCATGTGTTATTTTCTTTAAACACGTTTAATTATAGAAAATTAGCATCTCATCATGGTCCCTCCTTACCTCTTTAATTTCCATTAGCTTAGCTTCAGCTATTGCTGCACATTACTATTCAGAGAGAGTAACTCTTCTTGAAATAAAACAGTTTTAAAAAAGCCCCTTTTAATTTTAAAAATTGCTATCTAACGCGGCTGTGGACTACCAACTCAACCCATATATCACAATAAAAAAAACATCACCACCACACCTCTAAGTGTCATGGAATGTATGCACAATCCCTTAAAGTAACACGAATATAACTGTCTAGTATCGCATTCTTCAGCCGATCATGGCAAATAAAAACCCATTCCATTCAATGCTTTGACGTATGCCTGGATTGTATTGAGTTTTTTAAAAAGACAAAACGAAATTTGTCGAAAAAAAAAACAAACAATAGAAACTTTATACACTTATTGACAGCTTTAAAATGTCTGCACATAGTGGCAGAAGGTAGGAGAGTTCACGAGGTACGTGGGTTTAGGGTAAAATATGAATCAGACGTCAGTTAACTGAAAGGTGAATGGGTCAAGTGAGATGTTTCACACAGGAAAGTGAATTAAAAATTGTGATACTGTGGGGAAGATAAGGGGAAAAGTGAATGTTACTTAACAGTATGGGGAGGGTTAAAGTAAGACAAATCTAACAGTATGGCAAGGGTTAAAGTATGACAAATCTAACAGTATGGGGAGGGTTAAAGTAAGACTTATCTAACAGTATGGCAAGGGTTAAAGTAAGACAAAACTAACAGTATGGGGAGGGTTAAAGTAAGACTTATCTAACAGTATGGCAAGGGTTAAAGTAAGACTTATCTAACAGTATGGCAAGGGTTAAAGTAAGACAAGACTAACAGTATGGCGAGGGTTAAGGTAAGACTAACAGTATGGCGAGGGTTAAAGTAAGACAAATCTAACAGTATGGCGATGGTTAAAGTAAGACTTATCTAACAGTATGGCTAGGGTTAAAGTAAGACTTATCTAACAGTATGGCAAGGGTTAAAGTAAGACTTATCTAACAGTATGGCAAGGGTTAAAGTAAGACAAATCTAACAGTATGGCGAGCGTTAAAGTTAGACAAAACTAACAGTATGGCAAGGGTTAAAGTAAGACTTATCTAACAGTATGGCTAGGGTTAAAGTAAGACAAAACTAACAGTATGGCGATGGTTAAAGTAAGACTTATCTAACAGTATGGCGAGGGTTAAAGTAAGACAAAACTAACAGTATGGCGAGAGTTAAAGTAAGACTTATCTAACCGTATGGCAAGGGTTAAAGTAAGACTTATCTAACAGTATGGCAAGGGTTAAAGTAAGACTTATCTAACAGTATGGCAAGGGTTAAAGTAAGACAAGACTAACAGTATGGGGAGAGTTAAAGTACGACTTATCTAACCGTATGGCAAGGGTTAAAGTAAGACAAGACTAACAGTATGGCTAGGGTTAAAGTAAGACTTATCTAACAGTATGGCGAGAGTTAAAGTAAGACTTATCTAACAGTATGGCTAGGGTTAAAGTAAGTCAAAACTAACAGTATGGCGAGGGTTAAAGTAAGACAAAACTAACAGTATGGCAAGGGTAAAAGTAAGACAAATCTAACAGTATGGCGAGGGTTAAGGTAAGACTAACAGTATGGCGAGGGTTAAAATGACACTAATTTAACATGAAGATGAAGCGCTACAGCAATCAACTTTGATCAGAATGCTGAAAGTATTTGTCTGCTCTAGACTGTGTACACAGTCACGTGCCGTTGACGATCCTGAAGTGCCTTGTTACGGGGGGGGGGGGGGGGTCCATAAACGACGTCACATTCCGGAGTTAGTGGTGGGGTGGGGGTGGGGCGTGGTCGGACTTTAATGATGATGCGGTATTAGATGTTAGATGTGTGTGTGTGGGAAAGGGGTAAGGAGGGTCAGAAAATTTGAAGACACACTCTGGAAATTTAAAAAAAAAATAAAAAATATGACCTTTTATTTTTTTTGCTTTGTTAACAGATTTTTTTTTCTATTTTGTAAATTGTATACTGAAAATTTCTAAATACTTTATGTTCATCAAGCTCAGTTAACAGTTTATAAACGAAAGCTGTTTTTAAACATCTGCACTTTTGACCGGGGGGATGGGGGGGGGGGGGCTTGTGACTTTTTGTGCGATGTGTGGCAATGGGAGGCTGGGTGGGTGAGGTGACAGCGTAGACGCCGCTTTAAGAAGAAACAGACAGAAAAAGAAAGCCAGACGATGAGTTCATGTGAGGTCAATCAGAGGATAATCAAACGAGAAAAAAAATAATTAAAATTTGATTACGAGTGTAGTGCTTTAAAAAAAAAATCCTAAACCTAATCATAAAATTAGCCTAATGGTCAGTCAACAACCATAGTGATGTCTTTTTTCACCATTTTTAAGATTCGACAAACCAACCATCACCCCACCACCATCCCAATGACGAACAAATGAAATATTTCTGTGTACAAACCACTACAAATTGGTCAACATTTATTACAATTCACAAAAGAACAGGTCCCTAAAAATGCTAAATACCTTTTTAAATTCAATTTTATTTAATCTAATATATAAAGCTCAGTTCTGTATGTAATGCATTTGTATGTCGTTGGAATTGTACGATTTTAAGTGTTAGAAAAATTATCGTGCGCATTTGTCTAAATTTATGAGCTAAAAAATTACCATTGAAAGTGTTGGGAAATAATTTTCATTTTTCAAATTATAGTAATAATTATCGGCATGTTCATTAAACACAAGTTTTAAAAAAAATATCATCTTTTACAAAAATTCTAATTATGTCTTTATTTAGTCCTATAGCACTTACTTCCCTTTGATAAATTAGGAAAAACACAATTACTTCCCTTTATAAAAAAACCATTGCATTCCGTGAAAATAATTTACTTTTTAATTACTTTGTTTTGGTGTTGGGAAAAAAAATAATTACATAATTAGCGGGGATTGATCAAGTGCAAATGTTGTAGGTATTTTACGGATAAGCTTGGAGTATTAAAATTGTTTATTAAATTGAAACAGGCGCGTTCGTTTAAGTGAGTGCAAAAGACTGTGAATAAGTTGGGGTACTATAGTCGTTCATTAAGCTAAAACAGGTGATTCCGCCCCGGGCGTTTATGTTCGCGTTAGTGTTTTCTTTGTTTTTAGGTGGGTTTGCGTTAGTGGTTGCGTTTTAATTTGGTTCGTTTTTGTTCTTTCTTTTTTCGTTTTTGTTTGTGTTTTTTGTTTGTTTGGGTTTGTATTTGTGTTTTTGGTTGGTTTTGCGTTTGGATTTGGTTTGTTTTCGTTTGCTTTTTTCGTTGATTTTTTTTGTTGGTATTGGTGTTTGTGGTTGGGTTTGTTGTTAGGTTTTTGTTTTCGTTTGCTTTTTTGTTTGTTTTTTTTCTTTGTGTTTGTATTGGTGTTTGTGGGTGTGGTTGTGTTTGTTGTTAAGTTTTTGTTTTCGTTTGTATTTGTAATTGTGTTAGCGTTATGTTTGCGTTTTGTTGTTTCGGTTTTGGTTGGTTGTGGTTTGGGTGGGCAATGCCGGGTTTATGATGATTACTAAACACACAGGTAATGGTCTTTAACAGAAAGGTTTTTCACAGAAGCCAGAGCAGGGCCTGGCCGGGACGGCTAGTTACTTTAAAAAATGTAAAACTACGTCATCACTCATCAATTTTTAAATCTCGTATTGTTTAACACATTTTTTGACCATAGATTGACAGGTAATAAACGTGTTTATTTTTAGTACTACACATGTCTTAGTTTACCGCCAACCGTCATGTAAAAACTGAGTTTGATGTTTTTTTTTTTAGATTTAATCGTATCCTGACTGACAGGCTCTATAATCGCTTTATCTACACTGACAGTACTCTGAGTGCTCACTGACAACCCTCTTCTGACAACCATCCACATGATGTCCCCATTAAAAACTCTGCGCCCTTACTGACAACCCTCTACCTAGAACCTGCTACTAGAAACCATCCACCTAATGTCCACACTGACAACCCTATATGCCCTCTACTGACAACCCTCTATGTCCTCTACTGACAACCCTCTATGTCCTCTACTGACAACCCTTTATGTCCTCTACTGACAACCCTCTATGTCCTCTACTGACAACCCAATGTCCTCTACTGACAACCCTCTATGTCCTCTACTGACAACCCTCTATGTTCTCTACTGACAACCCTCTATGTTCTCTACTGACAACCCTCTATGTCCTCTACTGACAACCCTCTATGTTCTCTACTGACAAC